GGGAAGAGGTGAGGGGGGGATGTCTGGAAGCAGAGACCATTTACGGGTGACTTGTAATAACCCGAGTGAGACAGAGTAAGAACCTGAAGTAAGGACGGGTAGCAGGCTGGAGAAGAGGGGAGGCCTTTCAGAACCACTGAGGAGGTGGGACCATCCAGACACCACCCTAGTTGGGAGGGCGGGAGAGAAGACGTGGATGAGTGAGTCCCAGACTTGTATCACAAATGAACAGTCGAGCTTCTGTTTACCAGTCAGAGATCCTGAGAGTATGCAGGTTTATATGACATTTTCTGTGCAGTGTTACAGATATTCTTAATTTTAAGAGAATGTTAAGTAGAGATTTAATCATAACAACTGGATAACAAAAAAAAATAATTACTTTCTAGACCTTGAAGTTTCAAACGGACTTTTTCAGGTAGCAACAAATCTGGTATTCAGTTGAAGCCTTTAGTACTGGAGTAAGCCTTTATTCAGTCCTCTGGAAACAATAGCCCAAACAATGGAGGTGCCCAGACGGCAGGGTTGGGGGGTGGGGAGGGGGGCCGGCACCATGGAAGCAAAGCCCCTTAGGTCAGTATCGGACAAACAATGTGGTCCAGGTAGGAGGGCTGGGATCCAAACCACATGGAAGAGGTGACTTTAAGTTAGGCGTCTGCAAAGGGAACGTGACCTGCTGCGGCATGGGAGCGCTGTGGCTAACAAGTACCAACACCAGAGCAACAAAGCACCCCGCCTCACAGTGGACCCCACCTGAAACTCGTTAAAATCTCCAACCACAAAATAGTCCAGCATTAGCTCATTTCCCATCTCGGTCATTCTGGACCATTCAGGGTTATCTGTGCGGCTCTGTTAACTGGAACCAGAAAAGTCCACATAAGAAAATGGAAGATGGGGGGGTGGAGGGGGATGGAAATGAGTGTTGGAAGGAAGGCAAAGGTCAGGCCTAGGGGTATGGTCTACATTTCTGAGGCTCCAAGCTGAGCCCCGAGGAGATGAGAGCCAATATTTAACAACAGTCTGGCACAGCCCTGTGCAGAACGGATTGACTGGACTGAAATCCACTCAGACACTAAAGGATTGCTGTCATTCTAATCAGGCCTTTCGCTTCCCTGCTAATTGCATCTTTGCTCCCTCTAACCAGCACCCCCCACACCCCCGACAACATTGTCTCCTAAGGGCACCCAGGGCTCTGTCACCATGATTTCCAACCAGGGGACAGGGACAGGGTTTGGAAATTAGTTGGCACTTTTTATTGAGGTTGCGGCTGTGTTCATAGGACGGGGGTGGAGCAGGTAAACTAGTGTTGAGGGCCCACAATGTCAAAGCCCCCAACACACCGGAAAGTCCCACTGAACAAAGACTCGGCCTGCCCCCGAAGGCCTGCGGTGCCCAGCTTGAAAAGCACGATATTTGGTCTCTTTTGCTGCCCCTGTGTTTGCCTTCTATAAATTCTCCTCTTCCATTTGTCACCAGGCACGCCACCAGCCGTCTGATGAGCAGGTTAAACAGTCACTCAGCTGTCGTCGAACTCCTCTCAGGAGCAACTGGGGGACAGCCAGTGTCCATGACTGACCTAGCTGCACAGCATTTATGGTTTCCACCATGTGCCGTGAGGGCTCCTGTTAGCTAATTCTCCTGTCAACGCATGCATGCGGTTCGTGTGTTTTCAGTGCTTTGCAAGGGGAGAGGCCTGCGGACCAGAAACCTGGAGACCTCTTCACTCCGTGACTTCCTGGGAGTCAGATTGTGTGGGAAGCTATTTTTGAAATCACAATAGTTCTCTCAAATCTCGAGAAATTCACTTAGTAAGGCACCAGCGCTGACAGAATTTTAGTGGGAGCACCCCTTGCTTTGGTGGCCTGGCTATGAAAAGCAAATCTCCCTATTCATTGGTCTTTGTTGTATGATTGAAGATAAATTCACGGTTTTGAAAATCCCCTTTGAGAGCCGAATGCTTGGCCACCATCTCTATGGTTCTCTCTCTGGAGGTCTGTTACCTTTTGCTTTGTATCGCTGGCCTTCTTTGGGGGCTGCTGCATCTTTCCAATAGGTTGAAAGTGTTTGGGGGTGAACTAGCCTCACTCTTTGTATTCTTCCAGCCATCGTGGTAGCGCTTAACCTATGCAATGACTGAGTAAATTCTTGCTGATGGACTGATGGTCCATTCCATCATTCACAAGGTTTTCCTTAGTGGAAGTTTACTCTTTAATAAAAAGTGTTTACAAAACATGACAGCGTTTTGCCCCGATGGCACTTCTGCTGCAATTTGTTTTCTTTCGCCGACACCCACCTCAAAGCCACGGGTGTTTCTCCCAAGACTAGGGGGTGTCTCACTGCACAGCTGCCAGTCAACTACCACGGACAAAAATGAATGTCTAAAATATACATGAGATGCCAAGAAATTAGTGAGAAAGATGAGAAACCCAATGTTGAAATGGACAAGGACATGACCAGACGATTTCCACAAGAAGTCCAAATTAATAAATACGTGGAGAGGTGCTCTACATCATTAATAACCAGCAGGACGCTCATTAATATTCATGAAATGTGGAAAAACAGGAGACTTAGCTCACTCCTGGTAGAGAAGAAAGTTGCACAGACATTCTGGAGGGCTAGCCGGCAACTCTCTATGGGATGAAGCGTGTGGTACCTATGACCTTCACCCCACTCTCGGGCTAACACTCCAGGAACAGCCCCCAGGGCCATCCAGGGACACAGATAAGGACGGTTCTCAGTGCTGTTTGTGGCAGCAAAGCACCAAGCCAGCAATGGCATCTGTCCCTCACTGGGGCTGCAAGCAAAACATGGCAGCCACGCTCTCTGGAAGGCGAGGCAGCAGGAGAATGAACCAGACGCACATTCACCAACGTAGGTAAATCCTGAAAATTAGTCTGAGTGGAAAGGGCAAAAAAGAAGAAAGGTATATACTGAAAGATCACTGTATAACTCTAAATGGTATCCGTTTCAATGACATACTCTAAACACATCAGTTTGCACGTTCATTATAAATGACGAGAGAGAACAGACGGACCTGGGGATGGGTGTGCGGGAGGGAAGTACTAAAACAAAGTAGCCCAGGGGAGAGGCCATAAACAGGCAGATGCTGCCAGCTTCTTACAGTGATGATGACCTCAACTCTGCACCTGAGGTCCAGTCAACGAGAAAAGGGCAGAGGGTAGTCCTGGATGAAGATCTGAGGAGGTCACCTTTGAGCTAGGAGTGTGCGTGAGTTTTAGTGTGGACAGATGTGAAAATACCTCTTCCATCTGCTCAGCGGCCCTTTTTCTTTACAAGCTGATTCCGAAGTAAGTTATTTCTTAATGTCTAGATAAGTCAGTCACAGATAAGACAGGCAAGACTGTACTCAATTTCATTACAATAAGATGTACCTACAGACAGCCTGACACTCAGGAGTAATTCCTTCCAAAAACCTTTACAAATCCCCCAATTCACGGAGAACCTCTATGTCACATCATTCACCCCATAATATGCCCACACAACAAACGGAAAACTCATCGTCCTGTGTGTCGGAGGGGCAGCGTGTTATTAGACTCATCCATCAGCCGAGTGATCAACCTCCGCACCCCAGCATCCCAGGCATCAAGTTCAATTCTAATTCATGCTTTGACAAAAATACAAATTACAATATACTTAGAACCTGGAGGGTCATTTGCAAATAATGAGAAACACAAACTCTGAATCAATGGAAGTGCCCCATTCCCTGACGATCACTCCAGTGCCCTGGAGAGTTATCCCAGCCTTCCTGAATGTTCTGTATCATCTCTGCACACACAGAGGCCACAAGCAAACCCTGCCCATGTTGACGGACAGTTCAGTCTGTGGCCGCAGACCACTGCAGCGCCGGCTCTGAAGCAAACCATAGACGATTAAAATTCTAAAAGAAGGCTGTTGATTTCAAAGCTTGTAATGATTCAAAGTTTCAATCAGCAGGGTTTTTTCCAGTTCGTTACCCACGGACACTGTGGGACTGTGGGGATCGACCAGCATGAGTGACCCATCTCCTCCCTTATTCCCCGGGTGATACAATCCTGTCCATCACTTCACCCGGCCCCTGGAAGACAGGGCCCAAATATACATGTTCGTTTTGCCTTCATTTACTCTGGCAGGGTTCCAAACGCGTGGGAAACAACATAAAAAACCCCAGCATCTTAGCCTCTAGACTGAAGCTGATCAAGCCGATGATTCCTTAACACAACTGAACTGATGGGAAGTTGAACGTGAGCTGGCAGATCTGGCTGTGACAAACAGGAGACGCAGTGAGAAAAGGAGGCGGCGGAGAGAATCTTTACTCTCAAGTCAGAGTCATGTCCATCTCCACATCATTCTGCCTCGGGAATCTGGAGCTGAGAATAATTTCGCTGTGAAACACACACAGGCTACTTCAGAAAGCCGTGGACAGTTACGAGTGTGGAGGGGGAGCTGGGGATGGGTTCCTACTGGGTAAAATGGCATGTGATTGAATTGATTGAGTTGTCATTCAGAGTAGGTGGTTTTAGAAATGAAGCATGCAGAGGAAGAAAGCAGAAATTCAGACGAAACTCATTCAAGCCTTGCCACTGGTATCTACTGAAGGCCGTGTTATTAAACAATGATGCTAAAGGTCGTTCTCTGTTACCCTTTTCTATACATCATCTGCTTTCTCTTCGGCTCACTGACTGTCCGTCAGCAGAGTCACCTGCTGACTGACTGACCTGCAGCTGGGACCGGCCGGGCCTTGGTTGGGTTAAGAAATCCACCTTGGCTGGTGTAGTTCAGTGGATTGAGCATGGACCTGCTAACCAAAGGGCTGCCGGTTCGATTCCCAGTCAGGGCACATGCCTGGGTTGCAGGCCGGGTCCCCAGTAGGGGGGCGCATGAGAGGAAACCACACATTGATGTTTCTCTCCCTCTCTTTCTCCTTCCCTTCCCTTCTCTCTAAAAATAAATAAATAAATCTTTACCAAAAAAAAAAAAAGAAATCCTTATGTCGTCTTAAAGTTCTCCCAGAACTCAACATTCTGTGTTCTGCCCCCCAACCTTCAGGCACCCTCACCTCCAGCCTCTTCAGCACCCCCACCAAGCTGTTAGTTCCGATGGCTGACTGTGGACGAGAAATGTAGAGAACAAAGACCAGCTTCACAGCATCTTGTGAGCTAGTCGACAGTAACACAAAGTAGAGTTCGTTAAGACACGTGACAAACTCATGTTTCATTAAGGCAACGGGAGCCGAGGGGAATCAACTCTGCATCATGCCTCCTAGGTAGTAGGTGCTCAATAAAATGTGTTTCAGGAAGCGATCATGAACAACTGGCAGCTTCCTGCAATCACAGGAGTCAGAGGGGAAAAAACACTATCAGCATCCAGTTCTGGCAGATCTGTCCAAAGGAATAAACCCCCCACTGAGCACAGAAGGAAAAAGAATGAGCCCTAGCTTCCGGGGAGAGAGGACTCACAGGGAGCGTGGCAGAGGAGGGCACTCGGGGCCTGCAGACCTGACTCTTCCATTCACAGCCCCACCCCTCCAAACTGGCTCTCAGCCTGGTGTAAATGGATGTCAGGGACTTCGGCCTGCAGGGTCTGTTTAATTCAAGAGCCTGCCCTACTGGAAAGATCACCAAAGGGGAGGGAATCCTCAGAAGCCACAGATTCCAGCCCCAGCTCTGCCATGACCTGCACATGCCGTCCTACAAGTCATTTCGCTTCTCCAGGCCACGGGCCCCTCCTCGTCATCGGGGGCGAGGACTCCACTTACTGGAGTGTGTGAGGGTAAAGAAGATCACGCGTATCCCAGTACTCTGTAAAGAATGCTAGCTATCCGTGTGTTTCATACCAAATCCGGTGTCGAATTCATCAAATCGAATGTTCTGTAACTACAGATAAAGCTTTAGTGTCAAGAAAATTCAAACGCCAGGCAGGCAAAACAAGCTTTGCAGGGAGCCGGGGAGACCCTCCCCAGGCCCCAGAAGTCACCCCGAGATTGGCATTTACCCGAGGCAGCTGCACTGAGGACAGGCTCTGCTTGAAGGCAGGCTCCATGGCTGGCCTTCACTCTCAGCCGGAGGGCGTGTAAATAAAACCTCCCCTGAGGTAAACAGTTGTTCCATTTTACAGCCCATTCGCACATAACTTTTATGCTCCGTGATGATATGTGGCTTCAATGCGTTTGGAAGTCTGGGACGTGGTTCCATGTGGCAATCCTCTAAGTGACTGGCTGATAAATGGTTATTTACTCACTAGTTTTCAAGGCCCGTGAAATCCCTTACACGGGGACACTGTCCTTAACCACCCATTAGTGATCCTGGCAGTCCTTTCTCCTGGGACGTGAGCCGGTTACCCAGGCAGCAGGAATGGCACCGGGCGGAAAGCTGGGGGGCGGTGAGCAGGAGCCCCTGCTCAAGCCAGAGGGTGCCTCCGCGTCACCTAAACCAAAGGCCATGTCACACATGTGTCACATGGTGATGAAACGTGAAAGTGCCATATTGTGACAAAGTATGGCATGTGGGAGCTCTTAGCACATGGCCTGTGTCACAGATACAAAGGGGCTCCAGGAAAGGACTTGGGTGCTATGAACAGCACCTGCTACAGAATCAAGGGACTGAACCCCACGTACTCACCCTCTGCGGGCTTCACACCCAACTGCCTGGGCTCGGCTGCTCCGTGCGATCTCGAGGCCCAAACAAGAGTAAGTACGTTGGTTTGCTCCATTTCCTGGGGACGCCTGTCAAGGCCGCTGTGATGTAAGGATGTCACCTCTCCATCCTGGGGAAAGAAGCAGTCACAGCGTGATAATGGAATGGATCCAAATTTTGCTTGCCACTTTGTTGGTTTGAACTGGCAAAGTATTTCTAATAAAAAAAAATAATGTTATAAATAAGAGTTTGAAAATGTTACCACGGTTATTAGAATGACAATAGTTACAAAACATGGAGCGCTTATTACTTGCAAGACACTGCACTAAGCATTTTATGTGTAATACCGATTGTGATGCTCACGGTGAGCCCGTGAGATCGGGTTTATCAGTCCCATTTCATAGATGTGAATACTAAAGGCTCGGACAGGCTGAGTAACTTGCCTAACACTGCAAAACAGCAGAGCTGAGGTTTGAAGCTCCTGACCACTCCTCCCTAGGCAGTGGAGACCCCGGTCTCCTTCATACTTTCCACATATCCCAAATATAAAAAATAAAGTCTTAACCATAGAAGCCGAAGCTATTTCATCATGCACTTTCTAGGCTAGCCCTCAAAAACTGATGCTAGCTATCCACTGGTGACTTACGATAAAGCGAGTCTGAGCAGGGGACTCGGTGGAAGATGGGAAAGGAGAATATGGAAATGAGGGGCCAGAGGGAGAGGAAGAAGTCAGGGTCAGAGGAGGAAGGGGAAACGCTAATGGAAATGGAGGAGAGGAGGTCCTCTTGGAAGAGAACCTGAGCAAGTAGAGATCAAGGGGAAGGGCATTCCAGGCAGAGGGGACGGTTTGTGGGAAAACCTGGAGGAGACAGCCGAGAGCCGAGACTCGCAAAGGAACAGCAGAAGGAGGTGGGAGGCTCCAAGTGCCAAGTTAAGAATTTCGGACTGTGTTCCACCTCCTGGACCAGTGCCACGCTTTACCTCCTGGGGGTTTCACAACAGGGAAACAGAACAAATGTTGAAACTGCCAACTGGAAAAAGAAAGAGGCAATTGTTGGCATCTACAAAGACCAAATTTTTTTAAAGGATGAGATTACTTAAGTGTCATCTTTTTAATTAGCATCATCTTCTCCTCTGAAGAGGTAAAAAGACGATTTTTCACATTTTCAAAATACATGATAATCCAACACATTCAGTTATTACGAACACTCTGCTGTAGGCATCACTGGCCAGGTCTTCTAGGGGTGGGGTGGGGTGTGTGTGTGTGTGTGTGTGTTTTGTACGTTGTCCTTAACATCCAGATGCAGTCTCAGCGGACACCGGGGACTGGAGTTTCTGGACAAACTTTCAGCCCCAGCAGGAAACTGAAACAGTAAGCAGGGAAACTGAGGCAGGAACCTAATTCTGAACTAAATCAGTGGCATTTAAAAAGATGCTGCTTGGACTTCCGCCAAGATGGAGGCATAGGCGGTTATGCCGTGCCTTCTCACACAACCAAGTTTAGAGACAACTAAATATTAGCAACAGAAAACACATCCAGAACACAGAAAATTGAACTTTTCGGAAGTCTGTTAACAACAAATTCTTCAGCCTGACCGGTACGGGGCGAAACCAGCAGCTGGTGGAGCAGGATTGCACAGGAAAACTCAGTGAGACGGACTCAGGCGAGGAATCCAGGCACAGGGTTGGACCTAGTGAGCGACAGAGCGAGCGACCAAGCAAGCGACCATGGGGGAAACAGCGAGGGAACAGGGCTGCAGGTTGACTGTGGTCGCGCATTTGTGTGTGGATAGACAAGCGAGGGAGTGGGCGGTTGGACCGGAACCCAGCGGGTCCCCGCGGCAAGCTGCAGTGGAGGGTGCTGTCATTTCCCTGCTCTGACCCCGCCCCCACATACAGTGTCACAACCCAGCGACCTGGGAGTCCAAGGCGCCACTCCTCACACTTAAAGGGCACGAAAAGACCAAAAATGGCTCAAGAAGATCTCAAAGCCCCAGAGCCTATAAATCTAAGCGATGAAGAAATAGCAAAACTCTCAGACGCACAGTTTAAAACACTGGTCATCAGGATCCTCACAGAACTGGTTGATTATAGCCACAAATTAGACAAATATATGAAGGCGAAACTAACTGAAATGAATGGAATTGCACAGGACACCAATAGCAATGAAAAGGAAACTGGGACTCAAATCAATGGAGTGGACCAGAAGAAAGCAAATAATGGCCAAACAGAAAAGAATGAAGAAGCAAGAATTCAAAGAAATGAGGAGAGTCTTAGGAACCTCCAGGACATCTTTAAACGCTCCAACATCCAAATTATAGGGGTACCAGAAGGGGGAAAGGAACAGCCACCAGTGGAAAACTTATTTGAACAAATAATAAAGGAGAATTTCCCCAATCTGGCAAAGGGAAATAGACTTCCAGGAAATCCAGGAAGCTCAGAGAGTCCCAAAGAAGTTGGATCCAAGAAGAAACACACCAAGGCACATCATCATTACATTAGCCAAGATTAAAATGAAGGAGAGAATCCTAGAAGCAGCAAGAGCTAAGGGAACAGTCACCTACAAAGGAGTCCCCATCAGACTGTCAGCAGATTTCTCAAAAGAGACCTTACAGGCAAGAAGGGGCTGGAAAGAGGTATTCCAAGTCATGAAATCCAAAGACCTACAACCAAGATTGCTCTATCCAGCAAAACTTTCATTTAGAATGGAAGGACAGATCAAGTGCTTCTCAGATAAGATCAAATTCAAGGAGTTCATCATCACCAAGCCCTTATTATATGAAATGTTAAAGGGACTTACCTAAGAAAAAGAAGTTAAAGAAACATGAACAGTGAAAGGACAACAAACTCACAGTTATTAACAACCACACCTAAAACAAAAGCAAACTAAAAGGACAGCTAGATCAGGAGTGGAAACATAGAAATGAAGATCTCAAGGAGGGTTAGCAACAGGGGAGTGGGAGGAGGAGAAGGGGGGAGAAGGTACAGAAAATAAGTAGCATAAACAGTAGATAGAAAATAGATGGGGGGCAAGAATAGCATGGGAAATATAGAATCTAAAGGACTTGAGACACATGGTCATAAACTAAAGGGGGGGTAATGGTGGGGACAGGGGGGTAGGGTGGAGGGGAATGAAGGGGGGAATAGAACAATTGTAACAGCATAATCAATAAAATAAATAAATAAAATAAAAAGATGCTGCTTGGGGCCATCTCGGGTGCTCAGGGATCAGCCCGCCCACCAGAAAGAATGAGGTCCTGGCAAACATGCCCACATGGAGAGCACGGACTGCTGGGCACTCGAGGAGCTCAATTCAGGGGCCGACACAGCAGGGCCTGCGGGTGGTGGGTGCCCAAGGGCCCTGTGCTGAGAGGCAGGTGGGGAGGCAGCAGGTACAGGGACCAGGGCAGGGCCCCACACAGACCAGCTGCCCCTGGGCTTCCCTGGCCCTCCACATCTGTGCAAGGGAGGGGCCTCCTCCCCTACACCTGGTGGTGGCACATGAGCTCTGACCTGTTTTGACCGTTGTGCCGAGGGAACACACGGTCACCTCCAGCCTGGGCAGGGTCTGCCCACACTCTTGGCCTTATCTCCGTCTTTGCTGTAGCCACCGTGGACCATTTTCATGCCACATTTTCTCCATGCAGAACCTTGGTGCGGTCTCTTCTTCGTGATGGGCACATCCTTCTCCCCTCGTTCCGCTCTCCGCCTCCACCTGGCTCACTCAGTTCTCACTGCTCACTCACCGGTCGGATGGAGCGCCACTTCTGAAGGAAAGCCTTCGATCTGGACCAGACTGAATACCTCGAACCTGTGGCTCCCTTTTCATATTTCTTATCACCCTGGCAACTGTTCCTCGTCTCCCACCTCACTTAGACTATGAGCTTCATAAAGTAAGCTTGTATCTGCCTTGTTTCCCACTGTATCCTTAGCATCAAAAACAGGACCAGGCCCAGAATAGATGCTCAATAATATTTACCAAATGAGCGAGCAAACGAGTCAGTGAGTCTCATCTCTATGGAAGGTCAAGTTTCCAGACAATCACATTAGTCCGTCATGAGTTTCTAGAGACTGAGACAAAGCCTGTGAAGCTGTGGTGCCTCGAGTTGCATTTGAACTTTAAAATGGGGCCATGGAAGAAGGGGGAGCATGAGGGAGGTTCCCTCACTCCAGGCCCTCCCCCTCCCTCCAACCCTGAAGGGCCAACTCGAATTTCACCTGCCAGAGGCCACCTTCCCTCCCCACCCCACCCCAGAGCAGTTCCCTCGTCTCCTGGGGCTTCCACGCTCTGCCATTTATCTGTCGTTTAATTCTCTCTCACAAGCCCCTTAAAAGCAGAAGCCGGGCCTTTCCTTTCCTTCAGTCTCTTGGCTCCTAATTCCTTGCACAGAGTCGGCACCCGATATATGTGTGTTGAGTAAGAGCTGAGAGAAATTGAATTTCTTTCTCAAAAGATTTTTATACACTCCTTCCCTGGACTTGAAAAGATGGGGTAGGTTTTTGGGCATGTGGGAAAGCGGAGCGAAAGCCTTCCTGGAGCCAGGAAGGCAAAGTACATGAGCCTTAGATCCTCCAAAAATAGATGCCACGCTGAGGCTGCCAAAATGAGAAAATGCTCTCTCTGTGGTTCTCCACCGTCGTCGACAAAGCCTGGCTTTGTCAGAGATGCCCGGGTGCCACAGGGCCCTGGGGTGACGTCTGGCAGCCTCCAGGGAGGACAGAGCGAGGAGGCCACTCAGGAAACTGAGGCTAGGTCTCCCCAGAAGAATCAGCCGCACCAGAGGGGACCCTGCCGCTTCACAGAGCAGGCCTGGCATCCATGAAGGTCCTTCCAGAAGGGGCCGTCCCCGCTCTCGCTGGCACCTTGCCCTGGGGCGCGGTTCTCGGGGCCTTCGCTCCAGCGTCTCCCCTTGCAGGAGCTCTGTGCGTGGGCAGACAGGGAAGGTCCCCCCAGAGGGACCCCTGGGTATGTCGCTAATCCATTCGCCTGTTTCTGTGTCACGTGTAATTACTCACTCGATGCGCAATTATCTGTACCACAACTCCAGACTAAGGAGATACCGCGCAGCCTTCAAACTGGGGATGACAGACTGCAGCATGTGGCACCCAGGTCGATCTGGGTGGCTCTGCAGCTCTGATTGCTGCACGAGCCCTTCTTCTGCACCTGAACAACTTCATTTCTCGTGTCGGACAAGGGGAAAAATTACAGAGTGTTTTGAAGGAGGCAAAGGGTGTTGCTCAGTTGTTGGTTTTAACCGTCTGGAAGCCTTTGTGATCAATACCCGAATCCTCAAAGCTGCACTGAAAGCGCTCTCTCTCTCTCTCTCTGTAATCTTCCCATGGGGCACGCTGACCTTTGCCTCAAGGAAGCAAGAAAATGCAACCTCTTGCTGGCATTTTGCAGAGAAATAAACGCAAGCTGCTGGGAAGATGTTGCTCTGACTACTCCTGCCTCCCCCGCAGCTTCATCGTTGCGGAGATGCTGGGCCATCCCTTTACCCCAGTACCTCGGGGGCCGTAGGAATGCACACGCCGCCACGCTTGCTCTGCCTGGGAAGCTGGGGCCACAGAGAGCTTCCCGGACACCAGGCATGCACCGCACGCCTGCGCAGTACATGTGACTCACACGGGCCAGCTGGGCAGTGGCAACACGGCCAGCCTGACCTGAGACGTGTTATAAGATACATGCCAGATTTTAAAACTTGGAATTCTTGAGCATGTAAAGCCTCCGATCAATGACATATCAGGTTGGATCAGGCTTCTCAACCTTGGCACTATGGACTTGGCAGGTTGTGTGGTTCTGTGTTGTGGTGCGCTGCCCCAGGGGACCGCAGGAAGTTGGGCGGCATTCCTGGCTCCCACCAAAAAGCGCCACTCCAAGCTGCTGGCGGTGACAACCAAAAATTGACTAGCCACCTTCCTGGACATCAGCAAATGTCTAGGCACTGGGGTGGGGGATGGGGGCCAAATTCTCCTCTGCTTGAGAACCACTGGGATAAATAAAATGCGTGATTAAAAATTAGTATTCCCATTTCACTTTACTTCTTTAATGTAGTGTCAGAGAACTTCAAAGCAGACAAGTGGCTTGTATGGTGTTCTTACTGGACAGCACCACCCTGGATGGAGCATCTGAAGGACAGGCTCCTGCCTTCTTGTGGTGGCATCACCAATGCTGGGGACAGAGGCCCTCGGGGCTGGCACTGGGCACAGGGGCAGAACCACAGGCGGCAACATTTGCAGGTAGAAGTGGTAGGTGTTGGCCCATTGAAGAGACTCAGGAAAGCAGGAGGAAAGAAATGGGATGAACACCGGAAAGTCCCAGGCCCACAGGTGATGGAAGAAGGAACAGACTTGCAACAAACTCTGGGGCTTGGAGAAGAGAGGATTCTCAATAATTATTGGGAGACCAGTATCTGCCCTGAGGGCATACGTACCCCCAGATAAAGACCAAGGCAGAACCCTATGCTATCTTTTAACTGAGGGAAAAAAGCCTTTCCTTCAATGGAAAACAATGAATCATTTGGGGGCAGAATGTCTCATTCAGCAAACAAGCTCCCAAGCCCTTGTCTTTTTTTTTTTTTTTTCTCCTACTTTCCAGTTCTGATCCCCTTAGCCTGCCTCTCCTCAGCTGTTCTTTCCCATCCTGGCTGCCCCTTCCCACCCATCCTGCCCCACTCAGGCCACAAAATCCTCCAAAGTTTGCTGTTCTTAAGGCACCCAGTCCACCTTTCCGCCCACTTGTGTGTGCTCCCAACCAAGTGGTCACTTCTCCCGAGCTGGGAACACTTTACTCTGACCCTGACTTGCCCACCTCTCCATCCTGTCCTAAGACTGGTCCCTTCCGGATTCTTCTCCCAATAGCTGGACCTCAGCGTCAGTACGTGGTTCATGGCTGAGTGCACTCTCTCACGCCAGGCATCCTCATTCCCTCTGCAGAGGCTCAAGGCTCCTCTCCCATTACCTACCCCACGTCCCCACGAAGGAAAAGAAATTGCTGTTCTGAATTTATCCATTAAGTTACCATTGACTGAAAGAAGCAGAAAATTCCAACTCAAAATGGGCCAACAAACAATAGGTGGGCAGCTCCGCCATTAATTTGGCAACTTGATAACCTCACTAAGGACCCAGGTGCTTTTCCTTGTTTTCGCCTGGTTACTCTCAGAGTGTCCACTTGGTCCTCAGGGCTGCTCCCTTCCTGGTCCCCACGTACCTGCAGCTGTCCCAGGTGCTCCATCCAGCGGTAGAAAAGAAGCCATCTCTTCCCTGTGACTCTTTTGAAAAGTCTCCTAGGGGCTTATGGGAAAAGCTTTTCCCATAAGCCCCTAGGAGACTTACCACATTTCATTGGCCAGAACAGCATCGCGTGTCTATAGCTAACCAATAACTGGCCAGGAGAATGGGACCACCCCCTGTGATTGGCTGAGGCAGTGGCTCTCAAAACATAGTCTCAGACCAGGGGCATCAGCCTCACCAGTTACAAATTCTCTGACCCCATCCAGACCTATTAAATCAGAAATTCTAGGGGTAGAGCCCAGCAAGGGGTGTTTCAACAAGCCCGGCAGGTGATACAGTTTGAAGTTTAGGAACCGCTGGCTTAGACCGACCAAGACTTGCTTCTGGGTTAAAACCTGCCTCCCTTGAAATGTGTTTGTAATGAATGAGGACAACAATCACCAGGGCTCTTTAATGAAGGAGATGGGAGTGATGGAAGATGAAGACAGCCAACATCATCTTCTATAACCACATCATTTTTTTTTTCCTTTTTGACTAGAGAAGTGCCCTTCTTATATTCTAAGCTTTTATTGCACGTACTCCATAACCACTTTATGGACTGGCCGAAAAATGTGTTTGGTTCGTCTTCGAAAAAGTTTGACTAGCTCTATTTCTGTACAACATCAACAACTCTTTAGCAAGGCAAAAGTTCCATATTATCTCGGGACAATTCCATAAGGCAGAGAAAGAGCAGTTGCTGTTTCTATTTTCATTTGACATATGGAAAAACGGCAGCTCGGAAGGGGCAAAGTAACAGAGCAAGCCAATTTCAAAGCCAGGATCCACCTTGTAGATTTTCTGGCTGCAACTCTTCACTCTAACTTCCACCAGGATACCAAGCTGCCCCGAAAAGTAAACACTGTTAGCCAGAGCCAGAGGCCATGGTGACCTAAAGTACGCCCTGCCGGAACTCCATGGGGGTGTGACCTCCTGCAATGAAGTCTTTGTGGGGGAAAGCCATGACCGTGTTTGTGACTTTCATCTGTGTCCCAGGTCACCAGCATTCCAGCCACAGGGAAATTGGATATCACGGAGACATCATGGAGTGAAATTCCCCATCACTCCAACTGTGCACACTGCTGTCCAGGAAGACGAGCATTTTCATTAACACCACAGATTGAAGGAGTGACCTAAACTTCAGCAAAATCGGTGCTACTTGACCCCATGGAAACTACCTAAAAAGATACTTTTCTCTAAGAAATCCAAATGATTTTTTTTTTAATTTTGTTTTTGGGAACTAGAGATATTTATGGACACTTTTAAAATCCTAAATCGGAAAAAGAAAAGCACAAGGTACAGGAAGATACATTTGGCCATGGCTTTTCAGCTAAGGATGGAGGCCGCCGTGTTCTTGAACAGCCATCTGACCAGGAGCTTCACCCCCAAAGTTGAACCCCACGTTGGGTGTCTGGAGTAACAGAACCCGAGAACAGGGCTGTCATGCTGCTCGCTCGGCCCCCTAGTACTCTGTCCAGTCTCCACTCTGCTCCCCTCGTGTCCTGGGGGCACTTCCGACTAGAACAGGAGTACCTGTGACAGGAACCCCAGGACCTCTAGCATAGCCTGGGTCCACCCTATTAACCCTCTGCAGGAAGCCAGACCCGCGGAGCAGAAAGTGGCAAATGCTTGGAGATTTCCAGAATCAGAAACTTGAACTGAGAAGAGTATGTCCACAGATGTCAACGGAAACCCTGAATCAAGGGCAAAGGTGACATGTTCCTGATGTAGTAGGATTCTCCTAGCAAAATGGCCATCTCCAGATTTTGTGCTCTTGGCCCTACCGCTGACCTTTCTTCCTCCTGTGTGTCCTCAGTGTACCCAGAATGATGACCTCTGAGTTCTGAAGTTCCAGGAGCCTGTGCTGAGCTTGCCAGCTTCCAGTCCCCCCAGCACTGCTCCAACCTGCCACGTCTTAGATCTCCCGCACCTGCTCACCAGGATGCTGTCACCAAGAACTTTCTTTTTGATAAAGAGAAATCCCAGCTCCGGCCCCACTGGGTCTTGGTGCATCTGCCACGTCCTGTCCCTGATGGAAGTCAGACATCCTCCTGCTGGAACCCAGGTGGGGGCCAGCACATTCCGCACCACAGCCCTGCAGGAGTGCTGGAGTTCAAAGCCCCAGGAAGCGCTCCGCCTGAGCCGGGTTCATGAATGCTTTATTATTGTTCTGCTGAGCAGTTACCCCCATGCCAAGCAAGTCAGAACAAGTCTTTTAAGCCCTGGTGATGGATGTTTGCAGGAAACCCATGGGAGTTATTAATATTCATGTTCCTATCGCACTTTCCAAGTAATGAAAGCTTGTTTTCTGTAACACATCATTAGGCGAGGGAGACAAGTGACCTCCTATACTTTCGAAGCACAAAGGTGGCCACCCAAGACCCAGAAGGGACTGTGGGGAGAGCAGATGAGGTGGAAAGCTTGAAGGTGTTAAACTTCCTCCTTTCAGAAACTCCCCAAAGCCTGTCAGTGGGTGCAGACCTGGGCCCCTGCCCAGGGAATGGAGTGGATTCTGGGACTGGTCACAGTCTCTTCCCTCTCTGCAGAGGACAGCAGCCCTCAGAGCAGGCGTCTGAGGTCACAGCTGAGAGCAGGGACTGAGCCAAGCCATCCTACCTGCGTCAGAGGGCTGGAGAGGTCTGCAGACTCTGGTCAAAAGAGCCAACGGTCATGAGGGTTGGAAGGAGAGCATTGGCCGAACCTGGTCTCAGGTTCCAGCAGCAGAAACTGGAGTAAAGGAGGGAAGAAGTTCTGGTCAGGGGGAGCAGGAGGGCCAATGACAATGACAAACAGCCTCTCCAAGTGCCCCCGGCCCCTCCCTACCCCAGGAGTGCCCATTTGAAAGGCAAGCTGTTTCCCACCCCTTCACTGCTCAGAACATACCTCACACTGCACCATAGTTCCATGCATGGCCTCTTCGTGCCTCTGTTTCCCCATCTGCAAAATGAGCAGGAGAGTAACACCTCATTTTGTTGTAAGAATTAGAGGGCTTGATATGCATAAACATGCTTAGAACAGCACCTGGCACGTAGTGTGCCCCATTAAATGAACTATCATCATTATTGTGATTGGTATTATTTATGAGTCCATTTCCCTCAGCCGACTGAGTTCTGGAAGCAGAACCATGTCTCATCACATCTATTAGCCCAGAGCCCAGCACTGCGCCACACACAATTGAATTGTGCAACAGATACCTAGTGGGTGAATGAGTCAACCAATGAAAGCTACCTCCTCCAGTCCAGCTGGCGTAGGAAAAGCCTCACTCCGATCGTAGACTGCAGAGTCATCTCTTCCTGATGGTGTCAGGTCATCAGTCTGCTCAACAAACAATCAGTGGCCACGTGCTCTGGTCCAGGGGCTGTTCTGGGTGCTGAGGACACAGCAGAGGAGCAGAAATCACAAGACTCCCGGACAACTGACTTTTTGTGGGACAGATGGAAGAGCCAAGCAAACAAGCAACATAAACGAATAAAATACATGACGTTAGATGCAAACCTGTACTGCAGAGAACATCTAAATGGCAAGACGCCCAGGGAGCAGAGGGGTCGGTGTAACCTGAGCACAGAGGGAAGACCTGTTTGAGGAGGGACCCTTGCATCAGCCAAGGACTTGAGGGAGCCAGCCAGGAGGGTGAGACTTCCAGTTAGAGAAATGCACTCATCTCTTTTCCTCCTGGAAGGACCAGTTCGATGAGATATATGTAAAATGTCCAGTCCTGTACCTGGCGCATGGTAATAGCTTTAAATGGTTATTCCTGTTATTCCAGTCTTATTCCCTTTGCCCTCCCCAATTCGCCCCCTTCCAAAATGCTAGGAAGGAGGGACGGTCCTGGAGGAGGTGTTGCCTGTTGCTACTCGGGGAGCATGGGTGCGGAGGGCGGGGAGAGGTGTGATTGACACTTACTGTGTGTTTTCTGCACCAGCCTGGCGGCAGCTCGCCAGCAACACTGTCCGCCTCTGCAGCTGTGCCCAGCAGAGGACCCACCCCACAGTAGGCATACAACAAGCACTTGATAAGTGGAAAAGGCAGTGCAGTAACACCCAGTGGGGCTCTACTGTAATGTACTTGTTTTGATGAGTCCAGCCAGGCTTCTCAGCCAGCGTGAGCTGGTGACACCCACAGGGCAAGCCTTGACAGGGCCCTAACATCTCAGAGATTAAAGTCACCTGCCACCTCATGCATTGGCTCCCTCCAATATCCCCTGGCATTACGGGTAGCACGGGAGTGTCCAACTGCAAAGGGGCTCAGGTGATGTTACTACAGTTTAGCTTTGTTGGCATTTAGGTAAATCCTCCCTTCCTGCAATTTTCGACTTTAGCTCAGTGTTCTCAGAGACGATGTAAATTATTAAACAAAAGAGCCACTCTGGCTTCAGATCGGATGGCTATTAGCATCACCTGGCACTGAGAAAAGTCCCTTCATGTGGTCCACGTGTCAGCAGAAGGAGCTTATCATTTGGCAACGCAGCTCAAGGCTCAAGTTCTGGCTGATGCTCATCTCAGATGTGCCTGGAACCCAGAAGGACTAATTAAAATGATTCGGGCATTCACTTCGCCTGCAAGGGAAGAGGACTGGCCATGTAAAAGAGAAGAGGAAAGAAAAGAAAAAGTAAATCTTGGTAAAAGAACAGAGGGAATTTGCACGTGCCGTTTGTTTTCCATGTACCACACGAGATATGCCCATGTCTCGTTTTAATTTTTACATCCCGAGGCAGATGCCATGACCTCTGTTTTGCAGATGATGAAGCTGAGGTGCACAGAAACTGTGTAACTCACCCAAAGACTCACAGCAGGGGGAGGACCTGGGGGAGGGCCTGGGACCAACCCCCAGGGCGGCCACACAGTGCGTCCTGAAGGGCTCAGGGGCAGTGAGCAGCGATGCTTGGGGACCAGCCTTAGTCGGGGCCGCCTCCTCTGAACAAGGGAGGCGTGAGTCTTTACCCATTTCAGTGACGTTCAAATTATTTCCTCCCTGTGAGAAGAAAGAGAGATTTCTTTACACCAAAGCGAGCCAAAGTCACGAGGTCCCAGAGCCCCTTTTCTCACCACGTTCTTCACTGCGGGCCCCAACATGGGCACATGGGTGTCTCCTCTACTTGATTATAATCCACACTGTGTGTGCAGGGGCAGAGCTTCCGAGGTGCAGTGCGGAGGTCCCATCAGTGTCAGAGCCAAACTCTTCTGAAAGGCCCATCATGGGAAATAAAAGATTAGAACCGACCCAACTAAAGTGGCTTCAAAAGAAAGATGCCTTTAAGCACCGGTTTTTGTTTCCTGATGCCAAAGGTAAATGCCCCTCCGGGAATTTTGAAAGGAACAGGAGTTGCTGGCACTGGGATGTGGGGGAGTGGGCGGTCGAGGTAACCGGACACCAAAACCAAAAATCTCTATTTGCCGAAGAGCCCCTCTGCCAGATGCCTTGAATGACGAAGAGTGTCCCTTCTCAGTTCGGTCTCCACAAAAGTGAGGGCCAGTGGCTTTAAAGAGGAAAGCAAGGGAGTTAAAAGGACACGCTGAGAAGGCAGGTGGGATCCCCAGGTTAGAGATCAAACAAGGGTTAACGGGAAAGGGAGAGAGAGCCGGAGCTACCCTGACAAAGATGGAACTCTGCACAGCGAAAACCAGGAAAATCGGGAAGAAAATGCTGCTTCAAAGTTCCTCGTATGATGCTTTTTACCCATTTGGAGAGGCCATGCTCACACTCATGTACACACACACACACACACACAACTGATGAGAGCGTTCCCAAGCCTTGGTAACCCTCCAACAACCACTGTTGCCAACTGCTGTGCCCTTTGTCCCAAGCCACCTGCTTGGGGTGTCACAAGCCAAAGATTCCAGCTGAGCACCCCAGGACCGTGGACATGCACGTGAGGCAGGTGCTGCCGGCGCCGAGGAAGGAGCCGGCGCCAACATTCCCCTTGGGATCACGCCAAAAAGCAGCTGCTTAAATAGCAGCCCCGACACCAGCTCCAAGAAGGTTTTTTTCCTGGATGAGAAGGGTCTCGTCTGCTGCCAACACGTGGGCTGAAGGGCAGGGAGAGATATTTGGGCTAAAAGAGACTGACGGGGTGATAAAGTCTGTATTTTTCTTCCTTGGACATTTCAAACCTTCTCAGAACAAAGACCTAGAGCAGTAGTTTTCCTAGCGTTTTCTTTTTCTTTTTTCCCCACAGTGGAAGGAGAAGGAGAAGACTCCCTGCCCTGAAGGAGAAATAATTACCTTCAGATTCTAAGACTGTGTCCCCAATGCTTAGGCCATCAAAGTCACTCATGAATTCAGGACAAACTATAGCCTTCTAGCTGCCCTTTCTTCAAACAGATTTTCTGCCTCTCCTCTTGGAGGAAAAGAAAATTTTAAAAGTGAACACTAGCATTAACCCTAACAATTATGTTCCTCGTGCGTATTCTCAAAGACCCCCGCTGTCATTACGCAGTTAATGGACATGGCAGGCTGCTCAGTGAGGCAGGTCACTGCAGTCACTCCCTCCCAGTGACAGGGGGTCTGGGTGCCGGCAGATTCGGGGCTCACTCACCCTCCTGTCCTCCACCAGCCACAGAACCCGGGCTGGGAACCAGCTCTCCCGGACGACACGTGGAACCAGGAGCAGCCAACAGCCTCCAGAAAAGATTTATAGAAAGAAATGCTTATCGATTAATGACGGGATTTGAAGAGAGCGTTCCCACCCTTCAGGGGAGATCAGACTTGTGAATAATAAACAGAGAACAGGAACAGAAGACAATGCAAAAAAAAACCAGGGTGGCGCTGCACGGCCCAGAGAGGAACGCTGTGATAGTCAGAGAAAGCAGAAGTGTGTGTGGCGGTGGGGGTGGGGGGTGGGGACACACAGAGAGTGTGTCACACACACACACACACACACACACTTTGCACCACCAGGATTCTCATCGATCACAGTGGTGTTCTGCAGTCACACAGTCAGGACACACACTTACACGCTCGACCTAGAGATGGAACAGCACCTCCTCCTGCAGAAGAGAACACATTCAACGTCAGTAAATCGGACCTCTGTGCTCCTCCGCTGTAGAACCTGGATTGAAGAAATCTCCCGTAGCTCAGTGAGGCGTTGCTGCCAGATGTACCTGACCCAGCCTGCATCCCTGCCCCAAAGAGACAAGACGGCGAGGCACTCATAGGGTCTGAAGTACCTTGTCATTGGCTACAATGAGCCAAGCCTTGTAAGTAGCTCCCTGTCTCACTTAAGGCGATTTCAGTGATTTTTTTTCCAAAAAGAAAGACATGAGTTAAAGCAATGGCTTCAGACTTTGGGATTTCACAGAACAATCAAAGTTCTCCTCTCTACCAAAAAAAGAGAGAAAATGTGAGGGACTCAGAAAGTATTTGTTTTGTCCAGTAAAGGCATTTAAAAAAAAAACAAAACGCTGTCATCTACTACTGCTCTCAATTCATAAAAGGAAGAGCATTTTCATGTCAAAGTGGAAGGACCTAAGCTCAGAACTCTAACAGAATTTGGGTAACTCCGTGAAAACCTACCACGCTGTATTTTTCTCACCGCATCGCAGACTGGTGGGAACTTTGCACCGTGTTCCAGCTCTGGGGCAGGCGTGGACCAGGGTGAAGTCCTTTGGATGACATGCTCTGGGTTACACTCTCAGGAAGGTTTCTGGTGGCCCTTTGTTTAGAGATCTCCTTTGCCATGGTGCCATTTGTATGCAAATGTAAGGGAAGCCATGCCAGGGACCTATTCTGTTCCTTGAAGCCACAGTGGCAGGTAGACGGCACCCGGCACAGAGCAGTCTCTGAGGGAACAAGCTCTTTCATCCATCCACCAACGCACTCATTCATTCATTCATCCATCATTTATAGAGCACCCACTGAACACCAGGGACTGTGTTAGGAAATGGAGAAGCAAAAAGGAATCTCCAAGCAACACTGACACATAAATCATTAAACAAGGAGACATAGTTGCAAGATGCAACAGGAGCCGTGAATGAATAGCAGTGCCGAGGCCATGCGGGATGGTCAGAGATGAGGTGGTCCAGGGAGCCAGAGGAGGAGTGGAGGGTGCGTGCAGTGTGCGTGCAGCGTGCGTGGGCATGTGCCACGCCCACCGCAATTCCCACCTCCCGCTGCACAACCCCGCCCACGAAGCTGACAGCAGGCGCAGCCTCAGATTAGGCAGACACCGGTACGCCCCACTGTTCTAATCCTGGAGCTGCTATGCCAGCTCATTAATATGTGCAAATGTGTTCAAAAGCAGCCCATGCACAGCTGCACAGAGGCAGGAATACTGGCCCCCCTCACATTTGCACGCTTCATGGGCTCTCGGACACGGCCAGGGAGCTGCGCCTGCGTGTGGAGCCCCGGTAATTTGCCGGAACACTCCCCTTTATTGGCAGATGTTTTGCCAAACCATGTCTCCCCGACCACAGCTTAAGGACACTTCTGATTCTCACAGCTCGGTAACCGGCCTCTTTCTTAGAAAGCCCTGTCGTGCCGACCGTGGGCGTAATTGTTTTAACAATCCAACTTGTCGATAAAATGGAAGATGGACCAGCTTCTGTGCATTGCACAATTTCTAATAACTGAATTTCTATTCACTCAGAGAGCGTGTAATGAAGGAATTAGACACGAGTTATATATACAAATCAGTGCAAGCCCTAAATCCACTGAAGCCTCAGGAAGTGCATTTTCAGGCCTGGGGAGAAAGTTTGCATAACAATCCAGGGCCAAAGAGGCTGCTCTGAAACACTTCAGCCAGAGCAGATTGTCGTGGCTACCAGGCACGCTCCCCCAGACCTGTGACAAGAGCCCCACTGTCCCTTACCTCAGGGATGACTCTGCCCCCTATTTTTCTAGCTGCTCTTTCAGCTGGAGGTAAAGTCTCCAGGGAAGCTCAATTTCAATTACCACCTTTCTCCACTCCCCATCTCTCCCCTTTCGGGCGACAGATTGACGGCCTCCTCAGGGGCTTCCTGAATGTACCCTGTGACAGGGGACAGCCACACTGAGCCCGCTGAATTGATTTCCGCTGTGTCCCCATTTAGGCCAGGCCTGTGCAGATGATTGTCATCGCTGACCCTCCCCCTTCGGCCCGTCCACGCCCCCCCCCCCCAACAGAGGAATCACAGCCCCATTGGAAATCTTCTCTGCTGGATAAATATTAAACTCTCTCCTGTTTGGTAGCAGGTGGCAGCTGCTCCCTCCCTTCTGGGTTGGGGATTATGTATTTGTGTAATTTTTATATTGTGTTTGTTTTCTCGGCAGATGGCTTCTTCTCATTATTGGGGTGGCATGGTGGGGAAGGAAGGGTGTAACTCTCGGGGCGTGTTCTGCTTGACAAAAGGCAGATAATTAAAAGGTAGCTTTAAAAAAAAAAACACAGAGAGCAAAACTATATAATTTTCACTAAATGCGAACAGCCTGGATCCTGCAATTATCCAAGCAACATCCAAGCAGTGCTGGGAGCAGGGTGACTTGGAGACGGGGTTCCCTCTGAAAGCATTTAGATGCTTCTCCGGGCACACACGTCTCCTTTGGCCCAACTCCCCTGGGCACCCCCTCTGGCCCGCCCCCTCCCCCGGAAGAGGGAAAAACAGGCTCTGGGGTCAGGATGTCCTCACATCTGAATGTTTCCTGGCAGCTCAAGAGTGGAGGCCTTAGAATTGCAAATGCAGCATTAAGTTAGAGCCCTTGGTATAAAATTTGACCTAATTAAGACGCTATCAGGGCAAAGCATTCCAACAGCAATTACCCGGGTTGTAAAGGGGTGAAGTACCCTTTAAAACCAAGAAATGCTTCTGCCAGAAATAAGCACAACTAGGACATCACTTGCCTTGACCGGAGGCGAGGTGCCTCCCCTCCAGCAGCCACCGGGGAGGTGGCCTGCCTGGGTGTCTCCAAGGAGCGCTGGGCTCCCTCCTCTGAAGATCTGTGCCACCTCTGCCATGGACAGGATCCCAAAAGCTGCAGTGACCCTCTCATTTGTGTCCCTTGCCTCCCTTACTGAGTCATCACTCATGCACAGACACGTTTTTGAGCATTTACTATGTACCAAGACTGGTCTCGGCTTCCAAGAGATGCAGAGATGGACCAAAGATGAACAACAGGGTGGCCCCTCGGGACCACCTCTCGGCCAGAATTTGTGGAAAACAGTTTTGGGGTTCTCGTGATGGGAAATAATTCAATTGGGTCTGTTTAGAATATTTAGCCCTTATTACACATAGGCACAGCGTAAGGTCCTGGAAATAAAAAAGAGGAGTATGTTATAGCGTCTCTGTCCCGAGAAGTCACAAGTCGACTGGCAAAAGTAGACATAAACGCATAAGACGATGAGTAATCTCCCTCAGCAGCGGGCAGAGGGAAACCGGGGGGACAGAGGGACTCATCCTGCCTGGTTTGCAGAACAGGTGCCGCTACTTTAAACTAAGTTCACAAGAGGGGATCTAGGCTCCGGGGCCCAGCTCCCTAGGTTTAAATCCCAGCTCCTCCACTTAATCTGTGACCTCCGGGAAGTTACTTAAACTCCCTGAGCCCCATGGCCTCACTGTGAAGTGAGGCTGAGAAACACCTGTGAGTTGCTTCCAGGTTTAAGAAGGCAGTCTGTGAAGAATGTAGCACAGTGCTTTCTCCATCATTAGCTATGAAATGCTGGTCAAGTTACTTGAACTTTCTGCTTAATTCCTTCCTTGCATGTTCAGAAAATAGAATAAACACGTGTAAGTGCTTGTCACAATGCCTAGCATGAAGTCTTAGTTATTGATCTTTTTATTACTACCAACAACCCTCCATGAAAAAGCTTCATGTTACCCCATTGTCTTCATATTCAAGGGGAAAGACCATCAACCTGGAAATCAGAACTTTAATATGAGAGATTTAGAAAAATTGAAATTTTCATCGATAAATTTCCCTCTTCCAGAACCTTCCTCGGCGCCTTCTTCCCCGGGAGGCACAGTCAGGGGCTCTGCCACACACCAGTGGCACCTGGAGTGACAGCCACCCAGGGCCATACTTATCACTTGTCTCCCAGCTCGTCCGTGAGCCCTTGGAGAGCTGGACTTGCCTTTCACCCGCCTGTCCCGTGGGACGTTCTAAATCCATGTTTGCTGAAGGAGCCACTCCAAATTTTTAGTGGAGGAGTTTGCGGAGGCTGAGAAATTCAATCGACTTAGGTAAAGGCACCAGTTTAGTTAGTGGGAAAGGAGCCGAGAACTGAGAGTCTTGTCTGTACTGTCCTCTCCTCCCTGAGACTATAAAATCAGCCTCTACAGAGTGATAAATGCGAGCGATTGTTTTCTTTGCAAATAATTCTTTATTTTAGGGGCTTAACATCAATTAGCTCTCCATTGCAAGCTCCTCCAGTACATTTAAAAACTAATTTGATTTCGCAAATGCCAATGGATCCGCATCATCCCGGTCATGTACCTGTTTGCAAAGCAAGTGAGACGGGATCCTGTCTCAGGATATTAACTGAGGCGCATTATCAGGATGACTAATGGCTTATTGTTGGCTTTGCCTGCCAAGCAAAAAAGCTGAAAAATTACATAAGGAAGCCATGACCAAAATATCAAAAAAAATGACTAAAAATAAATAAATAACATAAAAGCCATGACTGTAACACTCTGGTTTGTTCTTACTTCATGGGAATCCATCCAAACACCCAAAGAGGTGGAGAAGAAATAGTAAAATCCGAAACTCAAATCCTTTCCGTCCTACCCAGAACCAGGTCTCTTCCTGACCACAACTCATGATTGTAGAACACAAGAACTGTTCATATCCCAAAATGAGCTCTTAGTACTCAGAGGCACGTTTTCAAAGTCAAGGCCTTTGATTTCGAAGAGCCAGGGAACATTATAAATTAGCTCCCGTTTTCTAGCCAAAAGTTTGGCTTTACTGACATGGGGTCCGTTGCATCCTGTTCTGGTGAGTGGGACTCCGTGGGCACCGACACAGTGTTAGCCCCCCAGAAGATGCTTCGTGGGGAGGTTGGCTTCTCTCCACTCTTCGGGGTAAACAGCAGTTATGAAGAAGAGGAAAGAACAGGGCAGGGGTGGGGCTCAGGTGAAAAGGGAGACGTCGGAAATAGGTCCTCACAGGACGGCGTCCACCTCTGTGCACACGAAATCACACCGCTCCCGCCTCGGACCCTCTCCTTCAGGGACTTCTGCTGCAGTGGTCACTCTTTCCCTGCCCTCGGATCTTGTAAAGGGCAGGAAGAAGCAAGCAGAGACTCTTGTCACGGCAAATGTGCCGAGTCTAAATCCCATGATCTCCCTTTCGGATGCCATTGGCCCAGGGTGCTGGCGACCACAGTGCGCGACTTCATGCACAGCCCCTGGTTCTTAATGCCACTTCAGACTCTGGCCGACAGATTTGCTATTCTACACACTAGCGATGAACTTAGCTTTGATCTTGACCTACAAGCGGTGGTACAATTTGACCATATTACTTATCAGCCCCCCAAAATTACATAAATAGATGAAACCCCTATATTATTAAGAAATGGCAAGGCACTAGGTCCTCTGAACATAGCTTTAAGTATCAGTTATCACATTAGGCGGTAATTTCCACATTTATATGTCTGTCTCCCTCACTAGACCCAGAGTATTTTAAGTGTCAAGATCATCTTGTTGGGAAAGCAGTGCAATGTCTGATACAGTATTCAGTTAATATTTGACAAATGCGTGAACAAATAAATGTGCATATGTCCAGGGACAATGTGGCTAAAAGCCCAGATTCAGAGGTCAGGCTACCTGCTTTCCAATGCCAGCTCTGTCCCGAGTAGCTACATGACCTTGGACAAATTGCTTAATCTCTCTCTTCAGATGAGTCTTCAGATTCCTCATCTATAACATGTTGCAACAATAATATATATACTTCCTAGAATGCATACCACCGTGCCTGTCACCAAGTAAATGCTCAATAAATACTGTCATTGAAATGCAAATACATGGCCACCGTAGCTACCAAAAGACTCCGAGCATTTAGCCGGTTTGATCCCCAACTTTAGCCGGGAAAACCCTATTTCATAAGCCTTCATTTCATAACCTGAAACATGATTTAATGGCCTTGCAGAATGTGAAGGAGTTCCAGACACAGGTGGTGGCAAGCTGCTGTTTTCCGCCTCCTCTGAAGACTGGCTGAGAGTCTCGAAGAGCCACGGGAGGGATTTGGGTACAAAGTATTAGGAAGAGCGTTCTCATGTTGGAGGGCGTGAAATTCTAGGCCAGAGCTTCCAGGCAAGCCACAGAATCCCCCTCTTGAGATTCTTTAAAAATTGGATGCTCAATCGGCTTCCTCAAAGGTGGTTAGCGACCAAGAAAGCATCTCACATTAATATAACCAGCAGCTTGCCCAGGTCAGCCAAACTTGAGTCACAGTGCAGTTGACCTAGTTTCAGCGAAATACTTTTAAATACTACCCGGAGGTAAATACGAAAAGGAAGAAGGTATGGAAAGCAGATGCCCCTACTGAGTGAGCCTGTAATGAAACATTTAGTATGCTGTTAGTCCCCATTCGACATGACATTCATTCAGTCTCATTAGGAAGCCCTCTCTGAAGGACCTGAATGAAGGGCTGCTGGGACTACTTCCTGGGAGCAGGCAGCCTTGCGGCCATGCCTGGAGGCAAGCTCAGGTGAGCACCCTACGAACACCCGGCTGCGTGTGAATCAGCTACACGCCATGGCCGGCTCTGGCTGGCGAACACGCGAGGGAGAAAGGTAATTCTGTCCCACTCTCCGTGGAGGGCAAGTGTCCCAGAAACTCCCGTGAGTCAGATACCCAGATTACACACCTATTATTATTCCTTTCAAGCAGAAGAGTGTTTTGCATACTTCCTCTTGGGAAGAAAATATTCTGGTTTTCAGTGAAGAGGCAGATGCGGTCGCTTGCTCTTCTCCTTCGCTGCTCAGAGGAAGAGACCAAAGAAAAAAAGATTCCTAAGGGGGGCGGGGGGACGCCAGCAGAACCTTTGATCTGGAGCGACCTGAGGCTCAAGTGAAGACAAAGATGGATAGGGGACTGCATGCAGGATCAGGGACTGAGGACTCTTGGCTTGTTTACAGTTTATGCCCTGGCAGGGGACTGGACAGCAGGCTGGAATGGCTATACGTGATAAAGACACTTAAATGGAATTTAATGGTTTGTTCCCTTCCAAATTACTGAACGCGTTAAGTTTAAATGCTTTCATATAAATATTAAATTGTATGTCTATAGCAGAATTGCAAATTTGCACGTTACCACTCCATTTTTTTAAGGAAAATGTCCCATCTTTATTTCCTGAAGCTATTCTTCCTCCAAGACCACACACAGCCCAGTGAGGAGCAGGAGAATCAAAACAGACTTGCCGGTTACTAATCGCTGTCTCTTCCCCTATTAAACAGTGTCTTTAGGTAATTATTTTTAAGAGAGAATTCTATGTCTTCTCTTTTCACAAAATGGCTCACAGTGAAGGGCGATGGAGTGGGCCCTAGTCTTTCTGGGTGGCTGGTCTGGCCCTGCCCTGACCCGGTGTTGGCTGGGGCCCCCGTGGTCCCTGGGACCCTTGGGGACACTGTACAGTCAATCATTCCCTACAGGAGCCCACATGCCCTGGGCTGCAGAGAGCTAAGGCCCTGCCTCAGATCACCATCACCCCCAAGGCCAAGCTGCGGGGGCTCCCAAACCGCCCTGGACAAGAGATGCCAAGCGCACGCCGGCTTCTCCTCGAGGCCGGCAGCCTCTCCCAAGCACTGGACAAGGAAAGGCACCACCAGCCCTGTGCTCTTGGGCCCCCATTTTTAGCAGCAGTTGCCCACCATGACCTGGTCTCCTCCCCACACTTCCCTCTCACAAAGAAATAAAATAATATTTTTCTCTTCCAGCTGCACTTGCTTTGTTTTAGCACAACTGGTTCTAACCAGCAGAAGCCGTAAAATGATCATGACCTTCAGCAACCTCATCCACATCAGCAGCACCACGAAAAGCTAATAAACAGCTAAGACCTCTGGGTGACCCTGGGTTGTCAGGCCCCTACTGGACCCAGCGGAGGGCTCTCTCCTGGCCAATGAACAACAGGGCCCGTTTCAATCAGCCCCCCGCGGATGAGCAGGTGCGTTGTGACGGCCACAGTGCAAGCCTTCGATCAGAATCAGCATATGTACCCTGACATCGCCCTTTCCAGTGTATGAAGCCCCTGGCGTTCCCCCTCAGCAAATTTGTTCCCTTTACCTGGGACATAACCGAGTTCAGTGCCGGCTTTGTTTACACTCCAGGCCCTGCTTTTCCATTTATAACCCCAACGGGAGGAGAAAGTGGGGACACAGGCATCCAATGTCCTGGCCCTTCTCTTGGGTCCCCACTCTCCTCCTGGAAAGCGCTCCTTTCCATGGGGCGGGACCACCCCTACGTCACTGCTTCCTGGGACACTAAGCCACAGACCTAGCCCTGACTGAGGGCAGGTGGGACACAGGGAGAGAAACCAGCTTAGTAACAAGGACACATTTTGAGTAGTTTTTAAATATTATTCCTGTGATATGGCTACATCGAGAATGAAAAGTCCACAGTTTAATCCAGTGGGCAACAAGACAGTCAAGATTTAACTTACTGAGTATACACTGATAATTAGTTTAAAAAAAAAAAAACACTTATACAAGTGCAATGCTTAGCATGTACCAGGTACTCTTCTCTGAGCTTGACTCACTGAATTCTTCCAGTGTCCCAGTGTGGTAGGTACCGTGGTGATTATCGCCCTCGTGTTACAGAGAAGCACATGTAACTTGGCCCAGGTTACAGGGAGAACTGTGCACCAGCCAGGATGCAAGTCTAAGTGTCTGACTCTGCCGAAGCCACCCACTCCCACCACCGTTCCGCCCCCGGGTGCCGGCAATGGTACCGCCCCAAAGAAGCAGCCCTCTTTTCATAAGAAGGGAACCGCGTTTACCAAGGCCCCTCTGGATGCAAAACCCTGAGGCACAAATTTCCTCATTTAATCTGAAAGAACAGACTTGTCAGAAGACAGACTATGCAAGGGTTAATTAATGAAGCAACTCCTTTCACTGAAGAAACTTTTGTTCCTATTTTCCCCGACTGAAAAAATGGATGACATAAGAGTGGACTTGGAAGTTAAGAAGATCGGGGCCTAGATTCTCGTTAACAAAGGGCTCTCCCCAGCCCTTCACGCCTTTCCCACGGTGGAACCGTTACTAGCAAAGACTTCAGGGAAGACACCACGAAATGTGCCATGGACGAGCATTTGCTATAAAATCCTCAGGTTTAATCACCGCCCACAGAAGTGTAGCACTTTGCAGCACAAAACCTGGACACACCATCACACGGACAAAAACAATGTTCTTTAGGGGGATCGAGTCTCCGCAAATCTGACCAACAGAACCAGGCCTTTCCATTTGGGGTCTAAAAGAAAAGGAACAGAAATCTCCAAGATGTCCCCCTCCTCCCTCTCTCTCCAGCGACCCTCCGAACATCAACTTGCAAAGGTCTGAGGCAGGGAGCGAGGGATACACAACGTCACGCACTCACCCCTCCTCTCCTAGGGAAGGGGTGAATTTTTAGAAAGTGTTTTCCATCATTTATTTGACTGACGCTCCATCCATCTGCATCATTAGGTTCAGTAGTTGCCATGACAATATGATGCCTACAGCAATCTAACTTGATAGCCAGATGCCAGAATGTGAAAAAATAGGACCCGCTAAGAAAGTGAGAGAAATATAATTAATCTGAACCGCCTAAAAATGTGCACAAAACGAGGACCAACAGGGAAACTGCTGAAATGCCACTGAAAAGGGAATTATGACAAGAGTCATCAAGTTTTAGTATAAGAACGTTGGCTAAGGACAGCCATGAATCCGTGGTCCATAACCGAACCTGAGGAAGAAGTCAGATTAGTCCAGGACATGGCTCAGAGTGCCCTGCCCCAGAATTCCTGCTGCGGAGCCCAGTGGGGTCCTCGCTAACTCCAGTGGTGGTGTCCCCAGGCCCTGACTTGTCTGGGAATCTGAAGACACCGTCCTCTAAGCTGCCCCATGGATGGCACCCTGCTCCCTGCTCCCCTCCCGTCTGCGATCATGCCCAGTTTTTCCATCTGATGGAGTCGTTTCTGTTGCGTGAAGCTGATCTTAAAAGACTGGACTGAATTGGACACTTCGGGAGCCTGCCCCTTTGCCTTCTCCATACCCCGTGGAGGCAACAGGCCAGCACGACCCTCCTGGGGCCCTGACAAGGGCTGGGAGATGAAGAACGGAGAGTGACGTCAACGCTGTGCCCGGGGGAGGTCGTTCCTCACGGCTGGGTCGGGTAGCGGCGCTGAGCGAGGCGGTTCGGCCGGCTCACACTCGGAGCTGTGCACAGCTGGAAGAGAGCAAAGGTCACACTGGCTTAGAGCCCCGAGTGCGGCTCCTCCCAGGACTGGCTGGTTGGGCCAAGTTGGGCATCCAAGCATCTAGAGTGCTCTGGCTGCATCTGGCTTCCCAGGGTGATGTTCTAATGATCAACGTCCACCCGGCACCTCGACCTCTTACATACAGCAAAACAAATTCGATTTTATAAACGGGGGAGGCCCAGGGACATAGGAGAGTCACCAGTGTCCCCAGATCACTGCAGAGCAGGGAGTTTGGCCTTTTTCAATGTTGGCAAGGATCCCCTCACCCTGGGACACGGCAGTGGTGCAAGGTCTCTGGTGACGTCACCACCCCGTGTCCCTTAAGTCTTGAGATGTACGAAAGGTCAATGTTGACAGTGGCAGCACTGACTGACCCTCTTCTGTGTGCCAGGCCCTGCACATGTACATGCTCCTATGAAACCCCCACAACTATTCGGTGAGGCAGCCACTACTCAGCCCATTTTACAGATGCAAAAACTGAGACTTAGAAAGGGCGAGCCACTGCTCAAGAACTCACGCACCATAAGTGGACAACTAGGATTGCAAACCCGGATCCGTAACCTGTGCTAACCCCCCGCCCCTCAGGGCTTCCTTACCTGGGGGACCTGAGATGGGTTGTAGAGAGGAACTGCCCCTCTCGTGGGGGGTGGGGGGGGCAGGGCACCAGGGCTGAAGTAGTGCTCAGAGGACACACCCTGCGACAGAAAATAATAGAAAATCAGTCCACCGCTCCCCGGACCCCAGAGCACCGGGGCCGTCCCTGAGTGGCAGATTTGGACGGGACAGGCCGATGGGAAGGTTCCTTGATAGAACTCAGGGAATCTTGAGCAACCAAACGTGGTTCAAGTGGGCGCAGCCAACCCTTGGGTACGGCGGTACCTGGAGCCCAAGAGGAGAAAAAGCCACAATAACTTGTATTGATGGCATCATGAAAAGTAGCATTTTCCTTGAAAGGTCTTAAAGAACTGTAAGAATGCTCTAACCAGGACACAAGAAATAAAAGCGTCCTCCTGGCCAGCTACATGAAAGCACAAATGCAGACAATTCATCGAGAGTTTATCACAGCCCTTGCCAAGGCCACGGGTGAGCTCTGCCTCCCCCCGGGACACGGGAAGTTCTGTAGATTTCACCTAAGGAAGCAGTTATGGGCTAAGTCATGTCCCCCCCAAACTGCATATGCTCAGATCTACATCCCAGTACCTCCCAATGGACTGGGTTATAGGGTCCTTACAGAGGGGACTAAGGCAAAGTGAGGTCCTTGTGGGGCTCCCTAACCCAGAACGATTGGTGTCCTTGGAGGAAGAGGACATTTGGACACAGACACACGGAGAGATGGCCACAGGAAGACTCGGGAGAAGGCAGCCATCTACCAGCCAAGGAGGGAGGCCGCAGGAGAAACCAACCCGCTGAAACCCTGATCTCGGGTTCCGACCCCCAGAGCTGGGAGGGAGTTGCTTTGTTTAAGCAGCTCTGTGTGTGACCCCTTGTCACAGCAACGCCAGCAAACTTACAGCAAAGCTTTCCCCACCTTCCCTGTGTGTCAGGGCCCCGCCCTCGGGCTACTCACCTGTGGCCCAGACAAGCCTCCAATCCCAGTGACCTCGGCTGTTCCTCCACCGGGCGCTGGTCCTTGGACTTCACCCCCACCTAGAAAGGCGTGAGTCAGAACTGTTTCCACTGCCCAGGACTGCGGAGTCTCCACTCCCAGAAGGCACCCCCAATCGCCAGGAAGCACGGACCAGACCACCACAGCCCAGGGGACATGAGGTTGGCCGTACCTGTGGCCCCGGAGAAGGTGCCAGTGCCTGGCAAAGACGGGGGCTCTGGGAGAGGCGTCCGTGAGAGGCCTGGGCCAGCCTGGCGAGGAGGAGGAGACGCGCTGGGGGTCTCCTGCTTCATGAAAAGGGAAGGGCAGCGCTGGGGTTAGCAAATCCACGAGGGCCGGCTTGTGTTCCTACAGTGCCCACACCAGGGTGTTCCCCCCAAACCCCACTTCCTGTGGGCCGCTGCCCTGCTCCCTGAGTCCCAGTGATCGCTGGCCTTCTGAGTTTCAATTCATCATCCTAACTTTTATGGACCTTCCCTTCGCAGGATCCATTTATTTCCCAGGACCTCCGTCCCTGCACCCGGACGAGGCTGAAGTCCAATGCCAACGCCAGGCCCTCTGAGCCTGAGGAGCCATCCTGGGAGGGGCCCACACAAGATGGGGCTTCCCGGTCCCCCCGCCAGGTTACCTCCGAGTTGGGGCCGTCTGAGGAGTCTTCCTCTCCGGAGGGGGATGCGCTGTGGGTGGGCTTCGAGCGAAACCAGCCGAACCAGCCAAACCCTGAGCTCTGGGGGCAGGAGCGGGGGCAGAGTTCAATGGCCTGCAGGTGTGATTCTCCCTCAGGGCCTGAGATTAGTCACCCCAGGGTGAGGTGGTGACCTGGGGCAGGGACACAGCCCCAGCCCACCGCCTGTGCGCTCTGCCCCACGCCTCCTACCTTGGCTCTCTCTGCAGTGTGATGGGAAGACTTTTTATCTGCTTCATCAGAAGAATCCTCCTCCTCTTCCTCCTTGGCCGAAACGGTGGCGCTCTCGGAAATGTCGTGTGTCCTGGGAAGCAGTGGCACCTGGGATGAAAGAGAACAAGAGCTCACCTGTGTAATGCCCTGGACAGGTTACAAGGGCACCTTTTACATGGGTGCCGTCACCTGACTAGCCTGCTCACCCACTCCGTGGGATCATCCTGCTGGGTTATACTTCACTGATGGGGAGGTAGGACTTAGCCATGCGACGGGACTTGCCGAAGGTCCCAGGTCAAGGCCAGAGCCCAACCGTGGTCTGCACACTATCCCCAGTCCCCCGGGGGTTTTGGGCGCTGGGCCAGCTCCCTGGGAACATCGGGTTTCCAGGACTATACCAAAGCCCGGAGCAGGGGCAGGAGAGGCTACCGCTGGAAGTGAAGAGGGTCAGGCAACACCCGCAGGGACCCACATACCCAAAAGGACAGTCAGAGTAACCCCCAAGCCTAGAGCCCACTTCCAAGCCCACTTGCTCAAAGGCTGCTGTAAACAAAAGCACCAGAGAGGAGCAAACAAACTATCCCCATGTCCCTTAATGTCAAATTGTTGTGCTGTGTTCAGTAGAGCAGAAAGTTTGCCAGTGTAACCGGTTTTAAGTGTAAATCCAGTGGCATTGGTATATGCACAACGTTATACCACCATCATCATTTCTAGAACTTTCCTTAACTTCAGCGGAAACTCTGCGCCCGTTAAACACTAACTCCCCATTTGCCTCGGTCACCTCCACTCTACTTTCTGTCTCACATCAATGGAGTCACACAACATTTGTCCTTCTGTGTCATATTTTACACTGTCCAAAAAAACCTATAATTGGTACAACCTTTGGAAAATACTTCGGCAATCTGTAAGAAAAGCTTTATAGTTTACTGCAGTGAGTGCAGCATCTACTCTGTGTACAACATACTGATCCTGGTTTTGCAGGTACCATGAAAACATGTCACCCTTACGACAGTACTGTGAGGTTGGTGCAGCGACCACCCCATTTCGCAGAGGAGAAAACCAAGGCACAGAAAGGTGAAGCAACCTGTTAAAGGTCACAGGTAGTAAATGGCAGATAGGAACCCAAACCCAGGCAGGCTGGCAGACAAGGGCTTATATACCAGGTTATTTAATACATAAGGAAGGGGGAAGGGAGGGAGGGAGGGAGGGAGGGAGGGAGGGAGGGAGGGAGGGAGGAGAGAGGAAGAGTATGGAAGAAAAAAAGGAAAAGAGAGACAAAGGACACAATGGCGAAGGGCGACCAGCTAAAATCCGGCTCCTCTCCAGGGCCTGGCTTCTGAGCGCCTCGCACTGCTCCCCGATTTCTAGACTCAGGGCTTCCCCCGCTGCTCCCCGACGGCACCCAGCCGGCCCTGCTCGGGTGCTCCCTCTGCCCCGAGCCGCTGTCCCCGGGGCACTCACCCCAGTTCATGCTCACGCTCAGGCCTCCTCCGGGACGCCCTCCCTGCCACCCCATGTAAAGTCAAGTCCCTCTGCGTACAGGAGGGTTCTTGTGGGCACCTCCACTAAATGGGAGCGCCGTGTGGACACCGGGTCTGGTTCCCTGTGTGTCCCCAGCCCCCATGACCATGCCCACTGTGGGAGCTCAGAATTTGTGAACGAACCAGTAAATGGATGCATGAATGAATGGATGCATAAACGAATGAATGAACGTGCTTTCATACAATGAAAAGTGCTTTCCACACCAATACTAACAATCTTACTTATGAATGACATGGGAAAATCTCATTTTATAGTGTTCAATACCAAATAGGAAGTAAAGCTGCATACATACATGTTCTCAACCACTTAAAACATGTTGTTTGCATGTATATATACATAGATACACATATACGAGTACTGAAATAACCAACTATTTGACTTTGGGATTATGAGTGATGTTGGCTTGATTCTTTATTCCTTAAGTTTTCTATAATTAAGAATGTACTAGTTTTTTAGCTGGAAAAAGAAAAAGTAAAGTATACAGGTTTTTAAGACCTGTAGTTGGCCGATACTTGAGAAAGTTACGTTATACAACTGACCAACCAGGCAAAGCTAAAAAACACATCTTACTTTTGGGACCAGCGCTGCCCTTGTTGGGGGAGGGGAGCATCCGTTCAACCGCTAGACGACATGATTAATCAGACACGGTCACTGCTGAGACCTTACAGCATCACCAAGGACAAAAGACAGAGCTGCTATAGACCCTTCTTGGGAGCAAAGCAAGGTAGAAAAGAAAGAAAAGAAAGAAACACCCAGAGTCCCCCAGGACGGGGCAGGGCGTGGCAAGTGTTCGGTGTAAAGATAAGAAGAACGTGTCAGGCAGAGCAGCCCTGCGAGGTCAGAACTGGCCCTGTCCTGGCCCCGCTGCCCTGGCCGGGGTGGGGGAACATAGGTGGGTGGGACCGAGCATCCGGGAACACAGTGCCCCCACGTCTCAGGACTCAGTGTAGAGGACAAACAAGGTGCCGTGGAGAAGGGTGAGCTGGGGCCAGGCAGAGGAGGGAGTGTGCGTGTGGCTGAGACACCTGGTGACGAGGAAAACCTGATGCTCAGGGCGGGCTTCGTCCTCTCACCTGTGGTTCGGAAACCACCTCTGGACCGTCGGGATGCTGGGAAGTGTCTGGAGACCCTGTGTCCTCTCCTGCGGCACAAAAAGAAACAGATGTCATGATTCGTGATTGTACCTGTCCCAACCATCCTGGGGAAGGTAATGGGGGCAGTTGGATCTTCTAACCACAAAGCAGCCGGAGCTCCAACCCCGAAGCCCCAAGCATATCACACTGGACATGAGGACCCCTTGCCCGGCCCTCTCAATTCAATTTCAGCTGCCCCAGGACATGCCAATCACCCTTCCTCTACCCTGGACACCACATTGCTCCTCAGGAACCCTGGCAATCAGGGCCACATCAAGCTAGGACCCGGGGTCCTCCCTGGCCAGGCCACTCCCCCCATTTGAGTGTCCCGTGGTGGGCAGGCCCTTATCTGAGGAGGTCCAATAGCTGATCTAACTGGCTGGCCTCCCGCACTTCCCTGGTGATACCCAGCACGGCTCGCCCACTCTCAGCCCTGATGTCCAAGGCCCGAGGGGCCTAGGACACCCGGGACCCAGACAGGAGCACGGGTCTCTGTGGGCAGTGAGTGCTTGGACTTTGGTAGGAGGACCTGACCTTCACCACAGCTCTCCACCCTGCAGCCTCTGTCCTAGAAACCCTGTGACACTTGGGGAGGGCCAGCAGGGCTGCTGTCAGTCTTGCGGTGCTTGTCCCAGTAGACAGCAAGCTCCCTCGGATGTGTGCAGAGCACCAGCACCGGGCCCGACACACAGTAGGCCCTCTGTCAGGTGCACACCCCCATTCAGGTCTTTCCCGGCTCCCCACTGGTCCCTGCCTCCCCTCATCGGCTTCTTCCCTCCAGACCTGTTCACCTCCGCCCCCCCCCCCCACCACCACCAGCTCAGCACAGGCCTTACCAGGATGCAGCTGTGTTCCATGGGCCTCCTCCCAGGCCCTGCCTCCGGGAGCCTCTGTCACAGCCAAGCCACCACTGATCCCCGGCAGGTGGGTCTCCGGAACTGAGTAAAGAGGCACCGGGACCCCAGCCTGTCCCCAGTCTCCTCCTGCTGCGTAGGAGTCTGGCTGGAGTGGAAAGGGCTGCTGGGGGCCCGGCCGGACCGGGCCCGTGGGTTCCACTGTCAACCACGGGGCTGCAGGGTCCGCAGTGGCTTCCGAGTCACCTCGATGTCCCGAAAGATCGTGGTAGAAAGCGTTCTCTAAGGACACAGGGCAAGGAGACAGAGGTGAGACCTGAACCGCATCCGCACGGGCTAATCGCCCCAGGCACGTTCCCGCCCACATCCTTGTTGGAAAGCGGGCACGAGAACAGGCCCCTCGACGTGGCTGCCACGGATGGGATGCCAACCACCGCACAGCCACTGTGGTGCCACCACCCACTGCTCGTGGCACAGAGTTCAGACGAGTGTTTCCCTCCCACCTTGTGCGAGCCCCGAGCCTTCAACAGGGGGGTTGGGAGGCAGAAGTGACCATCTTCTGTAACGCCACACTTTTTATCTTCGGAGAAACTTTCTCCTTCAAGGATTTCCTAACGGGCTTAGAAATCTGAGTCCAGTTAAAATGCCCATTGGGCTGCAGAAACGATGGCTTTGCTTCTAAGGAATGGGAGCACTGGCCCTGGACGGGCCCTTGGTGGCGCTGGTTCTGGCTCTGCCATTCTGCCGATGAGAAGGGCTGTATGTGCTGTGTACCATGACTGGCCCGAGGTCATGGCATGGGACAGGGCGACAGCCCCACCTGCTCGGTGGGGTGACGGGAGGCACAGCTGCTTCCTAGCGGCAGCGGCCGTTCAGAGACACCCAGCCTGGCTCTCCTCCAGCCCTTGACCTTCACACATTCTGCGACTCAGCAGCAACGCCAAGAAATGGAAACCCAAACCTGCCCCGCCAGCCCTCCCCCTTCACTCATCCCCAAAGGAAGAGGTAGAGGCTGGGAAAAGGCCTGAAGCAAAGAGCGAGGCCTCATTCTCACTCCACCGTGACATGTCATTTGGGAAAAGGGCTCGGAATTAACTGGGGGCGATGAGGCAACCCAGCCAAACCCAGAGGCACCCGAGGGGGAAGGAAGCTCGTGCTGAGACGCCCTGAAATGTATTTCACATGTGCCTGGCAGCCGATCGCTCGGAGTCTGGAGATCCCGAACAGCCTCCACACCAACTTGAAACAGAGGTCACGCACCGTCTCCGACCTCGTGAAATATATTCAGCCTCGGAGACGGCAGGACAGAGATGAAGCCGTTAGAGAGGGATAGGAAGTGACAAGTGTTAAAACCTGAACGTGAAGCAGAAGCTCTGATAGCGTAAGGACTCAGACGTGTCAGGACGACTGCGGCTGCAGGCGCGGCGTGGGGACGGCACCCCGACCGTGGGGTCAGCCTGACACAGGCCACGAAGAAGGGGCAGGACGGGAGGGGCGGGTGTGTTTTAAGTGACGCTGCCTCCTGTCCCCAGGTCCCGAGCATCAGCTCCGTACACACTCGGCTCATCAGTTTCGGTACCTGTTGTCCCTCGGGCCCCCGAAACATCCGAGTGAGCAGAACAGGGTTCCCCAGTGTCTCCTGCTACCTTGTGCTAATTGAGATAAAGGAAAATCCTTTAAGCAACACAAAGGGAAACAAGAACAGGGAATGATGATTTAAACATTAAGTCAAAAAGAAACTAGAGGGTAACCAAGGCAAGGGAACCTCAGTGGAGTGCCAGGGGCTGGTGGGGAAGGTGGGGGGGTAAGAGGGGTGGGTAGCAGCCTCAGCCCTTCCTGTCTCCAAGCTCTGCTGAGAGCAGGCAGGGACCCAGGACGGGGAGACTGGGCCATTGTGTCCCCTCCAGAAAGGGGCAAGCCAAGGAACCCGATGCCCCAGAGTTGGCAGCAGGTGGACAGAGTAAGGGCCACGGGCACCTTAAAAATTCCACCCCATCCTTTCTCAGAAGGAGTGGGAGAAAGAACATGGAGGAAGCCCTGTTCCAATTATTGTTACAATTACGACCAGCAGCTTTTGCAATTGTCAGGACAAAAGGGAAAGGCCCGGAAGTCTTTTAAGCGATCGCCCTACATTACATGAAAGAGGCGTGGGCGCACTATGATCCGTCCTTCCTAAAGGAGCGGAAGCCTTGATCCTCATAAAACGTATTTTCTGGGACCTCGAGCGGGTGGCAGGGATGATTTTGAAAAGAGCCCCACCCTCTTGCAAGCGAATGTAGGAAAACGCTTCCCCGGAGAAAGGCCGAGGTGTGGAGCTGAGCACCAACCCCTCCCAGGTCAGACGGAGCCTCCAGGGTGATAGGGTCGGGGGCTTGCCAAGGTCAGTGCCTGCGCCCTCTATGTAAACGGGAGCTCAGAGGAGAGCAGAGGGCTCCCACACCGGTGCCGCCCCAGGCCCCGCTCACCTCCAGCTCCCTGCGCAGCTTCCGAAGGCTCACGAGCCAGGGGGGCTCCAGGTCCCGGTCCCCGCGGCGTCTCTCTAACAGCAGAGGATCGGACAGCTTCAGCTTCTCCGCTAGCTGCGCCAGGTTTGCAGGCAGGTCGGGGCAGAGAGTACGAGAAGGAAACAGAGGGAGACAAACGAGTAAGAGAAATGGCAAGAAAATGGGGGAAGATGCGATCAGGGGAAAGGAGGCAGCGCCGGAACTCACTCGTAAATTGCATCATAAAGCCTAATCTAGAGAGGGCACATCCGGCAGATACCTCCGCAAAACTGCAACATGCAAACGCAATGAACCCACCCTGGGTTCAGACGTAAGTGAAAGGTGAGGAGAAACTGCTACTCGGCTCTGTGTTCCTGCAAAGCTTCCTGCTTTGTGCAAGTGCATCTCACACTCTCACGCCCCTCGGACCACCTGGGACCTTGTTGAAATGCTGACTCTGATGCCGGGACTCTGGGGGGCGCCCCGGTGGATGCACGCCTGTGCCCACTGGTCGGCGGACTACTTCGTGTTGCAAGACCCTATCCCACTGTTAAGTTTCAGAACTTTCCGCCCTCTCCACGCTGGGTGCCTGAGCTCACTGCTAACATCATCCTACGGCAGAAAGCTCAGAGCAAGGAAGATCAGCACCGCGGATTCATTGGTTACAGAACCTCGTCTGAAGCAAAGCAAAAACAGACAGCAGGCTGCCTTTTTATTCTCCAGCTAAGACATTTTTCTTCAATTAATTGGAACTCTTTCCCTGATTTTCTTCCCCCTGGAACTAAAAGTTGGTATGTTTTGTCTTTTAAGGGCATCCCACACGTGATCAAGTATTCCATGCATTTAGAAGCATTTTAATGAGGGGCATTTCCTACTTTCATCAGTAAAATGTGTTCTCTACGCGTAGCTTTTATAATTAGAATGTTCCACCTTAACGTGCCATTTTACTGTACCAGAGAAGCAGATGCAAGAATGAGTGTCTTGCATTGCACATGCCCAGCTCCCACTGCCCCCAGCCCCCCTGCCATGCCCCCACCCATAGCAACCTTCTTTGCACGGTGTCAGGCCTTGGCTGATCACATCTGGGCATGCACACAAGGTCAAAGACAGCCCGGGTTCCTGTTCCACAGCAGGCTCAAAGGAGACGAAACGTGGGCCCAAGCTACTTTGCAATCGCTTGCTCTGAACACTGAAGATAAAACAGGCGCAGAGAACCCTGTAGGAAGCTCACCTTGATGAGTTCCACCAGCAGCACCGGGTGACTGCTCTCTCCCTGGCTAAGCAGGGCCATGCCAACAGCTTCGCAGTAATGCAGGGCCTGGGACGCAAGGCCGAAATCTGCCAGCCGGGAAGCATACAGGAGCTTATACACCTGCGAGGAGGAACAAGGCCGGTGACTGGTCCACCCAGGCAGGGGTAGACAGAGAGGAAAGAAGCCAGCAGGCTGCCAGCTTCCTGTGACTCTGGCATCTAAACACCAAGGAGGGCTGAGTACCATTCGGGGCAGTCTATCTGTGCATGGGCCCAAGGCCAAGGGCAGCCCACAGCTCCTAGAGAAAGGGATGGAAGTCCCATCCCTCCGTCTCCCTGGGCCCTGGTCACCATGGAAATGCGGCCCACTCTCCTGGAAAGCCTCAAGGGGCACAGGGCCAAATGCCAGGGGGCCGGGTAAAAGAAACAATGGCTAGTGCCAGGGATTAAAGCCCACGGGAGAGTGCGGATGGGCATGGGCGGGCCTTCCCAGGAGCAAGTGCAACAGGCCGAGATGGACCCTGAGGGCTGGCGATCCGGCAGACACAAGTTCAAGTCCCAGCTCCCAGCTGGGGCAGGGAGCACTAGCAGTGACCCTGCCTCTCTGTGCCTCACCACAGATGGGGACGATCACACTGCCTCTCGGCTGGTTGTGGCGAAGACTAAAGGAGAGAATCGTGTAAAGTCCTGAGAACACATGATATGCAAGGGACGTGCCCACAGCTCTGACCCCCGTTTCCTGTTCTGGGAAAGGGGGATGGGCGGACATCACGCTGGCCTCACAGGAAGCATGAAATCCCCTGCTGGGCACGGGGAGCACATTCTCAGGAACCCGTTCCTCTCATCACCGCCAGCCTGGAGCTCACAAGAGGCGGGCGGACTCGGGAAGGAAGGGGCAGGGAGGCCGAAGGCCTGCACCCCGAGGCGCCGGTCAGCAGGCTGCGCTGGAGCCCACGGGGCTCTGGGGAACTGCAGACAGAAGTCATGAACGGGGTCGTATTTCTGCACCTAGTAACTCATTCATCGTCCAGGTCTGGTTTGGTTTCTGTCCCGTGTTCTGAGGTGCGTGTGTGTGCTTGTGTGTGTCTGTGTGTTTGTACGTGTGTGTCACTGCCACCGTGTCACTGAAGCAGGCGCTGAAAGAGTCTTTATGGATTGAAAGTGACAAGAGAGCATCCCACAGGGAAGCTGAAGAGAGAGGTTAGAACCTGTGAAGGACAAGACCTCGGGCACCGTGGAGGCCCTGGGGGAGGCAGGCGGGATGGGGGCCGAGGACGGAGCAGGGAGCAATTTCCAGAGTCTGAAGACAGAAGAGCCCCCAGAGGTCGGAGGAGCAGGTCAGCAGCCGAGGAGCAGGGCACACAGCCCACCGGCTGGGGCCTCAGGCCCATGCCCACTGCACGGCCCGGACCCCGGGCAGGAGTTTCATGGGTCAGAGCCGGGCGGGGGCTTCGATCAGACACCACTGCAGTAGTTCACTTTCGTATCTTAAAACTCAGACATTTAGGGGACCCAGAGAGAAATCCTAACCCTCCCCACGCTCAAGCACATGAGGAAAAGTCGGTAGGTGGCGTGGCCCAGCTAGTCTGTGCCAAAGAGCAGAGCTGGAAACCCAGCCGCCCGCTGCCACGGACACAGCGCAGGTGCCGGCCCGGCCTCGCGTGGGTTCGGTTACCTGGAAAGAAGGGATGAAGGCCTGGGGGCGGCCCAGCAGCTGGCAGTACTCGAAGATCTCCGTCCTCTGGATGGCCTCCGTGGTTGCAAATCTCAGAAACTCTTGACTAAAACCAGGGAAGAACAATAAGAGACTGAGGTGGGGTCCAGGGTGGGGGGGAGGTGAGTCCCGGTCCCTGAGGGGAAAGGGCTCTGGGCCTCCGGAGGGAAGGCTCTTCCCCTCCGGTCCCCTCTGCTTGTGGGGAAGGACCAGAACTCAGCCGGGTGCCAGCCCGCAGGTGCAGGCTGCAGAAATGGGGAAGGGGCCCACCCTCTGCCCTCCTTGCTGGAGGGTCTGTGAGGCAGGCTGCTGTCCCGCCCAGCTCACCTGAGAGCCCTGAGAGCCTAGCACGTGCACCTGTCACAGGCCACCCCCAGCCTGAGCCCCAGGGCACGAAAGAGGGAGCGACGTGACACTCTGGGAGCACTTATCAGAGCTGGCGGGGCAGTGAATACGGAGGGTCACGGAGCCAACAATCAATGCCGGTCCCCATGCTGAGTGTTCCTGCAGCCAGTGAGGAAGCCGACTGGGTCAGTGTGACCTGAGGGGCCGTCCGAGTCCCTTCGCACCCCACATCTCTCCCTCCACAGTTTGCCACTGTCACCAGGACTGTCCCTGGGGTCAGGACTCCCTCTCCAGACATTTCCTCTTACCACACAAACCATCAGAGAGATGTGTGAACCACACACTCTTACTGTCACACTAGGCACAGATGAGCTTCTCTGACAAGCTAACCACGGGGTATCAGGGGCCAGAGCCCGAGAGAACAGGCCGTACGGCGTGTGCTCCTGCGGTTGTAGGGAGTTCGGTGCAACTGCTAAAAGTAAGGGCTTTGCATCCACACGGTCTGGCTTCCAAGTCTAACTTGACCCCACACCAGCTGTGCTATCTTAGGCAAGGTACTCAACCTCTCTGTGCCTTGGCTCCCCTCCTCTAGAAAGCGAAGATTAAACAGAACATTTTCTTCATGGGGTAAATTTGTAGTGATGGAAGGAAATAGTGCAAACAAAATGACTGATACAGGGCTCGGGAAATCATTATTACAGGGATGGGGGGAAAACGAGGTCCAGAACATGGAGGAAAAGCCTAGTGTTAGAGCCCAGAGAGAATGAATGACAGGTGGAACTCGGAGCAGCTTGTGCACCAAGGCAGCGGTGTAGGAGCTAAACAAAAACTTCTTCCACTTTCCGGTTTTGCCCAGGGCTATCTAACCCAGCGCCATCAGGCGCTCACACTATTTTATGAGACAGATCCTGGTCGTGGAGCCAGGGCGCCACCAAGTGGCCATAGGCACACAATACAACCCCAGGGCGCCAGCTCCCACCAAAGGCCCCCTGGTGGTGTGAAGTGGCACCTGCTGGGCCTCCCCTTGCCCAGCCCTGAGCGGAAACAAGTCCCGGAGAAGGGGACCATCGGTAGCTGGGATTCACCCAAAAAAGCGGAAAATGGAGCCATGAAACCCAACAAGCGCTAAAGCACACCCCTAGAAAACAAAACTCCCCTTCCCGTCTCCTGTGTCCCGGAGGATTGCATACCTGTGGCTGCTGCCCAGCAGGGCCAGATGGTCTGTCTTCACCGTGTAGTGGCCGAAAGGCACCCGAGCCACGAGGTAGCAGAAGTGAGCTGCCTCCACCATCCCCTTCCCGGCTGCAGGGAAGGACAAGCCCCAGTCACAAAACGCGCTGTGCCCACGTGGGGACCTGTCCTCTGGGGGGGGGAGGGGAGGCCGCTGCAGGTGGACTCAGACGCAGGTCAGAGGGGACCAGCCTCACAGCCCCCAAACCACCCCACCCTCGGTTTCTTTCCCCACCACAGGTTTGGCCTCCGACATTCCATTTCAATTCTCTGCAGCTAGAATGTTTCACGTCGCCCCGAATGGATTTCTGAGTAGGGATTTTCTAAGCATTTGAGTCCTTCCTGAGGGCAAGAAGCAAGAACAGATGCCTACACCTGAGCAAAGACGTGGGCCGTTTTTTAGAAGGAGCCACGTTTAAAACCAGGCTTCTCGGCCACCTAACACATTCCCTGCAGAAATGAAACAACAGGAAGGCTTTCCCCCGTGCTCAGAAAAATCACATTAATCACCAAACTGCTCCGGGGCTTCAAGTGCCCTCCCACACACTTTCCATTTCCTCCAAACTGAGTTCATTGAAGCAGGTGAGGTACCTAGCACAGCCCCTGGCACCCGAGGGCTCAGCACACAAAGTGTCACTTTGTAGCTGGGTGCTGAGCAACCTGCCGTCTGACTTGGCACAACTTCACACAAAGCTATTTTAAGTTTAACAGAGTGGTATTTCACTAAGTTCCACAAAGAGAACCATGATTTCTCCATGTTCTGCCCCTGAACCAAACCTGAGAGACTGATCTGAACCATTCAATGGCCCCCAAGTGTTTATAAATAGGCCACGTTCACAGAGCGGTGCTAGAAATAAAGGGGATGCAACTACCCAGGGTAGTTCAGGCAAAAATGGAATTTCCTGTCTGCCTGTGCTGGGTCACTGCAGGACTAATGGCAACAGGAGGGGACATGCCCCGTGTCCTAACTCATCTTCTGGGAAGTCTGACCAGAATAGAAGGTCCCCTGCTGAGAGAGCTGCGAACTCCAATCTCAGGGCCTGGCCTGCCCTGGCGTATCGCCCATTTTCTGGGAAGCAGAGAGACGAGCAGGACACTTCTTTCTCTGGACTTTCTGTCCCCAGAACATTGAGGCTCCTGGATCAAAGGCAAGCTGGAGACATAGCCTTGGACCCTCCACTGAACCTGAGAACCAAAGCACAAGGCCTGGAGCTACCCTAGAGGGGAGGGCGGGGACGTGTGCGGGCTTCTGCTTACCCAGGGTGTCCCCCATGGTGACGATGGCGCACCGATGCAGCTCCGGGTCCCCAGCCTGATTCGACAGGATCACCGCCAGGTGAGGCCTCCAGTCTCCCCACTGCTTGTCCCCACAACTCTGAGAAGCAGCGGGGGAAAAAAACGGAAAGTTCACTGAGTGGTGTCACCCTGGCCAGGACGGAGGTCAGGAAGGCTCTTGTCCACTTCCCAGCATGGATGACTTCAGGGAACACCTGCTACACTGCCAGCCACGCTGCTGCTCTCAACTCGAAGTTCTCTTTTTAAAAAGCTAAACGCCCAGATGGATAGGCAGACAGAGGGGTAACATAGGTAAAATGTCACTATTCCTCACCAATTTTCAAACTGCTTTCTGGTGCCTCAATCCCAACAGCTGGGGGGGGGGGGGGGACGAAAATAAAACCCTGATGCCTCCGTGGGAGAAGGAAGATCAAACATTCTGGGCTCCTGAGGCGAAGAGTCCACATTAGCGTCAGAAGTCAGGGGAACACTGGGCTTTTTAATACCTTACAAAGGGCTGTGTTCTCTGGTTTTACAAAGCCCTGTCACATACCTCATCTTCTTTAATCTTCACAACAAACCTACCGCCACTTGGAGGAGGAAAAAAATCAAGCCATGTGGCCCAGCCCCTTGCATTCCTAGCCAAGAGCTATGCCCGCCTCCCTCTGGTGACAATGCAGGGGCAGAAGATGTCCACCAGGGGCAGTAGAGTGTAAACAAAGACCACACCAATGGTGCTTTTGCTACCCTCTGGCCCTGGGGCCACCTTCTCCTGAATGAAGGGGGATTCCAGGGCAGGAAACATCGATAAAAGAAACAACATAAGGTCACAGGAGTAACACGGGCCCGATTCAACTGGGGTCCAGCCTCTTACTAGCTGTGCGACCGCCAGCAAGCTTTCAAATGTGCTTAAACCTTTGTTCCCTCGTCTCTTAAATGGAGATCACGATTTCTACCCCAGAGGGTTATTGTTGATAAGAATATGAGCTGGGAAGGTACAGCACATAGCACAGTGCTGCACACTTGGTTTGCACTTTATAAATCACATGTGGGTGCAAACACACGCACACACACACACAAGCCCAGCAAAGGAAAGAGGTGATTTGCAGACCAGTCTGTCTTCCAATTGTTACCTCGAGTGGGTACGGATTGACAGTAATACCCAAGATCTGGGTGTCAGAACACTTCACAAATCCTTGGTCTTTGTAATTACCCCAAGGAAGCAAAGATGCTTCCTCCGACTCCATTTTATGGAGTCAACTCTTTGTTGACCTGGGCAACGCAGTGAAAACGAGAAGGATGACAGTCATCGGGCACAAGACTAAGAGCAGCTGCCGCTTACTGCACTCTGACCATGGACCACTCCCCACGCCAAGCGTTCCTTCCAGGAACAGTCCCCCAGGACAGTAATAAGTGGGTGCTGCTGTTACCCCCAACTTAATGCGGGAGCCAGGCCCTTTCTTGCTGGAGCTGAAGAAAGCAGGAAAAGAAAGGCCTCTGCTAAAAACAGCAAAAACTTAGAAATCATCCTTCTGTCTCCTCCACAAGCGATTTTTAAGAATCCCTGTGAAGCAGCCATATGGAGGGAGAGCAAGAGAGAGAGAGAGCGAGCGAACATTTATTCACCAATTTTAATGCGCCAGGCATGGCGGCTGACGTGTTCAGATATCACCTCCCTTTAATTGTCACGGTAGGTCCATCGGGAGTGGGAGAAAAACCAAAGAAACAAGGACGGAAATGAAGAGAACATAAAAGCTAACAGACGCCGCTGAAAACACAAGAAGGGACACACAAGGTAGAAACTAGAGGCGCAAAAAAAGAAGAAAGAAAGCAAAAAATTTTTTTAATGAAATGAGGTGCATTTCAATGGCATTTCTGAAAAGAAAACCAAAACAATAGAACAAAACAATCACTGAAGGACATAATGGAAGAAAACTTTTCTGAACTGTAAGATAGGAATACACATATTTGAAAAGCATGCTATATTCCACAAAAAACATGACCCAAACAGTCACCGAAAATGTATCCTAGTTCCCGGACCTCAAAGATCAGGAAGGAGCACTTGGAGCAAAAAGCCCGAGCCTCTCACAGTGGGACAGCTACCCAGTGGGCCTCGCATGTCTCCTGAGCCAAATCCAAGTCCAGGCAACGTGTAAAATCGAACGTGTCCAGCTGTGAAGGGTCAAGGCGCAGGGGAGGGAAGGGAGAGGAGCCTGGGGAAGCCAAGGCAACAGCTGTGGGCTCTCCTGTTCTTCAGCCGAGCCGGTGTGGAAGGGCAGGGTCTCCAGCACCTGGCGGACCTGGGCTGACCCCAACTGCACTCCCCACCCGCCCTGTGCCCGTGGCCCCCCTCACACCTGGGCACCTCTGTTTTACCTCGGCCAAACAGGGGAGGAGTCCCTGCCTCCTCACGTTACATGAAATAACAAGCGTCGAAGTGCATAGCACAAGGTAGGTGATTAACAAACTCTTATTCTGATTTTTAATCATCAAAGCCACCACGCCCCAGTTCCAGAGCAGTCTCCACCCACCCCCTAAAGCCCTAGGAAGTGGGGTGTTGCCGGGGCCCTGTCCGAAAAGTACCGTGGCTGCCTGGGGGATCCTCCCGGACATGAGCTGGAAGAGGGTCTGCAGCGGGTCGTTGAGCGCCAGCGTGCTGGTGAAGCTGCGGGGAGAGGGGCCATCAGGGGGACCCAGCCAGGAGGGCCTTTAACCCACTGCCTGGGAGGCTCCTACGTATTTCTGTTTGGTTTCAGCAGCTTAATTTGGAACAAGAGTTTCTCTCTACTTTTCCATTGTGCCTTTGTCGCCCTCACTTTTCGGGGTGGGGGGTGGGGGGGGAAGAATCTTCACTCTGCCCCACACCCAGGCGTATCTTCATGATTGGTTGAGGGAGGTTTCTGCACTGCGGCAGGGACACCCGAATTCTTGGGTAACCATTTCTGCATGGAGGTGACCCACTCACATTTCAAAGAGCCCCAGAGGGCCCCAGCAGTCAATCTGAACCTCTTCTCGGTGGGCCCCTCCTTTCCAGTGACCCCCACCCCGGCCCCCGCACTCCTACAGCTCTCAGCCCCCATTTCCCAGCTCATCACCAGCCTGGGTCGTGGTGCTTTTACTCACAGGCACTAAGCTGCCATTTTCAGTAACCAAAAAGGCATCGAACAGAGACCAGCAATGGTCCCCATGATGACAAACCAAGAGATACGCCTGGCGGTGATATAATAAGCTCTAGAGCTGAATTGAAAGAGATATTTTTCACAAGTCACTGGGTACCGTCGAGAATCAATGGCCCAGGGCGAAAATCTGTAGCAGAAGCACACGCTCCCACGTGGGGCAGGGGGAGACTGCTTTCCAAACCCCAGAGGAAAGTCGTCCCTCAGAGCGCCATCTTATAGCAGCGCCCTGGCCTCGCAGGCTCAGAGCACGTGACGTGATGAAGCTCCGTGCTCTTCCCCATTCCAGCCCCTGTGCAGGCCGAGTGCACAGCCACGGCACCAGGGCCTGAGCAGCCCGAGGGGCAGAACCATGAAGAGACTCCGTGGAGGCCATCGTGAAGAGCGGGCTCCCGGGGAGGGTGACAGCCGCCAGCCCCGAAGACGGAAGTTACACTAGAGTGTCCATCCCCCCAGCCGACTCTCTGCTCCACGGGACATGTGGCGATTTACACGTAAGTGAAGCTCAGAGGGTCATCCCGCCCGTGCGGCAGGTCTGTCCCAGGGATGCTGACTAGGGCTGAAAGGCCTTGCTCAGAAACCCTCCTCCCACACCCACTAGACCTACCACCTCCATCAGATCCGATTCTCTCTCGCTGTTTCATCTGCCTTAGTCTGAACTCCTGGCTCTGAACTTACACCTCTATTCCTGACTCGTCCTGGTTTGGGCATTTGGCCTGGTCCGCCTGACGCCTGGATCTTGGCGTGCCGGCATGATTTCTGACTACGTGTATCCCTTCGGTCTCGTAATCTCCCACTGCCCTGGGTGAAGGCTGCAGGATCTGTAAACGCCCTCTCCTGCCACGGCTCACAGTCCTGCTCCCTGAATCCCTACCTTCTTCTCGGCACCGCGGTCTCCACTGCAAGACTGAGCAGTGGACAGGCACTGACTCTCAGCCCGAAGGCCCCGCCCATTAACCTTAGTAACCGTTCCCCTGTCCTTGCTGATGGGACTGTCCGGAACAGCCCCTTCCAAAGACAGAAGCTGTCACAAGGCAGAAACCCAGTTCCTTTCTGGAAACCCTGACTCAGGGGATATTGCTAAAACGTTCTCTTCACCGTCGCAGGTAGGAAGAGTGTGTCTGTGTGTAGACTGTTGAATCTGGAGAAGAGAAATACTCCATCCCACTCAGAAAAGAGAACCCGGACGAATGCTTGGGGGGTGGGTGCCTCAATGCTTCCTGCATTTCTCCCTCTGTCACCGCCCCATTTGGTGGGGAGGCCTCTCCGCGCCACCGGTCTCCATTGTGAGTCCCCGGCTCACCCACTCATGACCCAGCTGTAGGTCCTGGGGTCCATCTTGCTGGACAGGAACAAAGCGTGGCCCCACAGGTGGTTCTTCATGGCCCACTCCAAGGCTTCCTGGAAACGAAACATCACATCCGGTGTTGCGGTGTGGCGTCCCCACCCCTCCTCTGACAACAAGAACAAGCCGCTGCGCTTAGGAGCTGCCGTCCCCTGGGCAATAGAGATGGGGCCTCCATGAAGACTCTTAGTGTCCCGCCTGCAGACACGAAACAGGAGTCGTGCGAAAGGGGCTTTCGCTGGTCCGTATGTCTACGCTGTCCCTCTCTCCAGCCTCAACTTTGTCAGAATCCATTGTTCTCTTTCCTTGGCTCCCCCTCGAACACAGCAGCCCCTTAGCCTAATCATCGCCGGCAAAGGCGCACACACTCCTGTGGACCTGAGCACCAAAAACTCGAGAAGCACCTCCCTGCAAGGACTGAGTCTCGGAATACAAGTGACAAGGAGATACAGCTGGCCCTCCGTGTCCTCGAGTTCCACACGCCCGGGTCCCACAACCTCATGCACCGCAGGTACAGTAAACTGGTACAACCCTTAGTAAGGCAAGTGTAAGTAGCTACCAGAATCACAAACCACCTGCCCTCTGGAACATCTCCACTTCCAGAAATGCATCCCACAGGTACTCTCACGCAAGGGGAAATGACAACGGCTGTGCGTTGCAGCCTCGTTGGTGACAGCAAAGGACTGGACGTACCCTAAATGTCAGGATATAAGGGCTTCGTCCATCATAATTGATCTATAGAGCCCTGTGTGGGCCACCAGATATAATGAGGAAGAAATTTACACATTACCTGGAGCAGGGCTCAGCAAAATGTGGCCAGAAAGCCCGATTCCGCCCATGAGCTAAGAACAGTATTTGCATTTTTAGATTGGAAAAATCAAAAGAACAATATTTCATGATGTATGGAAGTTATACATAATCCAAGTCCCTGCTGGACCGCCACCATGCCACTGGTTTACTTGCCACCTGTGACCGAGTGTTCGGAGCCCAGCAATCGCCAGCCCAAAATATTTACAGCCTATCCTTTTACTGAAAACATGTGCCAAGATATTTTGTTAGATAAACAACAGAAGGTGACGAGGGGTGAATGGTATGCTGTTAGAAGAGGAGAAAGGCATCTCACACGCATAAAACATCTCTGGGCACAGCTCAGGCAGAGACCCAGTGGCTGGGCGAGGGGCGCCATTTCCCCCATTTTATCCTTTTTAAAAATCTTTGGAATCCATTGATTGAAACTGATTTGAATCATACATCCAAATATTATTAAGTTCATTTAAGACTTTCGTAACATGCAAGTTTGACTTCAAAATTAAACAAGGCACGAAAATAGGTCAATTTGTGAGTGATGGATATAATAATTAGCTCAATGGGGGAATCCCTTTGCATGATTTACATGCGTTAAATCTTTACATTATACACTCTAAAATCTTACCATTTCACCTGTCAAATACACCTCAGGAAAAATTTAAATAGTATAAAAGTAAAGTTGTCTGATTTATATGTCAAAAAATTAAGTGAGACATCACTTCATCTGTGGAATGAAAGTATTCATATTGGCAGGTATATCTTAGATACAGCTGGCGGGGATACAGCTTGGAACAAACGTTCTAAAAACTTATTTAGTGTATACATTCAGGACTTTTTAGAAAATGCATGCCCTTCAACCTGGTGATGCCACTGCTAGGAATCGATCCTTAAAAAATAATAATTAAAAGATCCAGCAAAGACTTCTGGGACAAGGGGCTCAAATTGTGTCATTTATAATGGGTGACAAAAATGTAGCTGGCCTACATAGTCAATAGTAATGGATTTTAAATAAAATCTGATGCCCTCAGATTGTGGCATCTCAAATGGCGGGATGGTGCCCAACCATTTTTAAACACTACGTTTTAATGGCATGGGAATGTTTCACTATATAACCTTAGGGGTAAAAAAAGTACTTGTATATATGATTTAATTTGCTTTTGAATAGATATGCATAGAAAATGCCACGAGAAAATATATCAAAATGTTAACGGGTGTTATCTTTGAATGGGAGGATGATGGCTGTTTTTCTTTTGTTCTTTTTTAATTGATGGAAAAGTGTATAAAAAACTGAACTTGTGTTCTCACTCTTTCCCCAGATCAAATTTGTCGTGTATAAACTATAGTTCCCAGTCCCAATGCTACTGCAGATGCCTCCCCTGCCTGAACAAGGAGCATCGCCAGCTAGCTGAACATCCCGGCCATTGCTGCTTGGTTACCATGCAGTCCAAGGGGGTTTCAGACGTGTCCGCTGCTGCTTATGCAGCAAGAGAAATAGGTTTGTAAAGCACATCTTTCGATTTCAGGACACTTCTGTCATTTTAAAAAAATGTGTAATTATTTTGTTTTACCCACACCATCGTTAACTATGTCATTAGTTGTGTTTGTGATATTTCAACTCCCAATATTTTCAGAGGGTTTGAAAGATTATTAAGAAAAACACCACTCAAACTTTGTTCCGCTTACAGATGGAATGAGAAAAACAATCGCTTTCCTTTCCTTAACTAGAAATTCTTGAGTAGTCAAGTCTCCTTAGAGACTTGAAGATTATATTTTTTAAGATCTACAGAGTTTGAGAAAACCAAATTGATCCCAATTCAAGAGTGATAAACATGAAATGACGATCTACATTTGAATTCTTTTCTACTCCTTAAATATCAAACTGAAAATGTGCTCCCTCGTGGTTTTCTTTTCTTCGTTGTACCTTCCTGAGCTGAAGTGCTGTGAAATGGGTATAAATACAGGGTTGGGCAGAAGTAACCCCTGCTTGGGTGTGGTTGGTCAGGATAGGGTTAGGGTTATGGTTACATATGGGTGTAACAATTTACAGTTTTCCTTTGAACCTTTCACCTAAACTGTCACATGGTGTGCTTGAGTGTGATATTGTTATGTTACACGGTTATGTGCTTGTGATTTTGTAACATGCATTACTTGTGCGGGACCCTGTATTACCCTCCGCGTAGAGGAGGGCCGAGTGGTAGGGACAGACCGCAGTTGCTTTTTTAAAACAAGCCTGGCGGGGGCGCACTCACCTTCTTCCTTCCATAGTAGAGCAGTTTGGTGAATTTCTCCACGATCTGGGCGGGCGTCTCCACGCTGGGGGGAATCTCCCCAGTGAGCAGGTTCCGGGTCCCCACACTGAGCACCGGCTTGTCGTCCTCCTCCGTCAGGCTGATGAGATTGGCCACAGGCGGCTGCCTCTGGTACTTGTCCAGCTTCTTGCAGTCTTGCACCAGCAGCTCCGCAATGTCAGACCCCACCATGGACTGCAAGGCAAAGCCAGTCACCAGAGGAAGGAAGGATCCTCCTCCTCGTCCTCACGGCACAGCCCAGGCTGAAGAAGCAGACCTGGGAGCACCCGCCTTCTTTGTGGGGAAGCCAGCCCTGGGTTGCTGCATCCCGCGGGGGTGCCACCAGGTTTCCCAGAACACCCACGTTCTCACAGGTGTGCCGCTGCCTGGTGCAGTGACCCAGCGACTTCCCAATACCCCAGGCCAGGAGGCGGGGGGGCTGGCAAACTGGCACTGAGAGCGGAGCACTTGGGAGGCACGTGTGGCTTCTTTACTATTACCTTGGATAATTACGCCATAAGCCGAACCTTACTTCCCCAAGGAAGGCCGACATTTCAATCCAGCTGCTCCTGCCCCCCCCACCCCCCGAGGGGCAACACTCACCCCATTCTGCCGGCAAAGGAGAACCAGCAGCTGCCACAGCAGAGCGGAGTCTCGGCTCCCTGAGGTCTCGGACTTGCGGCTCTGGGCTGCTTTCTGCTGGCAAAACGTCATGATGTCCACCTTGTGGACGTCTTCCCTAAGGAGAGACATCAGGGAGCCAAGGATGAGTGGCAGACTCTTCCCCGTGGGGACCGGGGGCTCCTCCCACGGTGCACGGCCGCTGGCTGGGCTGGGACCATGAATGAGTCTGCAGCCACAGGCGGTCCTCTCCTTGGGGAACAGGACGGGACTTCGGAGACTCTCACGGTCGCTCTCCCCATGTCACAGGTGAGGAGACTGAGGCTCCGAGACCTGAAGTGACTGCCTCGGGGGAGGGCAAGAGCCCAGACTTTGGAGTCGGGTTCAGACCCGGGTTTAAACCTAGCTTGCCAGGTCTCAGCTTACACACAAGCATCTCTGTCCTCGGAGCCCCAGCTTTCTCCCATAAGACAGGGATCATTTTAAAAATCGATCTCCCAACAAAAAGGAAACAGCAAATTGGGCAGCATGTATGGAGTGCTCGATGAACAGGCAGCACTGTGTGCCTGAGACCATTCAATAAAATCAGCGCCCCGTTGGAACCAATACGCTAGTGTCCAAACATGCAACTCGGTGCTGCCCGAGTGTGGGAAACAGACAACTCAGCTTCACCTGGAGACCCTGTCAAAATACCAGATGGGGACTCGCCTGGAGGGGGAGATTCAGGGTACAAATACATTTATATAACAGCGTTGATGCTTAAAGGTCTCACAGCCACCATGGGTAGGCACAGCCGGCGTTACATCATTTCTTAAAGGGAAAGCTAAGGCCAGAGAGAGCTCACTGAGCAGTCCGCCTTGGTGTCACTAGGTAGTAGGATGCCTGGGGCTGGGACCAGGGTCCTCAGACATCAGCAGGGGCTCTGCCCAGCAAAGGGCATTTAAAAGCAGTTCTAGCTCAATCCTGCAGAGGGCAGACTTGCACACTGTCCAGGAACTCACACTGGCCGTCCTATTTCTCCAGAAAAAGGCAAGCCTTTTTTCCCCAACTCCACTGGACTTGTCTGTGACTTCAGACTGCTCTCCTCTCCTCCGTGTCTGTTAGGCACACAGAACACTGAAACCCCCTACTATGTCACTGCTGCAAAATGGGACCCATTTCGTATTTTTAAACGTTTTTGTTAATTTTTCTTCCGCCCCTTCAAATACCAAATCGCTTGTGGAAAAAGTCTCAGACCACACTGGGCTCTGTCTGGGAGCACAGAGAATTCTGGTGCATTGGGGATCAACACTCTCTCTCAGAGAAGCCAAGAGCAAATCCCCCCAAATCCTACTCTGAGCTGGAAGACTACAGGTTTCAAAAGCCCTTCTTCGGAGGCTCACAGGGTGATTTACCGGATCAGGGGTCCTGAGAAAGTTCTCATCTCCTCTTGCTCCTCAGAATCATTAAGAATAACCTGCAACAAAAATTAGATTTGCTCTTCCAGACCCTGTTCACCCAACGCCCCTTACAGTCAAGCCCAGGGCCAGAGCCCGAGGGCAGGGTCCCAAGGTGTGGCTCAGTGTCTTGTAGAGAAAGCAGAGCACGCATGAGTTCTCCGGTTGCTGAAACTGCGCCAACGGCATCTCAGGAAAAACTCAAGTCCAATATCACTTCTTCAGAGAAGAGTCCCACCCCTTCCTGCACACATAGCGCCCCCCGCAGGGTGCACAGCTCCCAGTTCCCCACAAGGGGCCCCCGTTCCTGGAGATGCCCAGGCTCAAATGAGAGGAAGCAGGGAGCAGCGTGCTGATATGCCAGGGACGCAGACTCTCTTTACCTCCATGCTGTGCAGTTCGACCAGGGCCGTTTGCCCTTCCCTGGGAGAGCTGGGGCACACACACACCAGGTGACCTCCTGGCCCGAAACTCACAGGCACATGGGGGATGTAGAACTTCATGGGCGCCTTGGAACCAGCTGCCGAGACGTCCTCTGGCCAACAGACACAGGTGGACACTGTTAGCACGACGGCCACTGCTTTCCTTGACTTAGAACATGCTACGGACGCATTTCTGTCCAAATTCCACCTGGGAGCTGGGTGGGCCACACCCTTAGAAGCAGCCCATGCTTTGAGTCAGATTTAAGCCCCTGAGCCTCTGTCAGAGTACAATGCAAGCAGTCGAGGGTTGGTCCAGATGTTAACAATGCACACAGACCAGAGTCTCGGTGGTGATGAGAGGCTAGGACTTTTAACAAATCATCCACCTCCAGGCAGAGCAGTCATGCTCTGTGACCTGCCTCTGCTTTACCAAATTGATTCCCGGGTCCACTTCCTTCACCTGCTACTTAAAAGCACCTACATGTGCCTGGTGGTGGCTCGGAGCCGGGTTCCCTTCCAAGAACCCACTAGGATGCAATGTCCAGGACGAGAGAAAAGCTGGGGAATGGAGCCAAGTTGGCCTGTCTGCCCTGAAGATCTCTGTGGGCAAATGAGGTGAACAATAACCCACTCTTGGAAACCAGGGTGACAGTGTCTTTCCAAGAGACTTGCCACCCAGCCTTCTTCCCACTGGACGCAACCAACCCCTTGACCACTTCAGTACCCACCGTCCTGAATTGGTCTCCAGGCTGCCGAAGCCACGGGGTGGTGGGACTCAGAGGCATCTGCCATGTACTGGCTGAGCTCGTAGCTGCTGGAGCTGAGGCCAGATTCCTGCTGTTGCAGAAGGTTGGACTCGCTGGTCAGCAGTGGCTGCAGGTTGAAGCCAAAGGAAACGCACGGGAAGAATCAGAAGTGGTTTCAGGGAGAGGGTCCCCCCAAGTGTTCACGAACAGCAACAAAACTGGAACTTTCGAATGAATACAGCGCATTTGGATGTGTTGCAAGGAAAAGAATGGATGATTCAGCTGACAAGTGCTGTGCTAAAGGATGTGTATGGCCCAGTGGAAAGAGTGCGAGCCTTGGGCCCAGGAGGGGCCAGGAGGTTGGGATTCAGATCCCAGCTTTGTCTATACTGAGCTGCTATGGCTTAGTGACACGAGACTCTGAGCTGGGCACCCTCACCTGTAATACAGATCATCATACCTGCCTGGCACAGTGCAGGCACCAACTATTTAACGAGCACCTACTAGGCTCCAGGCACTGTGCTTTCCCTGGGCTACAGGTGTACAGGAAACTCATGGAACTTACTTCCTGGGAAGGGACAAATGAAACGCTGGATACAAGAGCTCTTTGCACATGGTCAAGTGCTGTACCCATGTGTGGCTGCTGCCATTGTGTTGTTACTGCTGCTGCTCCGGATGCTAGTGCCCTGGCCTGCTTCACACTTGGTATACAGAGGGGACCGTTCCCCCAAATCGTACAGAGCCAGTCGGGGGAACAAAACATATCCAAGACTGTCAAACATTAAGGACCTGTCTCTACAGCATCTCTGCATCTTTTCCATAAATCTAAATTTTTTCCAAAATAAAAGCTTATTTAAAAAGTGTTAAGAGTTCCAGTGTATGTATGGCCCAGGCAGTATACACAGTAAGATTTTAGGAGACAGAGAGGGTTTGCTAAAAAGTCAAGAATGGTTTCGAGCTCTGCTTTCCAGGCCTGTCTGCAAAAGATGCCAGCAACTTCCTCACTTCCTGGGTCACTCGAGTTGCTAGTCCCCCAGGTTCCTGGTGGCAGCCTCTTCTCTTCTCTCCCACCACCTCAGAGTGACTCAGGTGACATTTCCCGACACAGCCAACTTGACAAAAGTGCAGATTCGGGCCCCAGGCCCTTCAGATTGAAATGGGAAGGCGAGAACGAAGAGGAATGCGGGGAGGCTCTGCCAGGCAGGGCGGCACTAGGCCCCTCAGCCTGCAGGCCGCTGGGACCCCCCACCCACGGGCCCTGCCCTGCCATGGCTGACAATGTCCGTGGTGAGGCACCGTCTCAGGCCCCTGCCCCCACGTCACTTCCGGTTACCTTATTCTTCTGGGCCCCAGTGAGCAGACTCTCCGGAAAGAAGTCCCCAGGCCTCTCCTGTCCAGAGTTCGGAGCAGGGCTGTCTTTGTACAGGTTCCCACTCTGAGATCTGCAGCGAAATGACAGGGACAGGGGAGGGTTTCTGGGTGAGCCAGCCAGGCTGAGCGGCCCTCTGCCGGAGGCTGCCCTGTGGCAAGGGGCGGACGGGGTCAGGTCGGCCTGGGTGCCACAGGGAGAAAGCGTGGTCCTTCCGTGCACCACCTCAGTTCATGAATACCAGGACAGTAGGGACCCCCATGCTCCCCAGGGCAGGAACAAAAACCGCCCCAAGCACTGCAGGGTGGGGTTGGTCCCTGCAGCAGCCCAGCATCCTGGAACAGCGTAAATCAGAGCAGTTAGGCAGGTGGGCTGCAGGCAAAGACGCCAGGCCTGCGGCCGCCAGGACAGGTGCCTGAACCAAAGGCTGTCTCCATCCCCTGCTCTCCTAATCCCAGAGGATGGCCCGCTCTCCGTACGCAGGAGTGGAAAGGGGGAGCCTCCCAGCCCCGGCAGGGCCCCGTCACGAGAACTCCCGCAAGGCCACACCTGTTCTGCGGCCAACAGAGCATGAAGTCCCTCCCCACTTCAGCGTGGACCTCAGGTAACAGCACCTAGACCAGCCCAGGTCTGGGAGCCACGTCTCAGGGTAAAGAATCTCTCCACCCAGGGCTACTGCTAACAGCCGGCCTAGGCCACCCTGGGCTGCACCCGCGTCCCCGGGGGGCAAACCCCCACACCATACGGCAGAAGCAGACGGGCTTCCCGAGATGCAGGCTCTGCACCAGATACGCCGGGTTTCCCTAATGCAGTCTGGTGGGGCCAGGCCAGGCCGACCTGGCCTCTCCTTGCACACTCACTGGAATGGGGTCGCACTGTGCGTCCCCAGTGGACTCTCCTGGTTTTCACGGTGATGCTCACGGAGGTACTTTGGATCTCGATAATCTTCGGACCAGAAGTAAGGGCTCGCTTGCCTTGGCACTGCACCCTCAGGAAAAAAGAAAAAAGAAGAAACAGAATAAAGCAGGTCACGTCCGGCTCCAGAAAGTTCAGAAAGGCACCTGCAGGCTCTGGGGCTGAGTCCCTGGGGCACAGAAGTGTATTTGCCAAACTGAATAAAATTGGTCAGGGAGAGCTAATGATGAACATCCCCGAGAGGCACCTCAGTCCCCCCTGAACCTATCAGTATGGTTTCTTACAATTGTACAAGTTGGGGTATTGTGTGTGTGTGTGTGTGTGTGTGTGTGTGTGTGTGTGCGCATTTTCAGTGTTAAAATAGATTTTTCTCTTTGCTAGCATCCATGAGCATACACGGAAAACCTTACTGTTGTGTAGGGTGCAGATTCCTAGTGGTGCCCATCTGCACCCTCAGGGTAAATGACGGTCAGACACACCCCAGCCCAGGCACACGCTTTACCGACCCCTGGTCAGAGGTCATCTGAGCCACAATGAGAAGTAGAAGAAAAAAAATGTGGATAAAGTGCAAAGTGTCCGTAATATTAGCAACAGAATGAGCGTTTCAGTGCATCATCCACACATACAAAGAAAAATGACTGCTTTCTATCTCTCCTGGAGACAGCAAGCACTAGTGTCTTTGCTGTGACCTTGACTGACCAAGAAAGAAGGGGCAGGAGTTCTTTCTACCTCAGCAGAGCAGTGCGTCCAGGGGCGCTCTGAGCGCGGCCGCCTGGGCCTCTGCCCTGTCCCAGAGGCTTCTGGGAGGATATTCCATACCTCTTTCTTCTCGTTGCTGCTGCGGGTGTCCTCGGTAGTAATAACCTCCGTAAGCATATTCTTCCCTTAAAGCTGAAGGGTGGTAGCTCAGATACGGGTCCTCAGCACCAGGCCTAAAATGTCACAAAGAAGGCCAGCCATTCAAGAACGAGTGTGGCAAAGAGAAAAACCAGTGGAAGACTGGACCCAGGAAGCCACCTCGGAGGAGAGAATTGTGTCCTCAGTCTAGAATCCCTTTTAAAAGTCGCAGTGAATTCTAGATCCGATGAACAGGAAATCCAGACTCAGAGCAGGAGTAAGTAAGGTCTTGGTTTCAGAACCAGACTGGGATTTTCTCAGCAAAACCGTAGCTATAGTCTGCTTCTTCTCCATGGTCCTCTTTACTCTTCAAGTACACACATCCCACCACAGAAGACAACATCTTAACAAATCCCTTCCCAGGACGACGGTGTAAGTATCCAATATGCCGTTGTAATTCCCACGCATATTATGGATGGAAATGAGACGGAAAGAAAAATGATTGGAACTATCTGACATCTGACTGCTTTTACTGCCTCTGTCCTCAACACACCTTTGAGAAGTCCGCAGTACAGAAGGACCAGGGAAAAGAACGCCAGGTTGTTAGTGTTTTTATCAGTTAACAATTCTTTAGCACTTCACGGAGGCAAAATTTTTTAAAATAGTTTTCATCACTTCAACCCTGAACCTGTAGGCAGGTAAATATTACCCCACCTGGAAAAGCTAAAGTGAACACAAGGAGCTCCCATTGTTCCCTAATAAATTAGTTAAGTGCAGAGCTATCAGTGAAAACTCAGGGGCGGCAACTCCAGAGATCCAACTTATAATGACCTCACCGAGACCTCCTCCTTCTGAACTTGGGGCCTGCAAGCTTGTATCTGCTTCCTCTGAGGTTGATTTCTTTTACGTTCCCCTTCATTCATTCAACACCTATTGTTTCTGGATGCTCATCACCCTCTCGGTACTGTTCTAGCTACTAGGGCTCTTCTCGGTGCTGGGGGTGTGGTCCACAAACAATGGGGAAGTTTTTACAAAGACCCCTAGGTTCCCTCTGCTCTCTTGAATTTCACCATTCTTTCCTCCTTTCTACCCTCTCCCCCGCCCCCAACACCCGAACACAGACATTCTGATGGCATCTTTAAGAACAGCTAGATCAGGAGCAGAACCATAGAAATGAAGATCTCATGGAGGGTTAGCAACAGGGGAGTGGGAGGAGGAGAAGGGGGGAGAAGGTACAGAAAATAAGTAGCATAGACGGTAGATAGAAAATAGATGGGGGGGCAAGAATAGTAGGGGAAATATAGAATCCAAAGAACTTGAGACACATGGTCATAAACTAAAGGGGGGAGTGGTAGGGGTGGAGGGGAATGAAGGGGGGGAATAGAACAACTGTAATGGCATAATCAATAAACTAAAAATTAAAAAAAAAGAAAACAAAAAAAAAAGAAGCCCCACTAGGGGTTACAGAAGAAGGCAATACTATTTTCAGTCACCAGAATCCAATCTGGGAGAGGAAAGTGTTTAACTGAATCAATGTAGTAGGGAGGAGAGGGAAAAGGCGGAAAAAAGAAAAGGAACAGGAAGAAGGAAAAGAACAATGTGTCCATAACCACAGAGGGGAGTTGGGTCCATCCCAAGCTCCAATACCGTACCATGAACAGAGCTGATGGGGATGGCCACCTTCATAATAGTCGCCCCCGGACACAGGCCTGGGCATGTAATGGGGCTGCTGCCGGTCTGCCCTAGGGTCCCTCTGTGGCTGGGGGCTCCTGCGGACATCTTGCCACTGACGGAACCTCTCTCCACCATGCCAAGGGTGAGCGGCAGGCTGAAGATACCCGTCTCTCCGAAGGCCGTGGTCTGGACCCTGTGACTGGGCTGGGGGCCTCCCCCGAGGCTGTGGCGGCCACTGGGGAGTCCCAGGCTCCATCCCCGACCTTTTGACCTTCTCTCTTGTTTAAAGTCAGTTGTGTAGTTACTTCATCTCCCTGCAGACAAAACAAAAAGACCAAACAAATGATCAGGCTTATATCCAAGCATGATGGTTAATTAGGTTTTTTTTGGGGGGAAGCATTTATGGTCCTGAAAATCTTCTATCTAGAACAAGCCAGATAGACACTGACATAGAAGTATCTGGGGAAAAAAAAATCTCAAACACATACATGAAATAAATAACAGGCTAGACGACTATATTGATGTGGCTTTAAAAATCAAAAAGTAGAGTTAGTTGGAGCAGCAGTAGATATGGGAAGCCTGGGAGAGAGAACAGTAATAGGCAAAGCTCCAAAACACTATCAAAGTATTCCAATGAAAGAAATGGCCATTTATTCCGCCAGCAAATGTTGACTTAACATTTACTGTGGGGGCCCCACGCTAACCCGGAAACAGGGCGGGCCTTGGACGGGGCTGTAGACCACACTTCAAATCTCAGCTCTGCCACTTATTAGCTAGTTCATTTTTTTAAGCCTCAGTGTCCTTATCCATGAAATGGGAATTCTAACAACTCGCTTGCAGGGCTACCATCAGAATTAGAATAATTTAGGGCATGCCCAACCCCCCGGCCTGGTCTGTGGGGATTGTTTCAATAAATAGCAGGGTTAGAGATAAAGAGCAGGGGAGTGGGAGCATTGGAAGGCATTTCCTCAACAAAAAGAAGCTCAAATGGACCTGAAAAGACATCTTTTCTGAACCTATAGAACTCACCCCATACTATGATACTATGGCCACGCCTGCTCCAGTCCTGGAGGGCCAGCAAGACGAGAGAGCCCTGTCCAGTGATCCCCTGGCTGCGGATGTTAAAACCTGGAAATCTCCCCAGAACCAAACTGATTTTCCCTACTCATTTTGCAAAACCGGCGAGTGCCCAGGGGGTGACAGCTGGCCCTCCCAGAGCCCTGGCCCTCCGCACAGAGCTGACCTGCACCCGGCGTCTCCACAGGAAGGCACATGTGCGCCAGGCCTTGCTCCCGCTCCGGGAGCCCCTCCTGTCGGGGCAGCACCTCAGTTCCGTCTCACCCCCTATTTTCTCACCACGGGGGACCGTTTTCAGGCGAAAGATTCTGATAGAAGCCAGTTCTCTTGCTCCCACTCCTGAAACTCCCAGGTGAAAGTAAAATTTCTTATCAGCACTAGAGGTCAAAGGGCATGTGTTGACATCAAGCCGTCGCTCCGCCCCAGTGGCATGGAGCCAGGGCCCACCGTTTGTGCCGAGCCCAGAGCACTTTGCAAACCACACCTGGAGGGCTTTCCATCTCAAAACCAGTCACAGCTCCAGAAACCAGCACCCTCTGCCCCATGTTACCCACTTTCTTGAAAAAGCCAGGCTTTTTCCAGCAAATCCCAGCAAAGGCCAAATGCCACCACTGTGAAAAGGTGTGAGGGTCTTCCCTGAAGGCCCACGGGACTCAATACAACGTGGACACACGTGAGGAAGTCTCCTTGCCCTGTCCCCCAACATTTTCACTAGACAGCCCGCCCCGAGTGCAAAGGCACAGCGCCCTGTCTCTTCACCCAAATCCGGTCATTGGGTTTTCACGAGATATCAGTTCCAGCAAGTTGGAGCTCTGTAGTGAAGGACACCAACCCAAAAGCACCTAGGATTTCCAGAATGAAGGCGTTACACCCACCGAGACAAGCCACACTTGCACAATCACATAAAGGACCCTTCCTGGCCCGCTCGTCTGGCAGGTCAGCAAGCACAGGTAAGAGAGAGAAAACAAAGGAGCCAGCATTCCCACACACCTGCCCGGACGCCCTTCCACCTGCCTTTCGTGCAGCTCCAGCAGCCTGGACCAAGAGTGTCGTCTCCTCTCCTCGTGGAGACTGTCAAAGTCCAGGTGCCACATCCACCGAGACTCACCTGGCCCTCCCCTGGACAGCCAGCCAGTTACCTTTGCAACTGCCCGGCCTCCATGAAGCTGACTCACTAGGGCAAAGTGCGGCCCGGCCACCGAGTGTGGGACGCACCTGACTTGGCGGGCTCGCTCAGAACCCGGGGCTCCTGTTTGCCTGGCCGTGCGCTGGGCCGAGTTCTCCCACACAAAAGAACATTCAAACCCCCACAGCAAACAAGGAACAGAGGCACCAGGGACAGGACACCCAGGAAGCCCGCAGGCAGCCCGGCCCAGCCAGAAAAGCACTGCCTCTGGGCGGTTAAACCTGTGGTTCTGCTGCCGGCCGGCTCTGCAACTTAACCTCCCCCGGTCTGAGTCTCTTCCTCTCCATACAGAGAACAACAATACTTAGCTCGTGAGGGTGACCAGGGGGATGAAGTGCTGGTAAAACGTCACAGGTCACATATGTGATGAGAATGCTCTGCAAATCAGTATTATCTTTCCTCTTAGAAAAGGTATTTCCACTGGTCGAAGCAGAGTCATAAATACCTGGTCTTTCTGGTTTGATTTTCCTCATTCACGCTTCTCCCCGTGGGGCCGTGGCTGTGTAACCAGTGTATTCTCTCGGGGGGGGGGGGGCAAATTCGAATGCCCAGCATTGAACTGAAGGCCCTGAAAGATGTTCTGTTACAATGAGAAAAATAATTTCTTGCAGTTGCAGAATACATTTTTTCAGCATTATTACGGTAAACACAGAGAAGCTCATGTTCACTTTTGAATTAATATTTTAAAACACGGAAAATCGCATCATACACCATAAACTTACACAATGTTATTGCTCAATTACATCTCAATAATTTGAGAGGTGGGAATAAAATTCAGAATTTGCTCTAAAAAGACCCCAAGAGTATATTCTTTCAACAAACACCTAACTTAGTCTCCATAAGATGCCAGGATTTGACACAAGACAACTTGAAGGACAGAGTCCCTGCCTTCGACAAGCTGGGAGCCAGTTCACCTCCCAAGAGGTCACTAGTGCAGGGACGGCCACCACAGTGGTCCTCAGGGTCACCACACTAATGTGCCTGAACTCTCAGGTTTTGTCTCGACGCCTGAACTGACTCCTCAGACTGGGCCACGGAGTGTAGGGTCCTCTGACCGTGGCCGTGGTTTCTTACCCCGGTTGTGGGCCCTGGCGTCTGGCTCATTAATGGCTGCACCTCCGTTTTTAACCCTCCTGGGAGGAGTCACTGGAGAAGGACACACATGACAGCAGGAACAGTGCACGGTCGGTTAGGACACAGACGCAGGCCTCCAGGGATGGGTTCTGACGTATCAGGGTGACATGCGTGAGCCTCTGACGTGATTCTTTTGGCTTATAACCGATGTTAGTCCTGGCCCACAACACCACCTGCATTACTGGAGTGTTAACTCCAAAGCTTTGCTGTATGGATGACAAAACTAAGGTCCAGAGAAGTGATGTGACTTAACCAAGGTGACCCAGCCAACCAGAAGCCTTGACTCAACTCCAGCAAAGCCACCGCTTGGGGCCAGCCTTGGAGGGATGGAGCCCATGGCCTCAGCCAGTGACTGGCCTCCTAGGCTGCAATTTATTCCTCTGGGTGAGCGGGGTGTCAGACAAAATGAGCAGCAACAGGTGCCACTCAGCAGTCCAATTATCAGAAAGGACAGGTGCCAGAAAAACATGGTCCAAGAGCCAGAGACAATTAGCCTGGCACAGGCACCATGGGCTGCCGGTGTCTGCCGTCCCGGAATTGGCACTCACAGCACAAGCTTGGGAATGAAGGCACGGGCCCAATTAGGGCTTCCTACAGGACCGAGGGATCCCACGTAGGAGCCCTGACAAAAGCGCTCCTTTAAATGCCCCTTCCTGGCTGCCTGCGAACCTGCCTTCCATGAACCTGCCTCTGCTGCCAAGAGCTAAAGAACAATATGTCACTCAGGAAGAAGAATGGCTCCATCCTTCCTTATCAGCCCTGGGCTGGCAGAGGTGGCCCCACGTCCCCTCTCCTCACCCCTCCCACTTGACTGATGGCCCCTGGACCAGGACGAGTGGGGTGATGGATGGATGCTGCTGGGACTTCTGACCTCACCTCAAGCTCCGATGGGCACAAGTGGCTCAGCACTCACTGAAAGAAATATAAAGGGCTGTAATGTGTTTGGAGTGTTCCCCCAGCCCCCAAGGCCAGTGGGACATACTCCCCAGAGGAGCAGTGCCACTTGGTGGCCTGGGAACAAGGCTGCCTGCATGTGCATCTCAGCCCCATCATCTGTTGGCTGCATAAACCCAAGTTCACGCTACTCGGGTTCTCCTTTTCATCTTCTGTGCAACGGGGGTAATAACAGAACCCACCTCACGGGGCTAGGAAGAGTATAGTTAGATTAAACGCCTACAAAGTATTTGATGCCCATTAAATACTTAATAAATGTTAGCTGTTCCCCTCTCCCTGGAAATGCTATAAAGTGTGTAGGGAACATTCCACACAGTTGCCAGAGAAGAATAAGCTGAGTGCCCACGATGCTGTGACAACCACACGTCTCCTTTACACTTAATCCAGAGCCACCAGACCAAGGGAACGCAGATAACCTATGTCACATGACTACACAGGAAAACAGAGGGGGTTAAAGTAAAAACACCGGAATGAGAAACGTCAATAAAGTGCCGCCCAGTGCTTCACACACTCGAGTAGTTGTAGCCCCAGTGAGGATGTTGGACGCACTGCATAAGCACCGATGTTATCCCAGAAGCAATTGCAAAATACGTTTTAGTTTTAACAAACGTAAATATTACACTATTGAATATTGTGGAGTAAAATCCAAGTTTGTGTTAACTTTTACCAAGCAGCATAAGACATCAAAGCAATTCCATACTTGCAATGAAACATAAACACACGTTCAGACGCACACACTCTGCACCCCAGACGTCACTCCCTGCCACTTGGTGGGAATGTTTGACGGACTCTCTAACGAGAGCAGACAGTCAGACACAGGTCCGATGAGCCAGAAAGAATCCATCCCTGCAGGTGACACGGTGGCTAAGCCAGGGAGACTCGGGGCCTCGCCGCACACGGCTCTTCCATGGATTGACCCGTGGCACTCCAGATAAAGATCCTCTCTGCGGAAGGTGTCCCAGTTCCCCCAGCACAGAGGTGCTTGTTCTCCAGGGAAGGCAGATCCTCAGGCTCCTTATAGAAGTGCACCCCAATATTTTAGAGTCAAGATGCTCCTCCCGATATAACACAATGCACATGAGTTACTCTTAACTCTCGTGCGAACTCTTTGAATAGAAGACATGCCACTCAGAAGCATTTTCCTCTCCAACTTCCACAGTCCCGTTTGTGTTTCCTTATAAAATGTCCTTCCCTCAGTCACTCTGGGGAGGAGCAGAGGTCTAGGGGGAAGGAAATAGATGTTGGAACCTGGATACAGTTTTGGCAGTGCCGCTGCCCAGCTGCGTGCCTCTGGGGAAAAATCACTCAATCTCTATGAACCCCAGTTCTCTTATCTTTAAAATGAAGTCTAGCCCTGGCCAGTGTGGCTCAGTTGGCTGGAGCATTGTCCTATAAACTAAAAGGTCATGGGTTCAATTCCCACTCAGGTCACATACCCTGGTTATGGATTCAATCCCTGGTAGGGACTCGTGCAAGTTAACCAATCGATGTTTCTCTCTCCCCATTCCTTCCCCTCCTGCCTATCTCTCTCTCTCTCTCTCTCTCTCTCTCTCTCTCTCTCTCTCTCTCCTTTCCTCTCTCTCTAAAGCAATAACATAATGTCCTTGGGTGAGAATAAAAAAAATTAAGTCTAAAAAGCAGATAACAGGGCTGTGAAAATGAAATAAATGCATGGAAAAACACGCAAATGCCTGTTAAATAGAGGAGTGGGTCTTCAATAAGTCTTTGTCCTTCACTTCCGGGGTCACACACCACTTTGTTGGCTTCTCCTCTACCCACTTCCCCATGCACAGAAATAGCCCATGTGTGCGCACAGAGTTAACACACACACTTTTCCACGGCTCTCCCAACCCTGTCCTCTCGGTCTGGACTGAGTGACTGCAGAAGGAGTTACGGTCCCCTGAAGTGCTGTTTTAATGCTACATTTAGCACATTAGGACAATGTCCATAGGAGCCACGTATGATGCCAGAAAACAGAGTTCAAGCTTCGGGACAGCAAGATGATGGGGAAGATTCTTTACTAAGCATCTGTGCCTGCAGCCATTGCCAGGGAGGTGGCCGCGCTTCATTATTTGGGGAGAGTGTTCCACAAATGAATGTGGTAGATTCCCTCTGTGCTGAGCAAATACTTACTGCCTTTCCTGACATTGCTTTGTGCTGTAATTTCCATGTGAGCTCCCTAAGAATATTTCCTTTTCCATTAACACTTTCTCTGCTTCATGATTTCATGACACTGTGACACCACGTCCCAGGGCTGGCCCAAATGTCATTCATGGAATGAACGATGTCACTAAATGAATCTGACTGGAATACACAGCTTTACCTTGGCATTAAAAAAAAATTATCTTCTATTCAACAAACAATATTTTAGACAAATATTAACTCACTATTTGTAGTTAGTAAATATTTTCTCCTGCGTGAGCTGACTCTCCAGAGTTCCTCTAATAAAGGGCTGTGCAGAAGGAACCCCAAACAGTCCCTGCTCCTGTTTAATAACCAAGAAATGGCATAAAACTGAGTAATTCTTGTATTTATGTCAAGCATCGTTCTAGGTGTCGACTGCAGGCCACTCTAAGGCACCAAGGTGAGCTGGTTCCTTACGCTTATGGAGCATCCTGCCTGCCTAACGGAGGTGCAGACAAGGTGACAAGCCACTCTGGTGGTCAGTGCCGGGGGAGGGGCAGCAAGAAACAGATGAAACACACAGCAGAGCCCCCGACCTAGTCGGGGGAGGTGTCCTAGCAAAGAGCTCTCCACAGAGACCTGCAGGATGCAAGCACATGAGCCTGGAACGAGGGCAGGCAAGCAAGAGAGAGTGTGTCCTCAACCGAAGGGGGGATCCCGCAGGGCTCAGAGGGGAAGGGGGGCCTGTGCATTCAGCACTTCACCAGTCGCTGTTACGTTCAGTGTGGTTGGAGCGTAGAATGCAAAGAAGTTGCTACAGACTGAATCTTGGCATCCCCCCAAAATTCAGATGTTGAAAGCTAACCCCCACGGTGATGGAATTAGGAGGTGGAGCCTTCAGGAGGTGATTAGGTCGGAGGGCAGAGTCTTCATGAACAGGGTTAGTGCCCTCATAAAACAGACTCCAGAGAGCTCTGCAGCCCCTTCTGCCACAGGAGGACACAGTGAGATGATAGCTGTCTGTCATCTCGGGAGGGGCCCTCACCAGACCCCGAGTGTGCCAGCACCTGGATCGTAGACTCCCCAGGGTCCACAGCTGTCAGGAGTAAATGTCCATTCGTAAGCCAGCTCGTCTGTGGTATCATGTCACAGCAGCCTGAACGGACTAAGACCCAAGAGACAACGAGAGCAGATACTGAAGGTAGGGTCCTCGCTGCCCCAGCCAGTGTCGCCCCAGCTCTCCTCAATGCCTTGATGGTTTGCACACAATATCATGGGCGTGTGCTTTTTTCACCTGCCCCGCATCCTAACCCCTGGCTCTGGTAACATCATCACTTTGTCCTTGATAAACTTTCCTGTCTCCTCCCAGTTTATACAGTATGCATGGGACTGACCGCATCCCTTGCTCTAAGATTGGACACATAAGTCCTATGTAGACAGCTAGAGTTGCAGCTCCCTCCCTAGACAGATGAATGTGGCGGTTGGCACCTGTTTATGGACCTGGCCAAGATGTTTGCTTCCAGAACTATTAGGGAAGACATGTGCTTTCTTTGGGTTGACTGAGCTAGAATATCAGCCTGGAGTGACAGCAGGTAGCCATTTGTCTCCCATTCAGTCATTCAGTAACAGTTTATTGAATAGCTGGTATGTTCCTCACGCCATTGTAGGCATTAGGAATATGGACATAAACACATAATTCCAACTCTTGGGTTTTCACCATCCACTTAAGAGGCAAATAAAATAATCACTTTAACAAAATATGAGAAATGTTTCAGAGTATTACATTATTAGGGAAAGGCAGCCAATTCAGGCAAGGCTTCCCAGAAGAGAAAGCTCTTTGAACCTTGTTGCATAATTAGGACTTAACCAGTAGACAGGCTGGTTAGAGTGGTTCCAAAAGAGGAGTCAGTAGGTCTAAAGGCAGGGAGGGGAGGCTCAGCTGGGCAGGCTCGGGCACCCACCATATTCAATCAGACTCAACGGAGTGGGAGGAAAGAAGCTGGATGGCCATTGTTTTGGATTTTTGCTGAAGACAAGATGCTTCTAAAAGATTCAAAGCAGGTAAGTGACACCATCAAGCTGACATTCTAGAAAAGCACAGAGTCACAATGAAGAGAATGGCAGGAGGAGGGCCAGACTGCAGGCAGGGTGAACCTTAAGAGGCATTGCCATTGTCTGCCTTTATAAAGTCCACGCAAGCTGAACTCACACACTGGTGGAGGGGAAAATGTTAGAGGGGCTGGGGTCAGGTTCAGGAGAGAACACAGAAGCTGAATAAATGGGATTTAAAGGTTAACTGGATTTCTTCAGCTCTGGCTGGATGAAGGTCAATGGTAATGTTCCTGATCAATATTGGAGTGCATTTTACTGGAAGAAGCAAGTTTTGTGAGGAAAGGGAAGTTCAGGCTGGGCCCCGGAAAGTTAAGTGGCCTTCAGGACAAGGTACTGGAGCTCCAGCAGGGAGTAGGAACTCCCGAGAGAAATCTGCTGGGACTTAGGTTTGCGATAGGTGGTGTTCGTTTGTTTGTACATTGCTTCTTTCCTGAAGATTTGTATGTAGGTGTTATCAGGTTTGATTTAGGTGTTATTAGCACACAAGCCATTATTAAAACCATGGATATGGATGAGATTGTGAAGGAAGAGAACAGATTTCAAAATAAGAAAATGATCGTGTACGGTAAAAGGAAGAGAAAGAAAAGTTTGTGAAGACTATCAAGAGTCAGAACAACATCAAGGAAGCCAAGAAAGAAGAGAGTGTTGAGAAGGAGGAAGAGGTAAAGAAAAGAGATACCACGAGAGATCAAGTTGCTTAAGAACATGAACGTGTCCAGTGGATTCCGTTGGGTTGGTGGAATGGTCAGAAAGGGGATGGACTGTAAGGAGGGGCTACGAGTTGTTGTTCACTGGCTGGCTGGTTGGCTGGCTGGCATCACGGGAGATACTCAAACACGTCTACCTATGGAGGGAAGCCCGTTAGAGGAGAGGCTGAAGAGGCAGGGGAATAAAGGAAATGGGTGATGGGTGTGGTCCCTCTGGAGGCCGATGGGGGTGGGACTCATAGCCCAAGAGACAGAATCACTCGGGGATCAGGAAGTACACTCCTGTCCTTGAGAAGGGAGGGAAGCAGAGAGGGACGTATGAATGCCCGTGTGGATAATTTGGGGAGCTAGGCCAGGCCAGGCTAACGGGGAAGATAGTGTGCATATTCATTATATTAAAGAAATTGCTTTCACCCATGAGTCCATTAAAATGGGTTAATGAGACTCCCACAAATTCCAAAGCCCAAAATGACTGATGTGTTGCGGGAAGCTGAGGGTACACCCTATAGTCACCAGTGGTGGGAATTTTCTTTTTCTTTCTTTCTTTCTTTCTCTCTTTCTTTCTTTCTTTCTTTCTCTCTCTCTTTCTCTCTCTCTCTCTTTCTTTCTTCTTTATATTTTCTATTCTATTTGAAAGCACAGCCTGGTTTATTTTTGACACCGTTTCATTTCTTTCAGGCTGTGGCCTGTGGGTCACTCCTATTTCAAGCAATTTCATTTTCCTTAGTGTCAGGCTTTTGTATATTTGCCCCTCAGAAATCAGCAGCTGTTGGAAAAGTATTCGTTCCAATCAATAACCATTTAAAGATAGAAATTCAGACAGGTAAGATGGGTTGTTAGCTTTTAGACATCTTTCGCAGAAGCAACCTTTACTTCTACCTATACTTCACTGTAAGGAGGCCCATTCAGGAGGATGCTTCAAGTTTATGATATAAAAAAGCACAATTTGATAAAATCTGAAGGTACATGGGAAGTCCATTTCATCAGTAATCACCTGTTTCCAAGTGGGACGCGGAGTAAATTCGATGCTATGTGAAAAGCTGTTCAGCAAGAGAAAAACTCACACTAGGTGAAGAATCAATTACTGAAGCATTGCAATGAATCCCTTCCTGATGTATTCATTATATAGCACATAAATGGGAGCCCAGAGTGCCATATGGTTAATTGGGATCAAGGCCAGGACTCTAATCCAGGCGTCCTGACTCCCCTCCCACTATTCATTCCTTCTCTCATAGCATCTGTTTTTCCTTCTGGGCAGCAAATTCCACAGGGCCAGGGACCTCTTCATTTAGGTATCCACAGCACAGAGGTGACAATCAGAATATCTGTTAGTAGGCTAGCCATACTCAGGGTGGATCGCTGTTGGTCATTTGTGACATTTCATGCAGAGCTGAACATCCGAGTAAAAGGTCTCAACAAAAAGAAAAAGAAAAAAACCACCAAGTCATAAGCACATGGTTTGTGAACTCTGAAAATCCCAGGACTCCGGATGTGACTTCCAGGGTGGAAGCCTTGGGAATAACAGCTGTAGAGCCACCTCCTGCAAACGGGAGCTGGGCCAGGGCTTCATTTCGCTGTGGGTTAGCAGGCACCACGCCCCTCGCCAGCCATGCACCCTGAGAACAGAAGTTTCCACATCTCCTCTCAGTCAGCTTTAACCAACTTGTATCCTCCTTGAAATATTTAACAGGCTACCTCCTCTCCCCCAAACACTGGAACTGCTAAGCCTCCTTTCATCTTCTCAATAATCGAACCTACCTAAAGTTTCACATGAATTGAAATCACATGTTCTTTTGCACATCCTCAGTTCACTCCAGGCCTCAGCAGACAGCCAGGGTCCGCAGTCAGTTCGAGGAGTTAGGGTTTGAAAGTGGCATGAGCCACAGTTTAAGTTTGTTTTGTTGTTTTTTTTTTTTTCAAGCAAAACCCTGTGAGGTTCTTCATTTTGCTGAGAACCATGTGCTGGCTTGATGCCTTTCTACTCTGGTTTAGACCAAATGCTTCTCAAATGAATCTACTAGAAGGGTTTCTAATGAGAACTATATTCCCTCACAGCACTCTTCAGTTTGGGTTTGGTTTGGGTTAATTGGTTAATGGTGAAAATGAGTACTTACTTCGTTTGCCCCTAAATCAGGAGTTGCTGCTGCTGCTGCTGCTTCTGCTCTATCCCAGCATGACAGCCTGCTGTTACTCACAGCTGGCAGACACTGTGAACTATGATGCCACGTCAGCTACTCGGAACCTTTCTGCTTGAGCAACAGTTTCCCAGTGGAATAATTTTGTGTGTGGCTCCTGAGGCTGGAAACATGATCTGACCACCATACTGAGAAGGTCTGAGTAAAAGAAGCCAGTACCTGAGATTATAGAAAGAAACCACACAAAACACTTCCCATGACTAAATAAGAATTCCAAGGAGAAATTAAACAGTATATTGACTTTCTAAACAATCATGACAGCAAGTTGATAATGGACAAAAAAAAACACAAACAGGATTAGAAACTGAAAAAATAAAATTTAGAGACTTTTAATCAGCATTGTGGATATTAGTTCATTTACAAAGTCCGCATGAGGTTGGAGTGCACAAAAACCGAGTAAGTGGATGTTTGTGAATAGGGAGATGACTAAACAGATTGAGATATTTCTGTCATGGAATATTAGGATATCTAATAACAAATAATAAATTACAGCTGCATCAGTTAAGGGGTTTCTATGGCATTTCATTGAGCAAAATTAATATTAGACCACTGAGGTTGCCATAATATATTATAGAATAAAAAAGTATATTATCCCATATGCTATTATATATATGCTATTATATGATAATATGTGATTATATCCAAACGTTTATGAACCTATGTAGATAAAAGTATATAAAAGCTATATACCTACTGTTAATAATACTTTCTTTGCTTGACATAAAGAATGTACAAAAACAATGGATGAGGGTGGAAGTAACTTTTTAAGAGGCTTAACAATAAATCAGCACCTACTACACTGCATCCCAGATAAAACTGTGTGTCTGGGAATGATGTGTGTGTGTAAAGAGAAGCATGTCTAAGTTTATAAAAGTGTCAGATATTTTAAGGTGGTGAGATTACAGATAACTTCTTTTATTCGCTATTAGCTTGTATATATTTAATTTTTTTCAAAAAATTATTTATGTAACCAGGAAAAACAATGAAGCTGATTGTATTATGTAAAAATTATTGATAACTGGTAACTCACCTGAGCTCTTCTGCTTCTGAGTCCAGCTGCTAAATCTTCGATAGAGCTGGGGTCTTCCTCTGTGTGGCCAACACACTCCAGAAGTCTACAGATGTTCTTGCACCCACCTGGAATGGACAGGCCACGCCAAAGAGAAACGTAAGACACGCCTCCAGCCCTGACTTCACACAGCCCTCCTCTCCTCGGAGACTGATGTCAAAGGCGCTGCATCCTCACACGCTTCCACACTCTGCGGTGCAGAGGGAGGGCCCATGGCACATGCTCTCACAGAGACGTTGCTGACGCGCTCTTCCACCAGCCTGCCTCAGATCCCGCCTCTGGAGGGGACTCAGGCATCATTTGGGAAAATGCCAATGGAGGAAAAGAAGAAGGGAGGTGGGATGGACAGACCCATCCCTGTATTTCAGGAACAGAGCCAGAAATTGGGAAATACACTCTTATTGATCGGTGACCAAATAATCAACAGGGAGGAAAAAAGGACATAATTAGAACATGGGAAAGGTCACTAGTGGCCACGTTTTCTGAGTTAAGATGAAGTATATGGGTTCACATCGTTCTCGTTATATTAACAACGGTTGGACTTTCTCCAGGCAGACCTCATATACACAGACTGAAAGTCTCGTGCCCGCCCACCACAAGACTGAGTCACAGATGGGAGAGCATCTTGGAACTCCCTGGGAGAAGTGACACAAAAGGTGGAAAGCCTGGTTTTGAGCAGAGACAGCACATCACGATGGTCACACGCGTGGGTGCTGAAGCTACCCCGCCAGCCTGGGTCCCTGGCTCTGCTACTCTCTGACTCTCCTGATGTCGGGTAAGTCACTGAACCTATCTGGGCCTCAGTCTCCTGATTCATATGGTGGGCCTGAGAGTTACCATCTCAGGGGTTGTGTGAAGAATAATCAGATCATAATAGGTAAAGCATTTAATTTTTTGTTAATTAAATGTATTGGGGTAACATTATCATTACTATTAAACATCTGTTGATTGCGTATAATGTGCCAGGTTTGGGGCCGTTTTCAGATATGATTTTATGTAATCCACACAGCATCCCTATGGAGTAGCTCCTAATATTCTAATTCTTCACAAAAGAGAAAACCAAAGCCCAGAGAGAGTGAACAATTTGCTCAAAGTCCCACAGCTAGCAAGGAGAGAACCAGACTTCGAATCCAGGGCTAGTATCAATCAAGAGCTCAAATGTCTAGTCACTGCTTTTTTTGTTATTTTTATTTTTTTAATAACATTTTTTAAGTTGACATGTGCATATAATAGGGAACTAAAAAACACAAAAAGAACAAAGTCACCCATAATCACAAGCCATCTAATCACTGTTTATATGGCCTCCCAAGTCTGTTCAGAAATACCCAGCATGGATCTGTTCCTTTGTTTGCTCATTCACTCATTCATTCATTCACAGAGAGCTCACCACGCTCCGCTCCTAGTATCTAGATCAGAGAAGCACTAAGCAGACCACAATGGAACCGCCTCTAGGAAACCTACATGCTCATGAGGGAGCCAGACAAGCAAACAAAAATAAATCCATCCTGGAACAATGGACGGTATACTTCCCTATGAAGGCAAGATGAACCCAGGGAGGGCTGTCCCACGGCGAGGTATGGGAGGGAGTAAGGAGGGCAGAGTGAACTGTAAATGCAGGGTCTTAAGGCAGCAACACGTTTGGCCTATTGGAGGAGTGAGAAGGCCAGAGGCTCCGTAGGGAGCTGGTCTGGAGAGAGAAGGTGCAAAAGAGCATCCGGAAGGGAGGCGAGTGACCCGGTAGGGGCATGAAGCAGAGGGCAGGCAGAACGGAGCAGCCACCTGAGCTCTTCCCTCACAAAGTGACGACCAGGAAGCAGCTGTGTGTTTTCATCCAGCCACAGTCTGACATTTGGTGCCTATGGGCAGATGCGAATAGGTGAGTAGAGCATTAGCAGGGGCGGGGGGCAGGGGTTGCCGGGTGAAGGCAGTAGAGAGGGGGAGAGGCTAAGAGGCTGAGCCTGGGCCATGGACACAGGTTGGCTGAGGTAGATGGTGAAGGACAGGTGGACACGGTGAGGTCAAAGAATGGCTGGAGCTGGGATTCTACAGGAAGTGAGCTGGAAGTACGGAGGATGCCAGAACTCAACACGGCTGAGGTGGAAGACAGGCTTGCTGGAAGTGAGGAGGCTCCGAAAGGCCACAGTGTTGCTTGGGTCACCTATGCCAGTGGTCTAAAACCTAGTCGCATACCAGCATGACCTGGGGAGCTCTTAAAAAACACACAGGCCTCCAACCCCCAAAGCTTCTGACTCAGTTGGTTGCAGGAAGGGGGTGTAGTGCCTTGGTTTGTTTTTTCTTTTTTAAGGCTTCCCAAATAAGGTTCTGAAGTGCAGCCAGGGTTGAGACTGGCTGATCTATGTGGGCCACCCAGCAAGAGTGAGGACAGAAGCGCTGGTGAGCAGGGTGCAGTGAGCCAGCAGGGCCCAGAGCCTCAACTGGATGAGGCGTGAGTGCAGGGTGGGGGACCACCTACCGCAGCATGGGAGGTTTATGCAGATTAGGTGGCCTCTCCTTCAAAGCAATGGTGTGATTGCCAGGGGGAGAAAGTTAAAAAAAAAAAAAAAAACTGGTGGGGAAGGGTCAGGGGGGAATAAGGGTCTGGAAATGGCCATGAGGAGCAAAGCAGGATCCTACCCCACCATCAGGCCCTGGGACCCCAGATCCCTAGGAGTAAGTCAGGTATCAGTCAGAGCAAAAAGGTGAGGGGGACATTCAGAGAAGATGGTGAGGACACTGGGTGTGAGGGTGCAGCTTGGGGGTTAGGAGGGTGAGAGATAAAGTCAAATGAGACATACAGAGCTATGTGGACAGGAGGGCGTGGGGGTCCCAGACTGAGGTCATCACAAGGGAAGGCACCATGGGATTAGCACCAAGGTCTTTCAGCGAAGGTGAGTGACCAATTCTAATTAGAGCCTCCCTCTTGTGTTTTATTTAGACTCCCTGGCAGCACACTCATTTCCTGCAGCTGCCATAACAAACTGCCATAGACTAGGCAGATTAAAACAAAGGAATTGATCTCTCACAGTTCTGGAGGCTGAAAGTCTGAACTCACGCGTCGGCAGGGCCCTGCTCCCTCTGAAGGCTCTGTGGGAGGACCTTCCTCTCCGCTTCTTAGCTTCTCCTGGCTCCCGGCAATCCTTGGCTTGTAGCCCCATCACTCCAATGTCTGCCTCAGTCTCCCCACGGTCAGTCTTCCCTCTGTGTGTGTCCACATCTCCCTCTACTGAAAAAGGCACCAGTCACTGCACGAAGGCCACCCAGTAGGACCTCATCTTAGCTTCATTGCAGCTATGAAGACCCTGTTTCTCAAAAAGGTCACATTCACAGGTACCAGTGGCTAGGATTTCAGCATGCCTTTTGCAGGGACACAGTCGAACCCACAATAGGCACTTCGTGGAGGTGATGTGACAGCCAGGAATACTGTTCTTCCCCGAAGAACACAGGCTCTAATGAAGCCTGTGTTACTATGAAGTAACTATGAAGCGCTCTGAGAGCCTGTCATAGCAGAAGAGGGTACGGTGTAGGCCTCCTTTATAGATCTCTGTCCCCTGAGCTTGGTGGCCCACCTCAACCCCACCAGAATAAAAAATCAGAGCTGGTTCAGGGAAAACCCATCCTCATAGTGGATAAACAACTCAAACAAACTTTGGGTTCATGGCAAGTCAGCAGTATCTGTCAATACCCAATAGAATGTATTTGATGAGAAGCTAGCTACACATTGACCAGATAAGAAAAGCTACAGGACTTCCTACTCTCTCACCATGAGCAGCAATCAGTGAAACTGGAGAGAGAAAGACAAAGAAAATCACCTCTGTGTGCTACGGAACCCATCTGGTTGACGGGTCACATCCTCCAGCAATCAGCTATCACGAACTAAGGGCCTATTATTGCAACAACTGACACAAGGAAAAGAAAGTGTGTTGCACCATGCAAGGAACTTACCCACCAGCTGGGGGCATGAAGAAAGTGGAGCCACATATTAAAGGTAACGTATAGTTCATTGTTAAATGACATGATGTGGGTAGACTCAATAACACACACATAGGACAGATCAATAATTCCAGGATTATTCAAATTAGGCTCACTGGAGTTTGGTAAGTATGCCTTTGGAGCCCCTTTTGTGTATCCCAGCCACCCTGAAGCCTTGCTCCATAAATGATCAGCATTTCTCTCTTACAGGTGAAGAAATCGAGATTCACACACACCAAGTGGTTTGCTTGCCCAAGATCAAAGAGCTTAGAAGTTTCCAAGTCAGGAATCGAACCCAAGTCTTTTATCCTTAAACCCATGGCTTTTCTGGCAAAACATGGATGGGAGAGTCGGGTTTTGGATAGGTAAGGAAAAACAAGGAGAGTATGTTATATGTGGGTAATAGGATTAATGTTTAATTATTACATTTAGCCAATCAGCTCCTGAGAGCCAGCCTGTGTTTCCAGAAGCTGCTGTCAATTCTTCAGTTTTTCCCATATCTGGGTCAGTAAGAAGAGGATCACAAGGTCTCCTTGTGGTTATTTTTAAGGAAAAAAAAACTTTAAAGAAAAGGAAAGGATGAAAATGAACAAAGTGAGAAATCTTACAAGCTGAATTCAAAGGGGAATCATTCGACAGGAACAGCTGGGTTACTGACCCGGACTTGGAACCTGCCGGGAGGGTCCCCGGTGGATCACAGTGGTTCCTGGCCCCACCGGAACTGAGGGGGGGGTGGCCTGGAGTCTACATCAGAGGGTGGACCTGGGACACAGCAGAAACCGGAGGCAGGAGGCCCCCCTTCCCCATGCCTGCTTTTTTTAAAGCACCATTACCCTTGATCCTTTATTCAGATAATAAAGGGAGACAGAAATCCAGGGGGCCCGTTCCAGCTCTTACCACTGGCTTTTGCGCTTTCAGAACAACAAAAAAAAGGCAGGGGAATCTTTTAAGCAATCACCGTATGTTGCAGGAAAGTGGCACCAATTGACGTGTGACTGCTGTTCCTAAGAGAGAGATTCTGAGTGCCCCTTGATGGGCTTTTCTGCGACGAATCAGTGGTAATGCAAACCCCCTGCCCAGCTTTCCCATCCACTCAAAGACGCCAGGAAAGAAGCTGTACGTGCCAGAAAACAGATCTCCCAGGACCTCAGAGTGAGAGGCTTCTGCAAAGCATCCCACAGTGTCACGTGACAGCACAGAATGGGTTTCTCTTTTTTTTCTGCCTTTATTTTATTTTTTTAAATATATTTTATTAATTATGCCATTACATTTGTTCTATTTCCCCCTTCATTTCCCTGCACCCTGCATACCTCCTCCCCCACCATCCCCCCTTTAGTTTATGACCACGTGTCTCAAGTTCTTTAGATTCTATATTTCCCATACTATTCTTGCCCTCCCCCCTATCTATTTTCTACCTACCGTCTATGCTACTTATTTTCTGTGCCTTCTCCCCCCTTCTCCTCCTCCCACTCCCCTGTTGCTAACCATCCATGTGATCTTCATTTCTATGGTTCTGCTCCTGATCTAGCTGTCCTTAGTTTCCTTTAGTTTTAGGTGTGGTTCTTAATAACTGTGAGTTTGCTGTCCTTTCACTGTTCATCTTTTTTATCTTCTTTTTCTTAGGTAAGTCCCTTTAACATTTCATATAATAAGGGCTTGGTAATGATGAATTTCTTGAATTTGATCTTATCTGAGAAGCACCTTATCTGTCCTTCCATTCTAAATGAAAGCTTTGCTGGATAGAGCAATCTTGGTTGTAGGTCTTTGGATTTCATGACTTGGAATACCTCTTTCCAGCCCCTTCTTGCCTGTAAGGTCTCTTTTGAGAAATCCGCTGACAGTCTGATGGGAACTCCTTTGTAGGTGACTGTCCCCTTATCCCATGCTGCTTCTAGAATTCTCTCCTTCATTTTAAGCTTGGCTAATGTAATTATGATGTGCCTTGGTGTGTTTCTTCTTGAGTCCAACTTCTTTGGGACTCTCTGAGTTTCTTGGATTTCCTGGAAGTCTATTTCCTTTGCCAGATTGGGGAAGTTCTCCTTTATTATTTATTCAAATAAGTTTTCCACTCGTGGCCATTCCTCTTCCCCTTCTGGTACCCCTATAATTCGGATGTTGGAACGTTTAAAGATGTCCTGAAGGTTCCTAAGCCTCTCCTCATTTTTTTGAATTCTTCATCCTTTTCTGTTTGGTCATTTTTTTCCTCCTTCTGGTCCACTCCTTTGATTTGAGTCCCAGTTTCCTTTCCATTACTATTGGTTTCCTGTGTATTACCATTCATTTCAATTAGTTTAGCCTTCATATGTTCCTCTAATTTGTGACTAAAATCAACCAGTTCTGTGAGCATCCTGATCACCAGTGTTTTGAACTGTGCATCTGAAAGTTTGGCTATTTCTTCATCGCTTAGATTTATCAGCTCTGGGGCTCTGAGCTGTTCTTGAGCCATGTTTTGATCTGTTCTTGTCTGTTACATATGAGGAGCGGAGCCTTAGTTGTTTACCAGGGTGGGGACACCCAAGTCGCTGATTTGTGATGCTGTATGTGGGGGTGTGGTCAGAGAGGGGCCACTCAGGTCGCTGGTTTGTGATGCTGTATGTGGGGGCAGGGTCAGAGAGGGATAATGGTGGTTCCCTCTGCCGCTTCCTGCCACTGGGACCTGCACGGTCTGTCTCACCGCTCCCTCCTTCACCAGTTTATCTGCACGTGAATGTGTGACCGTGATCAGCCCTCAATGGGTCCACCGCCTTGCGCCCTCAGTGGGTCCACTCGCTTCTCCACACCTGGGATCCACCCATGGCTGCTGGCACACCTGGGTTGTGTGCCCAGGTCGGTCAGGTGGATCTTTCCTGCCCAACCCTGATCTGCTGCTGGCTCTGCCCCTCTTACTGGTTTGGCTGAAGGGTTTGTTGTTGTCAGACTTCCGTATAGTTCAATTTTCTGTGGTTTGGCTGCGTTTTTGTTGCTAAAACTTTGGTGTTTTTAAACTTAGTTCTGGGAGAAGGCACAGTGCTTCCACCTACATCTCCATCTTGGTGGAAGTCCTGGGTTTCTCTAGGGTCCACAACACGGGGTCCCCTGCAGGGGGCAGTGCCAGATACAGGTCCGTAGTCTAAGGAAGCCATTCCCTCCCTGGTCGCGTCTCTAACCCAGGGCCCTGGTCATGGGCAGTGTGGCTCTAAGTGTTGAACAGCACTGAAGGAGAAGATTCACAGACACACACCGAGATTGCCGGGCAGCCCCAGCGCTCTCTCTGGGCGGCAGCGTGTACTCTGGGGTTCCTGGAAAATCAAGGTCAATGCGATCTTGTTTTACTGAGAAACTGGCCTTCGGCTGGGCCCTGAATGGGTGCAACTTGCACAGGAAGGAAATGGCCGGGAGATCTGTTTCTTCAGGCGCTGCGTGTAACACAGACAGAAGCGAGCAAAACACACGCCCAGTCCCTGCTTTCACCGAGCCTGCAGTCTAGCCATCGGAGGTCTCCTGTTGGCATTAGAGTAGAGGGCACTGGTGGGCGTGGCGGAAGCTGACACTTGTTTAGGGCGGATGCTTTGCCAAGCAGCCTGCTAAGTGCTTCCCAAATGGGGGCATCATGTGGTCCTCGCTGCCGCTCAAGGATAAAGGGGGTTGGCATGATCATCTTTTTACGGGTCGGAAGCTGAGCCCGCGCAGCTAGCTAGTGGTAAAGCCGAAACTCAAATCCAGGGCTGCCTGGCTCAGGGGCCATCCCCCTTCCCCTCACCCCTGTGGGAAATGAGGTCAGGTAAGGCTGTGTGGGGCAGGGCTTGGAGGCCGGGTGAGGCCCTTTCCTCTTCTCTCTGGAGGAAACGAGGTGTTTTGTTACAGCTCTCTCCTCCTGATGTTGCCATGCACCTCGCCCCCCAAAGTTCGGTTCCCAAGGGAAACAAAATTCAGAGGACCATCGATCGGTCCCGGCAAGACAAATCCTCTCTCTCCAAATCTCTATCAGCCTTCTTTCCACAGTGAACTGCAATGACTATCGTGGAAGGAAATTTCAGTCGTATTTTTCTCTCCCTCAAATCCCAAACCTGGGAGAAGCCACAGGAAACCAGTGTCCATGGTTTTTCTCCTCCAGCCCCTGTACTGGTCCCTTCTTCATTCTCCCAAGATCCACAAGAACCCTCAAAGTCTCCCAGAGACCAGAAGGCCCATCATTCTTTAGGCAGCATCTCACCAGCAAAATGTCCAAAGGAGAAGAGAGGCTTGCGAAGTCCCCCCCGCCCTTCAGTTGCCCACCTGCCTTCACAGGGAGAGAATGGGAAGGAGAGAAGAGCCGTCTGCACGTTCTCCACCTCCTGAGAAGATCAGAGGTTAGTCCTCGACCTCCATCCCCTTCTTCATTTCTGAATCGACAAACACTGCTCCCTGACAAGGCCAGGATCAAGAAGGACAAGGTGAAGGTTGAGCCACCTGGAGAGCAGAGCTGAAAATGCTGAAACAGAACTGGAAACCCTTACGCTCATAAAGATAATAACTGCTCATCAACCGCAGAGCACGTTCAGAAACATCACTTCATTTGACTCTCACAATGGTAAGCAGGTATTGATGTTGTTATTACTTCTTTCCTTTTTTTCATAAAGAAACTGAGGCACATAAAAAAGAGGGGACTCCTTAAGGACAGAGAGGTCACACTTGCAGCCAGGCCTTCTGAGCCCAAATTCTGTGCTCTGGGGAGTCCAGATGGACAAGGACACCAGACAGAGGCAGGAAACTGAATGGTCACCTCTACGTCTCACCTCCCAAGATGGGGGAAGTTTACCCAAAGCATCCTAATTTCACTTCATAATCGCCTATGAATCTACCCTCCACACAATATAAATCTTTCCTTTATAATTGTTGGTTCTAGTCCTTGCAGACTTTGAAAGTAATAATTCGCCTATACTTCCCCTTCCCATCTAAAGAAGCACTATTTTTACTTTGCCCTAAAACTATTTCCTTAGAATGATAAAGTTGCTCCTCATTCTTGTGCTCTGGGACTTAATAAGTTCATATTTTTATCCCATGATTGTCATTATTTTATAAAATTCAATCATATCCTCCTCTTGGCCTGTGTCTTTCTGGAATGAGGAGCTCTAATTCTTTTATCATTCCTCACACAGAATTCTCTCGGCCCTCCGCATCAATTGAAGTGCCCTTCTGCAGACCTTGGCTGGCTCGGGGTGTCTTTAAGGCACATCAGCTCATGGGCCCCCTATCACTTTGTCCATTATTCTGTATGAAAGAGCACAATGAATTCAGCTAAAATAAAGTGTGGAGCTGTTAGAGATACTTTAAATATCCAACTGTATTTTGTTCCATGTCGGCCCAGCCTAGGCTGCAAAAAATATGCATTTTGCTTTCACTCTGAAATGAATTTGAGCACACTGGTCCTGAGCAACCATGTTGTCTCTTATGAAAATGACCCTTTGCAAAGTGCTTTCACATACATGATCTTATTTGACCCTCGCATGAACCACATGAGGCAGAAAGCACATATTATTATCCTCATTTTTTCACATGAGAAACATAAAAAGGTGAGTCCCACCCAAGGTCAAACCGCTGGAATCAGGGCCCCAGGGGCTGGCTCTGCATCGAGAGGAAGAGGCCCTACTCACTGTGCAGTGCCAGCTTCCTTACAACCACTTGTGACTTATTTAAATCACCAAACGACCACCTCCGAGTCTTTCAGCCGCCCACAGCAGTCACGAAATATTCTACGGTTCCGTTGAAAGAAAAAAGGTTAGGGTTGGTCCAGTCCCTCTTGCCTTCTCTCTACACGCTCCCCGGGGGAACTCTCTGCCACGTCCTGGGTATCAATGTCACCTCCTTGCAAATGATGCCCAAACTGGTGTCTGGGATATAAAACTGCATACTCGCTATCTCCTGGATGTCTCAGTATACACAAAATTCTGCCCCCATCCTATGCCCTCCACTGCCGAAACCCAGTTCCCTTTTGACACGCCTCCTCTCCAATGCCTATCCAGGAATCTAGGCATCAGCCAGGCCTTTCCTTCTCCTGACCCCGCCCACATCCAAGCTGACACCCAATCCTTTCCCTTTTCCCTCCTGCATAGCTCACTGTCCTGTCCACTTCTCTCCCCCTCCGCCCACACCAATCTGGGGCCAAGACACCATCATCTCTCATTAGGACTCATGGACACCTAGTTGGTCTATTCCTCCCCAAACCTTCACCACATAAAAGGAGTTCTTCCAAAAATGCCATTCTGGTGGTGCCACCCTAACCCACTCTGCTTAGACACTTCAGTGGTATCACACCGCTGTCAGGGCAACGGCAAAACACCCCTAAACAGCCCACGGGTCCCAGTCTAGTCTGGTCCCCACCTCCAGCCTCTTCTCCAGCCCAGCCCCTGCAGCCTTCCTTCAGCAGGTTCCTCTCACTGTGCTTGGTTTCGCCCCAGTGGCCTAGAATATGCCTCCCTGCTTAAATTCCCAGAATTAGATTGCCAGAAGGCTCCGCCTTCAGATGGAGATTCAAGGGTCTTTCCTCAGGGAAAGCTTTCTGGACCTCCCTGAGTTAAATTCCCCATCATATTTTGCATGGCACTGGCTTGGCATGGTTTGTGAATTTAATTAACATCTGTCTCCCCACTAGACGTCTAACCTTTTGCTCGCCGTCATGCTCCCTGTGCTGTGCTGATCTTAGCATATAAATGAGCATCAAGGAATGTTTGTTAAATATATGAGTGAACCCATTACCAAGGAGATAGCCGTATAGGCTCAACACCCTCCTTATGGAATAGTAAGCAACTGCCACAAAAATTGAGATGAGTATGTTTACTAACATGGAATGATGTCCGTGACATATTATTGCCTTACCACAGTGCGTCACAGAACACTATGCATAGAATTATCAGCAGTTTTTAAAACTTATGTGTCTTTACTTTAAAACACACACCAACAACCTCCGTGAGTGTGCACATGTGTTTAAATGTGTTTTACAAAGCCCGTGAGACTAACACCAGCTGCTTTCAGTGGGTTCCCTGGAGAATGGGGATGAGAGAGCGTACAGAGAAACAGGGTCATTTCTACTCATAAACTCCTGTCCGGCTAGACTTTTTTTCCATGACCATGTGATGTTGCTGTCATTATTTTAACAATACCACTTTTCAAATAACAAAGCAATTCACTGAAGTTCAGGAAACTGTTTCTAAATACATCAAAAAAAGGGGGCAGAAAACAACTTTGTATACGATTCCTTGACAATGATAAACCCAAAGAACAGCCGAGACATAGACGCCAAGCGGAAGAGAACAACTAGTCAAGGCAGCGTGTGTTCGTTGAGGTCTTCCCTGCCCATGACCTGTCCCAAAATTTTTTGAAAAAACAGTTGCTCTTGGATTTACTCATACAGTATTAGAAGGAAATCTAACAGAAAGAATAGCATGAGTTTTTCCTACTTTACTTAGATTTTTTTTCTGTTAAATAGAAATGATCATGTGAAGACACCTTTATTTTCTCTTAGTGGCCAAATAACAAGTCTTTTGTTGTCCCTGCTGTAGCTCAAATAGAAAAGATGGCTTCCTAAAGCCACGCAGAGGACAGTAAGGAGCAGGGGCAGATAGACCGGTGACGTGCAGGCACGATTATTCCAAAGCTAATAGCACAGAACCTCACCTGGGTGGCTGAGAGAGGGGGGTGCAGTCTGCAGACCCGTTACAGGAAAGGGGAGGCAGGTGAGTGGGAGTGGAGCTCGCCCCCCTCCCCACCCCAAGGCGGCCTCCGGGGTGAGCTGGGCAAGTCTGTGAATACAGAACAATGCTGCGCTTGGAGCTACGCTGAGTCTTTTTTCAGACTAATGGCTCAGGCGGTGGAACTACCCAAAGATGACTAAAATGTGAGTCAAATGCTTTCAAATCAAATTATTCCAGTGAAGCAGGAACGCAGGCACACAGAGAACAGGCCATTAGGAGTTCTAAGCAGTACCTGTGTGTGAAACTTGAAGAAATTTGCTCTCCTTAATGACTGCCTCTTTCAATCTAAGTCATTTTGTCAGCAGTGAGCTGGGGACAATCGGTCTTTATTACTAGTGACACCCTCGGATCAGCTGGGCTTGCGCACTTTGCCGACCCTGATTGGACCTCCTTCTCCCCCGAGGTCCGCCCAGCAGGTCTTCAGTTATCCCAGAGGGCGTCAGGAAATTCTAAAATTAGCCTCCAAGTTGGTGTCTTGGTAATTTTGAAAACCAACTTTCACTTAAATACAAAGCGCTCACATTAAGGAGAAGACAGGTTGGGGGAAGGCAGATGAGGAGCAGCATGTCATCAAATGGAACCACAGGGCACACAGTCCCCAGAGGGCTGAACTGTGGCATCTGCGCCTGGAAGAGACACCAGCCGGTGCTCTGCCCGGCTTGGGGGGCCATGGGGAGGGAAGCACCAGGGGCCCCTCTACAGACAAGTGGGCAGTTTCCCTGACGTCTGTCCCCTCCCTCCCCCTTTCTTCACTAATTGCTCGGAATTGCTCAGTTTCACATTCTTTCCCCCAAATGTTTGCTCCCTATTTTGCAATCCAGTTCCTCCACAGTTTTATGGGTTTTTTTTTTTTTTGGTGAGGAGACACTAAGAAGATATTTTCAAATGGTCTGAGGAGCTTATCAGAAAAGAAAACCTCTTACCATGTTTATTGGAACAGGAGGCCCCACCCGTCAAGAATCATCAGAAGCCGGCCACCTCTGTGGCGTCAGGCACCTGTCTTCATCCCCACCCCAAGCCACCCCTTGGTAGGCATCGGCGGTCAACAGAGGAAGGGACTGCAATGGCCAGCCCTGGAGAGGGTTCGGGTCCTCTCCCCACAGACCAGGGCTCGTGCGGGGCCTAGCTGGGCCCTCGACCCCCCCCCACACGCTGTTGCCCCCTCTGAAATGAATCACCTGGCTGTGAGCATAATAAATTATTTCTTTAACATTTTCTTCTTGGTCAGATATACATAACCTAAGTTACCATGTTAACCGTTTTTAAGTAAATAGATCAGTGGCGGTAAGTACAGTCCCACTGTTGTGCCGCCCCCACCACTGCTACCCCCAGAACCATCTCCTCTGCCCAAACTGGAACTGTCCCCATGAGACAGTGACTCCCCACTTCCCCTCCCCCCACCCCCAGGCCACCACCACCCACTCTGCTACCTGAATTTGACGACACTGGGCACCTCATATAAATGGTATCAGACACTACTTGTCCTTTGGTGACTGGCTTAGTTCACTGAGCATCTTCAAGGGCCACCCACATGGTGCCATGTGTCAGAATTCCCTTTTTGAAGGCTGACTAACACTCCACTGTATGGACACAGCACCTGTTGCTGACCCATGCATCCGTCGATGGGTGTTTGGCTTGTTTCATATTCTTCACTTAATCCCACAATGTAAGACATGCAGGTAATTCTAACTCAATTTGACTTATTATCTACCAAGCACAACTCACTGTGCTAGATGCCGCAGTAGGTACAGAGGGGAACCCAACGTGGTTCCTGCTCTGAAGAACTTATGCTATGTTGGGAAAGTAGAAAGTCAAGAAGCGACCTGACTGGTGTGGCTCAGTTGGTTGGGGCATCATCCCACAAAGTGAAAGGTCACCAGTTCAATTCCCAGTCAAGGCACATGCCTGGGTTGTAGGTTCGGTCCTGGGTCAGGGCACGGACCAGAGGCAGTCAATGGATGTTTCTCTCTCGCATCTATGTTTCTCTCCTTCTCTTTCTCCCTCCCTTCCCCTCTCTCTAAAAATAAACTTTTTTTTTTCCCGAAAAGGAAGTGAAAGTAACTGGCATTTGCTAATCTCGGCATTTGCTAATTGCCTGGCCCCATCACTGCATGCTCACAACCACCCTGCGAGAGAGATGAGATAATATCTGCACTACAGGGAAGGAAATGAAGACTCAGAGGCCTTCAGGAAGTGCCCCCAAAGCGGTCAGCCTGGGATTCAGACCCACATCCTCGGTAGACACGCTGCTCCCCTCGGTGTGACGAGTCCCGGGGAGAAGCTACAGGAAGGTCGGGGGCAGAGGGGAGATGAGCACCCTCCTGACGGGAGAGGCGCTCTGCAGACACAGGTCTTGTGGGTCAGGAAGGCGTCTGTTCCCCAGAGACGAGGGGGTGGGGGAAACTGCTTGAACGGAGCAAAGGGGGAGGCAGGAAAGCTCGGTGCTACTGAGGGACCTGTGCAGCTGTTGAACGTAAGGCCGGAAAGCAGAGAGGGGCCACACCTTGGCCATCATGAAATGCTGCTACCTCAAGTAGCCTCAACCCCACCACGTGGCGCACCCCACATGGTGCTCCATCACAGGTTTTCTAAGACAAGGCCTTGTCGTAGCTGTGCTTTGGGAAGGTCGCCATGGCAATAATGTATAATCAAGACGGAGGGACTATAGTTTAAAGGAGGGAAGCCAGTTAGGTCGCTGGAATTAGCAGATGAGACATAATGAGCCAAATGGAAAGGAGGGTAAAAAGGTGAGCAGTATCTTGGAGGTGGGGATGATGGAACCTGGCCACCGATATATTGTGAACGGGGTGACCGTCCCTCTTGGTTTGCACGAGACACCAGCTTTCCTGGCGTAATTACAAACAGCATCCTCTCCCCCTCCGACAGGTCCAAGCCTGGACGGTCAAGTAGACGATCCCACTATTCACAAGAAATAAGAAAAAAGATTCAAAGGTGACTCCAATAAAAGATTTCAAGCCTGAGTTGATAAGGAAGGTGGTGACACCTTCAGAAACACAGCAGGGAAATCGGGTTTTGGGGAAGGTGTTGAGTCTGGATCTGGACACGCTGAGTTCGCGGCTTCATTTGAGGGAGATGAGCACCTTGCCCGTGGACTTGCGTTTCATCACATAATGGAAAGCATCGTTGACCTAAATAGAACAAACCCAGAATGTGTTGGAAGACTTGCATACGTGCATATTCCCGCAAACATTTGTTGCTGGTTCAATACTTAAAATAGCTAAAGTATTAAGATGTGTCTTCAATGGACTGTTTATAGTGAAGCACGTAACACTAACTGAATACTCACCACAAATTCAAAGGAAAACAATGATATTTAAGAATAACCCAACCTCAGAATGTATCTGTCTAAGCTATTGTTTTCAGTGTGTCAGATAAATGACCACAGGAGTCCTCAGGCCTATCCATATATTCTGTTGTCATATCTGTGTGTTCTAGCTTTTCAAAAAGTAGAGCCACTAGCAGAAGAATCGGTCATTTAAAATTTTACAGTGCTTATCTTTTCATTAAAATTCTCCTAGTTCCAGCGTAACCGAAATTGCAACCTATCTCCACTTCATTTTTCAAAGTACAAGTTATAAAACATAATTAAACAGCAGCCACAGTGATCAAGACAGTGTGACGCTGATAAAGGAACAAACAGGTCGGCCAGCCGAGCCCCCAAATAGGCCCCCACACGAGCAGTCCACTGATCTTCTGGCAAAGCAGCCAGGGCGCTTCGATGAAGAAAGGCCAGTCTTTTCCAGAAATAGTGCTGAGACCACCGCACAAACACAGGCAAAAAAAAGTGAAGCAAGACACTGTCCTTGCATCCGTCACAAATATTAACTCAAAACGACCTTACATCCAAATGTGAGAGGCAACACAGATCGTGGTGGCAGGGGACCATGTCAAACTTGAGGTCCGTCCCATCTGCAAACTATAATGAACACACACACCATGGATGATTACACAGCAGTGGAAACCACGAACTGGGTATGGGACCGGCGACACAGGGGGAGGCTGAAAAGCACCGCATGAAAAACTCAGGAGCAGGGTAAGATCCACAGCACAACCCTGTGCTGTTATTTGCTCATGCAGCTTTGGAGGGAAAGCGTGGGGAATGAGGGTAGAAGGAATAAGTAAATGCAGACACCCACAGATATGCAGACATAAAAGCAAAAGATGGGCCCTGCAAAGATGAAAATGTGCTTTGAAGTGAGAAATGCGATTAAACAACCCTTTCCACTTGAAATCTCTCCCCACCCCCCCCGAAAAGCCGAAGAAACATAAATAAATAAAAAGCAGGCAAACAAATCAATCATGGCAAGCCGTCTGCAGCGGGTGTCGAAAACACGTGTCTTTCAGGGCTTTGCGAGCCCTTTCCAACCTACACAAATTTAGCTGCCTTCCGAGGAGGTGCAAGAGGTTAAGGCAGCTGTTTGAAACACTCATCCCTGTCCTGTCGATCACTCAAAGACACACCTCCAGGTGACTCACGGCTGGCTCCCTCCCTCTCCCTGGCAGCCGGAAGTCACTTGTTCCCAACCACCAAAATACTTGGGGAAACAAGCCTAATTCGTGATAACTGATACTTTCTTCACCTGGCATCCTAGAGAAATGAGGAATCTCCTGCAAATAAATGTTATGTAAAAAGAAAATTGGCACTTCAGGGGCTAATGCATATTTTTAACCATTTTGCACAGAAATCTTTAGAAAAATGGAGCCCACGTTTACCTGACTTCTTTAAACGATAGTATCGGGGGAAAGCGTCACTTTTTTGCTCCGTGACTTGGGAATCTCATCATTCTGAACACGCATTATTTTACCTCCTGCTTTTGTTCTGTCACTCCTCTCAGGTCCAAGTGCCACTGCTGTTGTTGTTGTAGCAGCTTCTAAAAATAACTCAGCTCTGTCCCTTCCCACCCTGTGGTTTCCATCTGGGCTGGGGACACAGAGCACCAGTGACAGCAAGGCCCGGGTACTTAGTAAGAGTGACAAAGTTCCCAGTGAGAGACTAAAAGTGTGGGGCTCTGGACTAGTCTCCTGATAGCTAATCCAGGTAGATGCTTAGGGACATGTCCCTCTAGTGCTGTGCTTTTGTACAGGCTGCATGTCAGGGAGGGAGGCCCCCCATACTGACGCCTGGTCAGACACACAGACTGTGCCCAGAACCCTGGCCCCCTGCCTTGCAGTGGACGAAGCCATAATTACATTTCTCCCTGGAGATATGCTCCTGGAATTTGGGGGCAAGGTTAAGATATTGTTTTTGTGTTAGGTTTTGCTGTTGGAATTTTTAATTAGCATACCAAGCAGGAATAATCAGAGTAACCTATAGTTCCCTAAATACAGGGTCTGGTGGAAGTAACACCTGCTTGAGTGTGGTTGGTCGGGTAATAATATGGGTGTCATAATTTCTAGTTTTCTTTGGAACATTTTGCCTAAAATGCGCATATGGTGTGCTTGAGTGTGACAGTGTTATGTTACAGAGTGACATGCTTATGATTTTGTAATAAAAGATTTTGTAATGCAAAAGGGGCGTTTTTTGTGCCATACCCTGTACCTCACGCCAATTCTTGCTTCCCGTCAGAAACCAGCTCTTCCCCATCACAGCCTGTCCTGAGATCTCCCCAACTAAAAGAGACATCCCTTAGGTCTTGCTTTTTAGTCACCGGCGTACAGAACGTACCCAGCAAATGTTTGGTGAATAAAATAAAGCTCATGAGTGAACGAATATATCTGGGACTGAGCGGGGTTGGTTTCCAAAGGTAAAAACGTTTGGTTACTGATACACTGTCCTAGTTGAACTACATTCATCACCTTGCAGCTCTGATGCAAGCCGATCTGCATCTGCTTTTAAAAGTCAATCAATGCATTTTTCCAAAAAAGATACAGACGGCAAACGTGCACATGAAAAGATACTCTTATTCTTCATTAGAGAAATGCACATTAAACCCACAATCAGATACCACTCCATACCTATTAGAATGGCTATCCTTAAAGAGAGCAACTGACAACAATGAATTCTGGCAGATGCAGGGGAAGGAAAACACCCCTCCATGGTCGGTGGGAATGCGAAAGGAGACAACCACTTTGGTAAACACTCTGGAAGCTATTACGAGTTATGCACAGAGTGGCCAGTCGGTACCAACAACATCTGCAATGTTCACACAGGCAGCGATGCTGGTGGGCCAGTCTCCAAACGAGAACACACAGGCACATGCGGCAGAAGACCTTGAACTATGGGGCTTTGGTGGGAACGCAGTGGGAACAGCCTCGTCTTCAACATGGCGGGCTGCAGAGACCGCAGTAGAATCACCTCTCACTAATGGAGGCCTCAAGAGGGAGGGAGCTGCTGAGAGTCGCTGCCCCTTCTCGCATCTCCATTCCTGATCTGCAGGGTGCCACAGACTTTTTCACACTGACATTCTTATCTGATGATGCCATCTAGCCACCACTGGAAGGGGGGAGGGGTTGGGCGGGGCAGGGGGAGGAAAACCCTGCTCTGTAAGTAAAGCTAAATAAATGTCTGTATAAATTTTAAAAGAAAAAAGTTAAACATACACTAAGCATGGGACCCACAAATTCCAGCCCTAAAATTTGAAAAAAAACCTGTCTATGCAAAACTCAAACATGAATATTTATAGGAGATTTACGTAGAACAATCAAAACTGAAAATAATCGAATAGCTTACTAATGATAAACAAAGAAACGAGCTGTGGTACGTCCATACAGTGAAATACTACTTGGCGATAAAAAAGAATAAACTGACATATGTGAAAACACAGATGAACCTCAGAAGCATATGAAAACAGAGCCAGAGAGGTCGGACTCGAAAGGCTACAGACTGTACGATTCCGGTTCTGTGACAGTCGCAAAGGAAAAACCACAGGGAGTGTGACGGGAGCTGTGCCTGAGATCAGTCCTCATCTGGGGAAGCCCGAGACAATCAAGGGTACTGGGGTCTGGGAAGCCCGACCGCAGGGACCGACCATGGGTGGGGCCATCACTGCTTGAGTGTGACAAGAAAAGGAGCTCTGGGGCGGGCAGGACGGGCAGATACCAGGGGGCTCCTCAACCAAGTCGGGAATACCCGGCCGAATTTTATGAACCATCCAAACTAAAAGAGTACTGTGATTTTCAAGGCTATTCCACAGGCTCACTCAGGAAACGTCGACTGGACAATTTCTGTCCACTCATTTCTGCCTGTTCAGGTCGTGATCTCAGCCGACCTTTGTATGATAAACAAGTTCAGATCTGTGACGTTTAAGTACCCTATCAGTTCGAGATGTGAGTGAGCAACTCCCTACAGAAAGCGGACGCACACATCTAACAAATACGGTCCTCAGAACAGAGACCATGAGGCCACTGCGTGATGGTGGCCCAGGTGTGACCCTTCGAAAACAATAAATTCTAGTTAACATTCAAAGATCGTCTCTCGAAGTCAACCCTTTCAAATGTCAGTGCAAAAGTGTTCCAGCGCAGGGAACTGAAAACTTCACTCAGCGTAACGGCTATAGATTTTGTTTTTAAAAATATACTAAGTCTTTACCTATATGCTTTTAGATGTGCTACCTTATTTAATCCTCAAACCCACCCTAGTACATAGGGTATATTACTGCTCCCATTACAGACAAGGAAATAAGGCACAAAGATGTCCGTCCTCTTAATCCATCACCCACCAGATATGCAAGGCCCTGCCAGAGCCTGGAGACTCAGAGGTGCAGAGAGCACAGGGCCCCTGTCCGCAGGGAGTTCATGCTCCACAAGAGCAGCAGGCGTCGAATCAGTACCTCCATGTGGGTGAAGGAGAAGCACACAGAGTACTGTGGAAGTTCATACCCTATGAAAAAGGCCATGGTGTGTGGTCATATTCATATCCACTATCAAGGTCAAATCTGTGAGTCCACATATTCAGAAGAAAATACAAGCTGGGTGGCACCAGTATATCTGGTACAATATAGATAGGGAGGGCCAGAGACAGAAATAGAGATAGAGAGAGACAGAGAGATAGTAAATGGACGTTGTGTGAATGAGGCATCTGTTAGGGAGCAGGGGCTCAGAGAGCCAGGAAGGTCCATAGAATGGGGAGAACTAGAAAAGTCCTACGTGCAGAGCTCTCATGGGAAAGAAGGGCACGTGGAAGCTGAGGGGAGGCCAGCCATTAGATAATTAAACCGTGTTTAAGAGGACAGAGAACTTCAGCATGGGGAGTCCCACCTGAGCGGCGGCTGGAACACCTCCATGGACACACGAGACGGTGCACACCAGCAGGTGTTCTCACTCCCGTGCGGCCCAGTTGCCGCCCTCCTCCATCAGCAGGTGCACCTGCGTCTCGGGGACGGCAAACCTCAGTTTGCAAGTCATGTGATAAAAGCCACAAGTTGGAAGGGGACCCAGGCATTCTCAGAACGGGTGCATTTCAAGTATTCAACCACAAAAAATCTTTTCTTGCAAGAAAAATATAAACAAAAAAGTAAAAACTCCCACTTCAGCCCCGGCAGAGAGGGAGTCCAAGAGCCCAGGCAGCACAAGCCTACACCTGCCCACCCCCAAATCCCAACGGTGGCTCCCGAAGCGTAGTCTGAAAGCCGCTGATCCCGTCCTACCCCTCAATTTTAGAGACATGTGAGGACTGAAGGTCAGAATGGTGAGGGACTTCCACAAGGATACAAACAGAGGGGCCAAAGCTAGAAATAGATTCCAACCAGTTCCCTGATGCCCAGTCATGTCCCCTTTATCCTACTGAACAGGACCTTCTCAACCAACACCCAAAAAGACAAGAAAGTAAGCCGTGTTTGAGGAGAACGCACCTCATCAAGGGGGAAAACGTAAGAATGGAAGAGGGTTGAGCGTGAGGTCTGGCCTGACGGCTTGGGCTCCCCTAAGTTCTTCTGCATGTGAACTAAACATCGCTTCCAACCAGGGCCGCCTGGAGCTACCAAAACAGTTTTGCAAACATTAAACTAAATTAACCCCCCCAAAAAAGAGAGAAAAAAAGACTTCAGAGTGAATGCCTTGCCAATGTGCGTCGACAGCGATTCTGCATTCGCATGCACGCAGTCACACTCTGGGGGAAGTTTAAGCCACATTAATGGGACTGGGGGGGGGGGGCGAGGAAAGGGGGTGAACAGCCAGCGACAACAACTGCAGAGACTAATGGGGGAATCACAGTCTTCTGCCGCCAGGCACAATTCCGAGTTTTGTTCACAGAGCTCCGGCTCAAGCTCATCTGGTTGTGCTTTAGTGTCTGTGTTCTAAAATCAAAGGTCGAGTTAAGGGCTGCCTTCCTAGCCTTGTACACTGTGGAGTTCAGAGTTCACATCAACACGGGTAAATTATTTCCTAAAGTACCGTCCCTTCCCTCTGCCTGAGACACCATCCGGCTCCACAGGTCCCACTGCCCAGGTGGCCCCGAGGCTCACACCATCCGACCCAGAGAACTGGGGGACATCTGGTGACCCTTGGCCTGTGACACTTCATTATTCTGGGTGGCATTTTCACCTTTTCAGTCTGTAAAAGGAGGATGTATAGTATTGAAACAGAAGCTGTTTGGAGAAAGCCAGATCACTCCCCGGCTTCATCGACACCACTTCAACTTAAGAGAACCTCACCTCCTCCAGCTTGAAAACCGCTCCCAACTGGGGCTGGATGCGTCCTTCCTGGCAGTACTGAAGAATCGAGGACAGGCTCTCGTAGTAGGTAGGGAAGTCCTGCTCTTTGTACCGGCTTGTATACAAGCCCATGGCCGAGATGTTCTTCAGGAGCAGAAGATTGGCCGGCACGGAGGGAATGGTTCCTCCGGCAAAACCGACCACCACGATCCTGCCCTCCCAGGCCAGGCTGAGGGGAAGAGCAGAAGGGAAAGAAATTTAAAAACAACTCATTAGGATGGCAAACAACTTAAATAGAACAGAAGAAAAAGTAGAAGATGCGTTGGCAAGGCTGGAGGGAAATTGGAACTCTCAGGCACTGGCGGGTAGAAGTGCATAAAATTGTACAATGGTGCTACCACCATGGAAAACCAGGAAGGTTCCTCAGAAAAATGTAAAACAGTATTACCATATGACCCATCAATCCCACTTCCTGGTCTACATCCAAAGGAATTGGAAGCAGGGTCTTAAAGAGCTATTTGCCCACCTGTGTCCTCATCAGCACCATCGATAACACCCTGGAGGTGTGAGCAACCCTGATGTCCGTGTACTGATGAATGGATTAACAAAATGGGTATGTACTTGACCATGGAATGTTATTCAACCTTAAAGGGAAGATTCTGTCGCATGCTGCAACATGGATGAACCTTGAGGACACTATGCTAAGAAAACAAATACTTTCTGGTCCTATTTATGCCCGGTGTCTAAAGTTCCCCAATGCACAGAAACAGAAAGGAGAACGGGGCCTTCCAGGAGGGAGAAATGGGAAGCTGTTGCTCAACGAGGACAGTTTCAGATCCGCAAGACGGAGACGCCAAGGAGACGTTTTGCAACGGCGTGAACGTACTCAGCACTACTGAGCTGGACACTTAAAACGGTCACCATGGAAAATCTACAGTATCATTTGCACCACAGGAAAGAGGGAAGAACGCACAAAAAAGCCACGTACACTAATTCATGGAGACAGAAAGTAAAACAGAGGTTGCGGGGGGTAGGGGAAGGGAGAAAGGGGCAATTATTGTTTACCAGGTACAGAGATTTTGTTGGAGAATGTTATACAACATTGTGAGTATACTTAATGCCCCTGAATTGTACCCTTCTGAATGGTTCAAATGATAAATATGAGGTGATGTATATTTTAGCACAATTTCTTAAAAAAGAAACACACATTAAACCTCTAGCTGGGAACTCCCCTTGACCTTGCAACCTGCCAAGGCTGACTCATCTCGTACCACTCTGGGTTCTTCAATAGGAAAACATAAATATGAGCCATAAGCAAGGCCTCAGGGAGCCAGAGGAAGTAGCCGGCTTTATAAGTGAACCCACTTTGGAATCATGACTGTCTAGTCCACTGTTCCACTCTTCCGTGAAGGAAACTCGGTGTGAACACATGTCATTCTGTACGCCGCCCTCAGAGGCCACTCAGTGTGAAGTTCTGAACTTCGGGAGAGGCAATACGACAGACACTTTCATGAAGCGTCATTTGCTTTTCACAAACACTTACCTCCAGACGCCCTTAAGTTACGAGCTTGTCTAGAGAGTTTTGAACAATCAAGCAAAATCCACGCAAGTTCCCTGTCACCCATTATGAGAAGAACCATACAGTGCATGCTGAGCAAGGAGCTATAAAAATGAAGTTTGTAAACATCTTTGATATGAAATATGCATACGTTGGTTTGGTTTTTGCTTTTCGTTTTTAGAAGAAAAACAGGATGCTTCTGGAGAAAACACTGTTACTCAGAAGGCAAGCAGAGGGTGAGGACCAGCAGCGCTGGGTCCTGGCTCTCCCTTTAATTAACACACCCCCTCCTTTGCTGCTTCTCCATCACCCCGGAGCGATGCTCAGGGGCCAGGGCGCCAACTGGGTGGCCCCCCCATGGGCAAGCTGCTCTCTCTGCTTCTGTTTTTTCTGCTCTAAACTGAGATGAGCCACAAAATTGTGCTCGCCAGGATGACAAGAGAAGTGGAACCCGTATGAAAAGCAATCCAGAGTCCATGGCTAAAAATAGAATGAGACCGGTGTAGAGGCAATGGTCCCACTCGTTCTCCAGTGATTGTTTTCTTATGTTTTACTTTTTAAAGATCTGATTGATTTACATCCAGAAAGAGGGGAAAAGAGAGAGAAAGAAACATTGATCAAGTTGCCTGTCACACCCCCCCCCACTGGGGACCTGGCATGTGCCCTGACTGGGAATCGAACTGGCAATCTTTCGGTCCCGCAGGCCAGGGCTCAATCCACCGAGCCACACCAGCCAGGGCAGATGTCTTTTTTCAATAAAACAAATCAAAGAGATACCTACCCTGCCAGCTACTGCAAAAATCAGCAAAATCAAAAGAGGGTGCACATTTAACATCTGAACAATGATCTCCTCAAGAATTACCCACCCCATGTACATAAAATAGTTCGCGGAGGCCGGCGCAGCTGAACTGAACACATGCATAATTTCTAAAGCACTTGATGTTGCCAACTAGACAGTCTGCAGTCGTTTCTTGGATATTTTCCCATTGGATATTTTGTTGTTGCTATATTTGAGCATTTCCTGATTTCCCCTCTGCTGCCAGTTCCTTCCACGCCCCCACTCAGCTGTTCCCGTCAGTGCCAACGCCTGCAGAAGTGAGCAGCAAAGATGAAGGAGAGGCAAGGCCAGGAGGAAGGCGCAGGTCTGGGAAGTTGCCAGCAGAGGCCCAGGTCTACCCACTCAAGAGAGATCCCCCATCACGAACCTGCGGAGAGCCTCCAGGAAGATGTCTCCGCCCACGTTGTCGATGACCACGTCCACCCCACCGTTGCCCACCAGCTTGCTCACTGCCTCCTTCAGGCTGCCCTGACTGTAGTTCACGCTCCACTGTGCGCCCTTCTGCTTGGCCAGCTTGCACTTCTCGTCACTTCCAGCGGCAGCAATCACCTGCACAGAGAAAGCAAAGCTGCTGAGGTCCCGGAATGTGTACCAGGAGGGGCTCACGCCACCCACCCAACCTGCAACCAAAAAGTGCTACTCAAGGAAACGAATGTGACCTCGCTGACCTAGCATCAGCCTCAACCTGGCACATCAGGCCCAGCCCCCAGCAGGGCTACACCGGCCCCTCCCTCCATGCCCCACTGGCCACCGGACCCACATTTCTGAGGACCCTGGAACCCCAATGGGTCTAGCTAGGAGATGGTGCAGGAAATACTTGGTAAGTCTTCTCCAAACGCAAATTAAACTACCATTTACGGAGACTCCACTGTGAGTCAGGTATTACGGACACAAGCTAAACACCTAGCTTAGAGTCAAGAAAGCAAGACACAGTGAAGTGATGGGGAAGTACAGAGAGTTCCAGAAGCACAAATGAGAAATATCCAACCTAGATCTACAAGAGCTAAGCTGCCCAGAGGGTAAACATGATTCCGTGGAAAGACCTAGAAGTCGAAGAGATCTAAGTTCAAATCCTGGGCCCTGCTACTAACCAGCTGTGTCACCTAAGCCAATTACTTAGTAAGAACTAACAGCTACATGGTCACTACCGTGTGCCAGGCACTCATCTCAATATTTCTACTGAATATACACCAACAGCTCGATGATATACAGACTATCCTTATCCCCATTTTAGAGACAAAGAAACTGAGGCAAAAGAACTTAACTCGCCCATAGTCACCCAGCTAATGGGAGGCTGAAGTGAGAACTAAACCCAGGTAATCCATCTCCAGAGTTCATGCTTTTAACCTCTCTATCCTGCCTGCCTACTTATCTAAGCATCACTTACCTCGTCCATATAATAAGATTTATTTTAGGGAATCAGTGGAATACTGCCGTGTGTGAAGCATTTGCAAAACACACTGTTAGATAAACTGAATCTATTGTTACACATATGCAATCACTTATTCCAAGTAAACCCCATAAGAACACCGTGGGGAGGTATAATTACTTCCATTCTATAGATGGAGACATAAACCCCGAGAGGTTTAACCCAGGATTGTCCGGGTAGCAGGTGGAAGACCCAAGGCTGCCCAACCGCAGGGCCCATGCTCTTCCACTCCCCCAACCAGAACTGACACCCGTGCCTCGGGCATGGCACAGACGGCACCGGGGGCCGAGGGGCATACTGTGAGCAGGTCTGGGGTTGGGAAGTTTCCAGAAAAGTTTCAAGTACTCAAACATGGCCTAGAGGTGCCTGATCACTGGGCAGCACCCAGCAGCCCAAGCACATTGGCCCTGAAGTGACATTTGGAACTTGCACTCAAACATCCCAGAACACCAGTGTCCTGAAAAGACTCCCAGCTTGCCCACAACGATGTGAAAGCCACCCTCAGCAGCTGCCGGTCACAGGGCTACCAGCAGGCACTGGGCGCCACAGCGGGCAACGCCTGACCAGAATCAGACCCCGGGTTCCGTCCAACCCAACAGCTCTTTCTAGGTCCCGGTGAGACCTGCCATGAGTCACGTTCTCTCTTGGTGCCTCACTTTCTTTACCGGTGAAGTAGGGAGAGCAAACACCCAACATTACCCACCTCCCGGGGGTTTGGTGAGGACCACAGGTTAGACCATAGCAGGGGAGGGGCCATGAACGCAAAATGAAACCGCTGCTGCTGTGCATGGAGGACGGCATTAGCAAAACAGCCCGTCCCAAGTAGACGGCACGATGGCCTATGTCTATTTTTGTTTGCTTTCGCATGCAACCATCGCTGCTGCCGAAGAAAACACAGCTTCGGCGAATTTTCACCTCTGAATCAAAGTGAATTTTTCTCTCTACTTAACCTCCTGTGATTACTTAAAACGAATGGTACGATGTCCTAGAAATGCTAAACGGTCCATGGTTCTGGACAGTGAGAACTTAGCGTGGTCTCCCTGCTGAGACAGGTGCTAAAAGATCTTGTGAAATGTGTTCATTTTCACCAAGAGCCCCCTGGCGTCCAGCATTGCTCTCAGAACGCACGGGTCCTTCCCAAAGGAGCTCCGTGTGAGAAGGAGAGGGCCCCCTGCAGGAATTCCAGACCAGTGCAATTATCCCCCCGCCTGTCCATCCTGACACCTTCTGGATCCCGGAATCGCCTGCTCCGTGGGAGCCTCACACTCACCTGCTCCGTGGGAGCCTCACACTCACCGATGTCCAAAACTGAACTCGCCATGACCCGCTGTGTTCTCAGTCCCCATAAATGGCAAATCTGTAAGTCAGCCTAGTTTGCTCCTTCCCATTCGATGTCTGATAACAACAGGATCCCTTTCTAAGAGATTCTTACATACACATGCCCTCTAATGGGCCCAGGGCCGGTGCCCTTTCAATAAGCCCCCTACAACCCTGTACGGAAAACATTTTACCCGTGGGACTGGAGCGATTAAGCTAAAGGCGGGGCTGGAATTTGATCCTACAAGAGGCTGCCTTCAAAGTCCTTCCCCTTTTACTGTATCGGGATGCTCTCCAGTGACCTAATTCCCCATTTCCTTCCACTTTAATGTCTCTCAATTCCTACCTCCACTGTCCGGGTTCAAGTATCGTCACCTCTGGCTGGGGTCGCTCCCAGAGTCTGCTCTGCCACCCACCTGTGGACCACCACTGACCTTGCCCCATCCCTCATCCCCACTGCTACCCAAGTGACCTTTGCAGATGCCACTTCCGTACTTAACACCCTCATGAGCTTCTAGGAAATGTTCAAACTCTCCAGCACCTCCTGTTCTTACCTCCCTCTGCCCAGCTCTGCCCAGTTCTTCCCCACCATTCCCCACACAGAGCCTCTGGTCCACAGAGGCCACTGGCAATTCACCGGACACAGCTTCTCAGTTCCTATTTCTCTGTCTTCAGGCAGGTCCTCCCACCACTGAAATGGCCTTCACTTCTCTTCGTCCTCAACTCAACTGCTACCTACCCTTTGAAATCTCAGTTTCAATGTTCATCTTCTCCAAGAAACCCTTTCTCGGACTTCCGCCAAGATGGAGGCATAGGCGGATGTGCCGTGCCGTCTGACGCAACCAAGTTTAGAGACAACTAAATATTAGCAACAGAAAACACAGCCAGAACACAGAAAATTGAACTTTTCGGAAGTCCGTTAACAAATTCTTCAGCCTGACCCGTAAGGGGCGAAACCAGCAGCTGGTGAGGGGTTGCACAGGAGGACTCGGTCAGACGGACTCAGGCGCGGAATCCAGGCACAGGGTTGGACCTAGTGAGCGACCAAGCGAGCCACCAGGCGAGCGACCGCGGGGGAGACAGCGGGGGAAGCGGTGCTGCGTGTTGACTGTGGTCGCCCATTTGTGTGCCAGCGGACAGGCGAGGGAGTGGGCGGTTGGACCGGGGCCTGGCAGGTCCCAGTGGCAAGCGGCAGTAGAGGGCGCCGCCATTTCCCCGCTCTGACCACGCCCCCACATACAGCGTCACAACCCAGCGACCTGGGAGTCCAAGGCACCGCTTCTCACACTTAAAGGGCCAGAACAGACCAAAAATGTCACAGGATCTCAACGCCCCAGAGCCCATAGATCTAAGTGATGAAGAAATAGCAAAACTCTCAGACGCACAGTTTAAAACACTGGTCATCAGGATCCTCACAGAACTGGTTGATTATAGCCACAAATTAGACAAATATATGAAGGCAAAGCTAATTGAAATGAATGGAATTGCACAGGACACCAATAGCAATGAAAAGGAAACTGGGACTCAAATCAATAGAGTGGACCATAAGAAAGCAAATAATGGACAAAGAGAAAAGAGTCAGGAAGCAAGAATTCAAAGAAATGAGGAGAGTCTTAGGAACCTCCAGGACATCTTGAAACGCTCCAACATCCGAATTATAGGGGTACCAGAAGGGGGAAAGGCACAGCCACCAGTGGAAAACTTATTTGAACAAATAATAAAGGAGAATTTCCCCAATCTGGCAAAGGAAATAGACTTCCAGGAAATCCAGGAAGCTCAGAGAGTCCCAAAGAAGTTGGACCCAAGAAGGAACACACCAAGGCACATCATAATTACATTAGCCAAAATTAAAATGAAGGAGAGAATCCTAGAAGCAGCAAGAGCTAAGGGGACAGTCACCTACAAAGGAGTCCCCATCAGACTGTCAGCAGATTTCTCAAAAGAGACCTTACAGGCAAGAAGGGGCTGGAAAGAGGTATTCCAAGTCATGAAATCCAAAGACCTACAACCAAGATTGCTCTATCCAGCAAAACTTTCATTTAGAATGGAAGGACAGATAAGGTGCTTCTCAGATAAGACCAAATTCAAGGAGTTCATCATCACCAAGCCCTTATTATATGAAATGTTAAAGGGACTTATCTAAGAAAAAGAAGTTAAAGAAACATGAACAGTGAAAGGACAGCAAACTCACAGTTATTAACAACCACACCTAAAACGAAAGCAAACTAAAAGGACAGCTAGATCAGGAGTGGAAACATAGAAATGAAGATCTCAAGGAGGGTTAGCAACAGGGGAGTGGGAGGAGGAGAAGGGGGGAGAAGGTACAGAAAATAAGTAGCATAGACAGTAGACAGAAAATAGATGGGGGGGGCAAGAATAGCATGGGAAATATAGAATCTAAAGGACTTGAGACACACGGTCATAAACTAAAGGGAGGGTAATGGTGGGGATGGAGGGGTAGGGTGGAGGGGAATGAAGGGGGGAATAGAACAACTGTAACAGCATAATCAATAAAAAAATAAAAGAAATCCAGAATGAAAAAAAAACAACAAAAAAAGAAACCCTCTCTCTCTGACACCCACTTTCTCTCATTTGTGTATTCGTTCGTTCAGGGAACAGTGACTGGGTGCCCGCTGTGACCCAGGCACCACGCCCGGCACGGGAACTGCAATTATGAACCAGACACGACCCCTGCTTTTCTGGGGATTCCAGTCCAGTGGGAGGGAGACTTGAATCTAATAAAGGCGCAGACAAAAGGTTAAGTGTACGTGGAGGTGTGTGAGGTGTGCACCAAGAGTGAGAAGGACGGGATACCCTGAGACCATAAACAAATAGCCAGGAGAGGCGATTCACATCTCCTGAGGGACAAAGAATACTTCCCTAAAAAGTGGCATCTGCGTTTCAATTTGAAGTGCGGGAGAGGAGTGGGGGTCGGGTCACAGCCTCACAGGTGGAGAGTACAGCATCTGCAGAAGCTGCGAATAAGTCCAACCTTGCAGGTACCAGTCACTGGAGGGACCAGTGACTTGCTCCTAGGTCCCCCCACTGGCCCACCGGCGAATGGCTGGCAAGGCGCCACTCTAGGCAGCTCTGCATCCCCCGGGGGGGGGGGTACCGAATGAATGAACATGTGCCACGCCTGAAAACCGTGTCCCGTGGCACAATCTGTGTAAGTGGAGAATCTCACATGCACATACCTTGGCCTGAAGGATGTTTGTTGCCACATCTATCACTGCGAGGCCTGTCGCTCCGGCCGCTGCCGTCACTAACACGGTCTCTCTGTGCCAGAGAGAGAGAGAGAGACGAACCTCGCTTCAGAAACCAGAAACCATCCAGCAATGGGATCTCATGAACAGTTTGAAACCAGGGCATTTTATAGCAAGAAGAGAACTTGGAGGCCATTTCACCAAACCCCTCATGGACGTCCGTTCTCCAGGTTTCGGGGCTGGGTGGTGGCTACGTGGGGGCTAACTGAATCCAGGTTTGACAACTTCCTGGGGAAAAATATTCCTTACTGTCTCCAGGCAGCCTCTTCCTTGGACCTACCACTTATATCTGCTTCAGAAATTCTGTCCTGAAGCATTCTCACACTCAGCACTGCCGAATTTTCAAAACAGCCATTGCCCAATGAAAACCACCAGTCTGAGTGGTTCTGGGGCTCTCTGCAGAGAGCAGAGGGCAATAGACAGGTCTAGGCCAGGCGAAGTGGGGAGCACCTCGGAGTTTAAACTATCCCAGTTCGGTCCACCCAACCAAGTTTCACAGTACCAGACCGCTGGCCTCCCTTAAAACCAGAGCAAAGCCAATTTAAATAAGTCGGCTCTCTAGACGTCAAGGTTTTCTGGGAGGAACCATCCAGAGTGCTCAGGTTTCAGAAGGATATTTCTCCAAATTCATACTGGCCAGTTCACAGGCTACCACTCCCTCCTCTCCAACTCAAGGATAGCCCCACTGTCCCCAGACCCCAATCTCGGGTCACTACCTTCCTTGAGCCCTTGCTGAGACAGACCAAACGTGAGCTAAAGGTCAGGCGAGGGAAAGGAAAGGACAAGGGCTCAGCACTTCTGAGAAGGGTCCTATGCACACAGTCCTTACCCAGGCTGGGTTCGTGCCCGATGCTTCAGGGCCATGAGGGCAGTACTGTAAGTTACGGGCAGCATCGCAGCGTCTCGGAGGGAGACCTTTTCTGGAACCTTCCACAGCGTCTATAAAGAGAAAATAGTGACATGAGGATTGAGCGCATGTACCTGTTCACAAAGGCTGTTCAGTGAACAGTATGATTTGATTGAGTGACTGACTTGCAAAGGGAAACCCATGTCAGGACCCATGCCTAACAGAAGTCAAGGCCAAGCAACCCGTGACAGAGTTCAAGTCTTGGCTGCATCAGTCTTCAAAAATCCTAAGGGTGCATCTGCTCGGGAAGGAACCAACTAACTAATGGAGAAGGAACACTGACCACTGTACTGTGTAATGGGTGAACTGGAAGTTAGGACAATTTTACCTTGAAGAAACTGTGAGGACAAGCATGTACTGTTCTCCACTAGGGGGCACCATTCACATCCTGCCCCAAATGATCTGAGCTCCATTCCCACCATGACCTCTTTCGCAAGCTCCTTTGCAAGCTCCTTTGCAAGCTCCGTGTGGGAGAGAAACCCATGACAGCCAGCTCCAAGCCCCAAACCAGTTTTTCTACCAAAACTACCTAACTGTGATCCGACTGGACAGCCAGCCAGTTGCTCCAGGACTCAGAAAACAAAACGCTTACTCATTAAACCACTTTGCACAAAGTTTTGTGCAAAGGTTGTTACCCTGATATAGAAAAGGGGTTTAGCATTTGAAAGAAAGACGTGGTTGGCTGAGAAACGAGATACGACGAAATGAATACAAAGGGAAAGAGGCAGCGGGGGGTGGGGGGCAGGAGAATGAGAAATGAAGGATAGGTGGAAAGTAAAGAAAAATATTGGGAGGTAGAGATACCTTCTGGTCCATGATACATTGTTCCGCCATATTATTATAGCCACCCATGCCAACGACGGGATCTCCCTGAAGGGAAAATATCATTAAGGGTCAGTTCCAATGCATCTCTGTTTCTGATTTCATTAAGACCCTCTAGCACACGCCCCTCCCCCTCCCGTCCACCCCCAGGTTGGCCCTAATTATCTATTCAGAGTTACTTTTCAGTAAATGATGCAACCCCTTTTCTCAATACCCCCACCAGGTTGCCAATCCAATCTGAGCACATTTTGGAAAATAATAATGGGTATCAAATAGAAGATGAATTTGGATGTGCATTAGAATCCCAGTGTTAATTTGTCTCACAAGAGGCCGACACTTGGGAATTTTCTATCCTCTTAGCAACTCAAGACCTCTTAGCAACGAAAGCAGTGCTGCCTTTTACTAGTAGTGAAAGTTAAATGAAGCCAGGCACTTCTGCGGCCTGCCTTCCCCAGCTCAGCATTCATCTCTTCCCCTCCATCCCCGCCTCCCTTTGGTGTCTGCTGGCAAAGGCCAGGAGGCACCGAGACCCTTTGGCAACACACGAGTTAGCACATTTCTCAGAGCTACGCACCCATGGGTCCCTAGACTTTGTCGAACTTACCTCTTTAACTGTGCTGACATCCGTGCCTGTCTCCAATACTATCCCAGCAAACTCCATTCCTAAAACAAATGGTTTCAAGATTAGGCTGAAGCCCAGCACCATGGAGGCGAGGACACACAGATCCACCAGCCATCCTAGTGATTTTCTGAAACCGAGATGGTTGAAGCACCTTCCCTCCCACCCAGGGAAGAGGGGTCGGAATTTGTACCCAAAGCACAGGAAAGTGAACTTAAAATTTTCAGCCGAAAAGCTAGAGTAGTCCCCTTCTTACCAAGACACAGATAAAAATTTCAAGAATGAGCAAAAGCACAGAGAATCACAGGTTCGCAAATACTTCCAACACTAATCACTGGGGCTCCTACAGTGCCCCAGTTACGACGTTCACCCTATTGTGTTTATCTGTTGCTGTGTCTCCTCTTCCGGACTGTGAGGTCCTCGGGACGTGACCCTTATTTATTCATACAGTACTTGGCTCAAATGGTTGAACTGGAGTTGTCCGCCCTTTCCTCTTCCGCCTCCCAAATTTTTGAATTTAATGATCGTACATTTCCCACTTGAGCTGCCAGAGGAATAACTTAGTCAAGCACACCATCTTTCCCCATTCAGCATTTCAGCAGATCAAACAGAGGGAAAGGCTTCCGACTGTGGAGGCAACCAAACACCCGAAGGCCAAAACACAGCCCCCGTATTAGATCCTTAATAGTACATGTATCCGTATCACATGTACACACATGCTGAACTGTACTTATACCTGTTTCGATAAATTTCAACCACGAAAATCAGTTATTTGCCCACAAATTCAGGACCTAAAAGTAATCTGATTGGGCACAATGAAGATCAGACAGTGGGCTGCTAGCAATATATCAACTCTTCTACTTCTTCCAGATCCTTAGGTTTCTTGGGGAACGTGCCCGTGAAGACGAAGAGTTTCGGTTGCAAACAGACGGTTGTGATCCTTCAGGCAAAAAATAAAACTGAGGCCACATCCAGGAATAAAAGGAAATGACCAGGACCAGTGATGACTGGGGTCAGAATTCTGATGAACATAATGATGGGTGAACATTCATTTGCTCATCTATTCCCTTTTAAAGGATGCATTGAGCTTCTACTATGAGCCAATTACAATGTTACCCTGAGCAATAGAAGGAGGGTAGGGCAGTCATAGGCATTTCCCCCAAGGGTTTCCCACTAGCTGTGGGCACAGCGGTGGGTGAGGCTGAGATGCCCCCGACAGCGGGCAAGCACCGCCAGGGTAGAGTCTGAGATGAAGCACACGGTTCTGAAGATTGTGCCTCCTTCCCCTGCTGCCACCACTGGGCCCCTCATACTCACCAGGTGTGAAGGGAAGACAGGGCCTTTTCTGATACTGACCCCGGCAAAGCAAAATATCAGCAAAGTTCAGTCCGCAGAAATGGACGTCAACCCTCACCTGGAAAGGAAATAGAGCAGAGCTGTGCATGTCTGTGGAGGCGATCATTCAATTATACCAAAATATTTACTGAGTCCCTACTATACGCCAGGTACTGAACTAAGTCCCACGGTACAAGCATGAGGCCCAACGGACAAGTTTCCTGCCTTCGCGGAGCAAAAAGAATGGTGGAAAAGACAGACATTAACCAAATAACTGCGAGGATTAATGCATTAAATTACAGCTCCTACACAAGATGTTAAAAGTAAAAATAGAAATGCCATGAAAGCATATAATGGAGGGACTTGACCTTTTGGGGGAGGCAGGAGGAATCCTTGAGAAAGTAACACTTGAACTAAGAACAGCTAAGAGTTAACTATTCAAAACAGAAGGAGAAGCCTGGCACTACCCAAAGCAATGGCATGTGCAAAGGCCCTGGGGGGGGGGGGGCGGACAAAAGGAAACCCAGCAAACCTGGAGCACAAAGAGGACAAACAGATGGGGTTAGAGAGGAGGGCCCACACCATCCAAGGGCCTGTAGGCTTTACTGAGCATCTTAGTCTCCATAGGAGGGGTTCAGGGAAGCCATGAAAGGATTTTAAGCAGGAGAGTAACATGACCAGCTGTCTTGGGACTCAGGGATCACCCTGGAGACTAGTCCTACCTAGATCACCGGCTGCTGTGTTTTGGGACAACGCTAAAGCCGAGGCAGGCCTGGGGCAGCGCAGCCAGCAGTTTCTGGACCTTGCAAGCCAGTCCTTCTCAACGTGATCCCAGACTGCCAGCATCCCTATCACCTGGGAACCTGTTACAATTTCAAATTCTCAGCTCCACTCCTCCCCTACCTACTAAATCAGAAACTCAGGGAACAAAGCCCAGCAAACTGTTCTAACAAGCCCCCCGGGTTGGCTGTGAGAGGCCGGCTGAAGGGGAAATGCTACTGCCACAGATCCACCCATCTGCACAGGCTGGCTGGGGACCACAGGGAAGAGAAGGAAGGCTGAGGGGCCCAGTCGGTAACATTCATTTATCTGTTTCCTTTCAATTCCCTCCTCAGCACGGAGGTGGCTGCATTGGCAAGAAGACATATTTTATCGACAAATTGCATTCATTCAACAATGTTTTAAGCATCTGCCATGTGACAGGCACCATTCCAGAGCATGGGGATTTATTTAACGGTGGGGAAACTCACTTGGTCCCAGCTCTCACAAGCTAATCCCTGACAAGGCAGTGTCTGGGCAAACACAGAAAAAAGGAGTCCAGCCTTTGGCCCGCACACATTCAGTACAGGACACACCAGTTGTAAATGTGTGTGGCACATGCGTGACCTCAAGCCACTCCACCCTGATTCAGGGATGATTCAGGGACGAACATCTTTGAGCACCTGAGCCTCAGGAAGCCGAATGGCTGCCATCCAGGGTCCCCGTTGGTGGCACTTCAAGGGCAGGAGACACATTTCCCTCTCTCACCCACCAGGGGTCCCCCACACTGTGGTTAACTGCCAGCTGCACCTTGTCCCAGGTGCTCATGGGCCCTGCCAGCTGAGCCTGTGTCGCCAGCGTGGCTAAGCCACGAAGCCAAAGTGATCTCCACACTTCACTGGAAACGCCCGAAGCCCTCCATCCCCAGCGCCTACAGAACAGCAGAGACGGGCCCCAGGCACGTACTCTTAGGGAATATGGTCCCCCCCGCTGGTGTGTGGGAGGAGGGCGGGCAGATAATTAGATGCCGACACCGGAGAGGAAGCAAAGGACAAAGGACAGGACCCATTCATCGGTGTTCATTTAGTATCTTGCGGGTGGTTATGCAAAATGGTGTGCAAATCGGCATTCTCCGTTTCTAAGGCAACAGCTCTGGGGCCTTCGGAAAGAGGCCTCCCTTCGCGGTGTTGGGGGACTATCTTTCCTTAGCCTTTTTGTCTGTTTTGTGAACCCTGACCCGGCCCATACCGTCCAGGACGAGGTTGCGCTCCGGTGCCCGTCCGCCCCTAGCTGAGCGCTGGGGAATCCAGCCTTGAACCTGCGGTGGAGGTGTGGGAAGTGTGGCGGGGGAGGAGAAAGCGAAAGGGGTCGCGGGGATAGGCCAGTCACCCTACCTCGTGGGGCAGGACAGGGCGGGGGACCATCTCCTCAATGACCAGGGGCTGCTTCAACTCGGTGCACCGCGCGGCGCGGTAGTGGCGGTTGCTGCCTCGCCAGGCCCTCCTGCAACACGGGACAGGGACTGAGTTACTCGGGGCGACCCACGCAGCTGCGTTTTGAGGCTCGGGGAAGAGTCGGGGGTCGCACCTGCAGAGCCGCAGCGGGGCGAAGCACCGTCTCCAAAACGCCGCCGCCATGGCCCCGCGCAGAGTTACGAGTGAGTCCCAGCGGGTGGGGAAAAGCGGAAGGCGCCAGCCCCGCCCCTGCCGGGCCGCTGGGAGCCGAAGAGCGGCAGGCGCCTGGGGGCAGGCCCCCACCCAGGATTGCAACCCGAGCCAGCCCACCCGCAGGGTTCTCATCCCTTCCTCCCGCTCCTTCCTGAAGGTGGAGCCCGCTGGAAAGGACAGAAAACGAGTGAAAGAAAATCCACTACCCGAGATTACCCTCATGCTGGCATTTTTGTAGGAAGTTTGGGACACTGTTAAAACCGCACTTGGCGGCATTGGAGCAGCGGTTCTTGGGTCCTGTGCCCGTGCGAAATCCTGAATGCATAGGTAAAGCCTTCAGCGCGTTAGTAGAGTTGAGTTTTTGTCACCAAGTTTTTTGCGCGTACATGACCATTTACATGAAAACTGTGAGGTTAGTAGAAATCCAGTGTGGAATGATCCTACACAAATCCAGAGAGTATTTCCAATTCAAGTCGTACCAAATCCTGGTCGTTTTCATAGTTCCCATGCCTTTACTGCACCTGGCACAGGTAGATGCCCAATAGCATAATTACTAGGTGAACGGGCACACTCTGGAAAAACTGAAGACATAAAAGTATAACCCATGAAACTCTATGAAACTGGGGAGACCGCTGTTGCAACAGTAACCAGACTGTGGTAGGCAGTTAGACATGAGCAGGCCAGGACCCCGGGCTAGGTGTGGAAGGTCACTCGTGAAAAGCCTGTGTGCCTAGCAACAAGCAAAACCCCCAAGGTTGACACTGGTCATACGGTTTCCGCCCTCCCCCCACCTTTTCTCCCCAGCACAGTGCCAGGCATGCAACACAGAGCCCCTTGGAGGAGGAGCGAGGGGCTGAAGAGTGGCCTCCTGAAGCTCCCATGCGGGCCCTCGCATGACCCGTCCCTTAAGCATTAACCCCTGGGGACAACACCTAGGACTCGGTTGTGTTTCAGCTCCAGACTCAGAAAAGCAGCAAAACCAGACAAGCAACAACATGGCGGACATCAGGAGCAGTGGCACCGACTAATGACCCCCTGTCCTGGTGCCAGCCAATCAGTGGAGACCACGACCCTGAAAGGACACACCTGGAAAGATGACGGATATTCCATTGGATCCTCCCCTGAGACCCCCCCCCCAAAGTCCCTACTTTTAAAGCCCTTAGGACGGAGACCCCAGAACGCTCTCCCTCTAGAGCAGGGCCTACACCTTTCCCATCATCCTCTCTGCCCTCCCCAACTGCATAGTCCTCCCAGAAGCATCACCTGTACATTTCTAAATATACATAAACTGGCAATAGAAGAGAAGTACACGTTATCCTGGGGAGTATGTTTCATTTGGCAGGGAGTTTTAGAGGTAGCCTGATGTCTTTCTAAGACATCTGGTCAGAGTATATAGCCTCTCAGATTCAAGTCCAGCTCTGCCATCTATTTGTGTGGCTTTGGCATTGACACATGAGGGCTGTGGGTCCCCTCAATAAAGTAAAAGGGTTGGGCAGGATAATCCCCAAATCGCTAAATGCTGTTTCTATTTTTTGATGGACACAGTAGTTGCAAGATAGCAAATGACCTGGAATAGAGGAAAACTAGAGAACAAATATGAAGCAGAAATGAGCTTCTGAGGCTACAGCCCGCAGGCTTGGGTGGGAAAGAAATCCAAGGGCCAGGTCCCTGCCTTTGTCTGAAGAGCACTCACAGGGAATTGGAGAAATCACTTTAGCCCCCGTCCCTCTCTGGAGGGAAACTCGTGCCTGTGAGGAACGAGGCCTAGAAGGTGAGAAGATGAACAAACAATTATTAATCAGACCCTTTGTAAACGCTTAGTCATCAGACATGTAAAACCAAACCAGCAATGATGGGGAAACACTGACATCACCACCCTCAAAATGAACATTCGGGTTGCCAAATAGCACTGAGCAGTAAGAAATCTCAAGTTTATGAAGGGTGAAACCAGCCTGGACTGTACGGAGGATCAAATGAGTTGTTGTTACATGTGGAAAATGTTTTGTAAAATATCAGGTACTTACACAAGATATAAAGCAAGCAATTTCTAATGGCGCTGCTTGAAAACAGCAACCACTTCTCAATCTCCCGATGTCTGCAGCACTTTGTACAATGTAGCACTTTTGGGAATTTAATACATGCTTCTCCAACGAATTGTTGAATGAGCCCTGGGTTACCATCCAGATATCTGGAAGTATCTCGAAGCATCGAGTCTTTTATTTTTCATTAAGTTTTTTCTTAAGATTTTCTTTTATTTTTTATAGAGGGGAAGGGAGAGAGAAAGAGAGGGAGAGAAACATCAATGTGTGGTTGCCTCTCACACACCCTGTACTGGGGACCTGGCCTGCAACCTAGGCACATGCCCTAGACTGGGAATCGAACTGGTGACCCCCCTGATTCACAGGCCGGTGCCCAACCACTGAGCCACACCAGCCAGGGCTGATGAAGTATTTTTATGAAAATGTTTTCTACTGTGGTCTTCAGAATGTCCTTGCCATTCTCAGGAAATAGGAGAATCAGTGTTTGGAAAGCTCTATCAATACTGCATTCTGCATCTGTCACAATGTCTGAAGACAAAGTAGAAGTCCCTTCAAGAACCTTAGAGGGAGATTAAAGTTTCTCAGGTAACTGAGTTGATTTTAAACACTTACCAGCATATCCAAAATAGCTTGCACAAAGAGCTTCAAAGGTAAGTGGCAAAGCCTGTGATAGTAGTTGCTATAGTAGCAAAAGAAGTATTTAGCCTCTCCCTCAAAGTGCTGCCGCTATACCATAATGTCTAGTTTTGGTTATCATTTCTGGTGATTTTGTTTTATTGGGAGCAAAGGTGGAAAAGCAGACAGAAAGAATAAAATGTGAGTCCTGAAGAAGAAGACCGAGCAGCTACATCTGAACCAATCAGCCTTCTGGGAAGAAAGAGAAAGAATCAATAATGTTGTAGATGATCGGCGGGTAAATACACACTCTCGGAGTCCGGAACCGAATTGATAACAATTTTAATGGCCAAAGATTTTTCCTGCGCAGGGGCGAACTTCCCCAAATGTGACCGGAGTCACATAGCTACTCAGAGCTACAAAATGGAAGTCGCGCCTGGCTTACAGACTACTGGGTATTTATATTTTCTAGCAAGCAAGCAAAGGCATACAGAAGCAGAGGTGGCGGTCAGCTATTGGCTTATTTAAAAATGGCGAGGGTCCCTGATTGGTGGGTGCTGCTGCTGGCGGGCACTTTCTGGCAGCCCGGGTTAGTTACCTTATTTGGCTAGAATTTTAAACCCAATTGTTCCCTGATGTTTGTTCATTACCCTGTTCCAGGAACTGCAGATTTAGGGTTGGGTAATGCCCTAGCTGTAATTTTCCTAGCTGGGTATAACAAATAACTGCCCTGCAAACCAGTTTGAGGACCTCTTCAGAAGTGAAAGAGTGACAGGTGACTCTTCCTTCTGGTACGACTCACATGAAGAGATACTATATAACATCCAGAAGCTGCTGGATGGGCTGAGTGCAGAGAAGCGACCCAAAGCAGAATATACAAACAGCTATGTTTTCACAGAGTAATAGACAAGCAATACAGGAACAGTGTAAGCACCTGACAGAACTTTGCAGAAAATATAAAAGCATTTCCCACAGATATATCCAAAAGACAATCTTATCAAACTGCTTCCTTTACAAGCAGACATTAGAGGCTCATGGGGACCTGGCCCAAGGTCACCTTGGGACTTAGTGGCTGGAGCATCATTAAGAATCCAGCTTTCCTGATTTTCTGTTCACATCTCTTTCTACCAAGCTCTTTGGCTTTCACTGAACAGTGTGCACAATAATAATAATATTTCACACTTTCATGGCACTTCAAAGCTTGCAAATCACTGTCACCTAGATTGCTTCAGCCTGCCAAAGATGACAGTAATAATAATTATTACTGCAACAAGCACTTGCTAGCAACTTAAAGCAAATCAGTCACTACATGCTTTCGAATTATTTCATTAGTCCTCACAATACTCCTCTTGCTAGGATATTATTATGATTTTCCCTCTTTTATAGATCAGGAATGTAGGCTGGAAGGAGGTTGGGTAACTTGTCCAACACCACACAGCTAGGAAATGGAGCGGTGCAGGACTTTGCTCACTGCCTGAGGCCAGAGTCCCAAAGCCCTTGCCATCCGGCCACCCACAGTGCCTTCCTCACAAACAGCCTCACAAACAGACAAAGAAGGTATTGTGCCATACATTTCAAAGCCACGCTTTGCCTGTAGATTTAAGATTAATCGTATAGGAATTGTACAGTAGTTCAAGCCTAGAATGTAGGTGCACTCCCTGAAGGAGAGAATATAGAGAAAGCAGCCTCGGGCCGCTTGTGATGGGACAAGAGCAGGAAGAGAAGGTAAGCCATAATTAGGAGTTAGTGGTATCCTATTCCACATAGCTATGGGCTCGAAAACGTGCTGATTTCATTGAAATTTAAAGTATAGTGTGTAAGATTAAGTTGATGATTATGTACAGTAGCTTATATGCACACACAAACACACAATTTTAATGAAGCAATTGCTGAGTGGGTTGCCTGGTTACCAGTCCTAACTTAAGCAGGTGCAAGCAGGCATTTGGGCTAAATTTTAAGCACGGAGTCGGACCAATGTGGAAGCACCGGTGACCTCAGTGATCGCTGCTGTGGCCCCCAAAACCAACCACCAGGATTGGACGCAGGGATCTGTTTTCTACCTTGAATCATTATTGTGGAAGTGACTTACAAGGTCCCAAGCATTCTGGTGACCTCATGGAGCCTCTCCAACCACACCTCCCCAGAAAGAGCGAATCCTTCCCTTCCTTGTGTTCCCTCAAAGAACTTCCTGTGGACCTGTGTTAGCTTTCTGGCTTCATTGTCCAGAGGATATTTACCTGTTTGTCCCAGCAGCTAAGCTGGGAGCACTGGGAATGTTTCTGATGAAGGGAAAAGAACTGGGGCCTTGGAAGCTGGTGCTCCTGTGTTCAATTCCTGCTTTAGCTACTTACTCATCGGGACCTTGGA